TCTATTTCCAACTGTCTCCAGTCAATAAGAACCATCTCCAAACATTACAGCATATCCCAGGACTTCTCGGTGTGTGTATTTACTGAGATCGTGCTTGCGGACAAGGGCTGTCATTTTGTCAGAGAATGTGACACCTATCTTTTGGAGTAATTCGTATGTGAGTCTTAACCATTTTCGATGTGAAGTAGCTACTTTAAGATGTCCTGGTACTTTTATTTTCACCATTTCGTCGTAAACAGGTTTTGTCTCCTCGTCCAAGACGTCTTTAAGTCCATCACCATTTACAGCGTCATTTACTTCTGTGATATCATTTTTTACGGATTCCTCCTCCGGTGCACCAACACCGACCTTGCCTTTCAGCCAGTCCCTGACCAAACAAAATAATGCAGTCTGAAATGTGCTATATTGCACTTTTAACAACGGAATCTCTGATCTTTGTGTGAACTCTACACCTTCTCTAGGCTGATATAATAACTGAAATAAATACAAGTAAAAGGAATTTAATAAGGAGTTAAAACATGGTATTATTAAGTCTAATATTTTTAAGTCAACAATGTTATTGTAAATAAATTGAATCGAATTATTTTCTACAATTAATGACTTTATATATGTTTATGAAATGCTCTTCTGAATTTTTTTGATAGCGAAACATTTTAGTAATTACAAAAATACCTCGATATGATAAAAACAGCGAGTTAATTAAGAGCGGGCAAATAAAACATAAAATTAAAAATCCAAAAATCTCGTTTTTCTTTTCTTTCTTTTTTTGTAATAATAAAAGATCCATTCATTCCATATCATTTTTTTTAAATATATCAAATATGATAAAAAGATATCTTATAAATGAAAAAAATAAATGAAATTACCGAGTTCATGATATCTGTTATATAAATTATGTCGTTTTTTTATTTTTTTTAAATATTTTACTCGTTTTATTAATTTGTATAATTTTCAAGTAGAAAATTTGCTCCTAAGCATATGCGATATTTTTTCACCGACAACTGTAACTCGTAAAAACTCGCATATTTTTATATTACGCTATACGGTTTTCCCGGCTAGATTTTAGAAAAAGCACATATCTATAAATAGGATGTAACAAAAAAACCGATACGTCATACTATTATTAGTGTTGATACTAAATAACTACCGGTAGTACTTTTATTAATTTATTATGAATAAAACCGATTGAAGATAGTATTTATGATAAGTATGTAGTTAAAAAAGTGACATCTTAAACTTCCAGAACAGTTTGTGACATTTATATGCAAGTATTGATTTTACGTGTATTTGTATCGGCTGGCAGTAACTGCTGCACGGTTTACTTTTTATTGTGACACAAGTTACTTCCCCTGATATTATTATAATTTATATGTTACTAATCAAAATTAATATTTCAACTATTTGTTGCATTTGTTGGTTCAACTTTGTCATACTCGTCAGAAGTTTTGGGCTATAACAAATCTAAATACGTTAAACATAATATTCAATACATGTAATGCAAGCGAATATAACATAATATAACATATAGTTTATTAGCATAATATGTGTTTACATATATAGCCATTTACAATGCATGAAATACAGACATGAAATTTTTAACAGAAGAACATGATCAATTAAAAAAGGATAAGGTTATTGATAAAATGTACATTCAGTCAATTTTCAAAAAAAAACAAAACAACAACAACAAAACAGTACAAGTTATCTGCAACTGTTACTAGAGGTTTTCAATGGTTATTTTAATATAAGATTTGCGTCTCTTTGGTCATTATACAGTATGACAGTATAAAATACTTAGTAATCGTCAGTGTATTTAAACATTGTTATTGTTGTTACGAAGCTGGAAAGCAGAATATATGAATTTAGTAACATTGGTAATACCTTTTGAGGATTCACGTGATAGAAGGGTTATGAACTTTTGGATTGATGGCCATCTACAATAATATGGTTTAAAGTATTTGGTTCTTAGTTCTCAATATTTCGGGCATACTGATAAAAAATGATACTCATTTTCGATCATGTGCATGTTACATTCTCGGCAAATTCGAAGTTGTCGATCGACATTTGTGTATCTTTCAGTTTCGACAATATGAAGATAGTCTGTTAGAGTTGTTGATATAAGTGTACCAAGATTGTTTATAAATATCAAGGATTCTCTGTTTGATGAAATAATAAGGGATGACTTTATTATTTTGATTAATCCATATGTCAGCTAATCCTATTTCCTCTAGAATATGTTTTATCTGATAAACCCAATTCATGTTGTAATATGTAATATTTTGATTAGCATCATTTGACAACATATCATAAATCTTTCTTATTAATACATTGGAAGATGTCAATATTTTAATCCAGTATTTAATCATCAATAGTTTTCTATATAATTATTTTCATAGGTACTCTTCCGCCCTTCTAGATTTGTAGATTTTTTTTACACGAAGCACCTTACGTAAAAATTTACAATGTTATCAACTCAATACTCTTGATTCGTGATTTCCCCATATTGGTGTATATGGGGAGTTTGGTAGATGTCCTCTTTTTATTTCTAGATATGTTATAATTAAAAAAAATCTGGTGAAAATTGCTACAGACAATATTATTTTGCATAAAGTTTATGAGCATAGCTTATTCGATTCTCATAAAGGTTGTAAAAATTTAGGTAACGATGTTAAATTTATACAGGTTTTCAGACTATTTCTTTGATATAAACAAAGTTGAACCCAGCGATTGAAAACCGTTTATAGTGTTAGATTTTTATCAATTGTGTAAAACTACGCTATCATATGAAAATTACTAAAATGTTTATACAAAAAAAAAAAAAAAAAAAAAAAAGATTTCTTATTTCGTTCTGTATTCGATGCCGATTATGTATTTTTCATAAATGCTAAGTATTCTATTGTTTGAATTATAAACGTTGTTTGAAACACCATTTTTTGTGTTTAATTACATTTCTATAATATCAAATATTGATTTGGTTTATACAGAATTTTTTTAGTTCGATTGTGTAGGAGTCTAAAGACGCACTGTCGACTCCGTTCTGAAACCAACCAGTACTGAGCAATGAGTGTAAAGTTTCTTGCTCAAGGAAACAACGACTTGCCCCTGACGGGGTTTGAACCCATGTGGTTAGCGATCATTACATCACTAGTCTGACGTGTTAACAAGTCGGCTATGCCGCCAGAAGGTCCAACTCATACAGTATATCATGGTGATAACGACAACGGTCAACCGATATATTCGAAACAGATTATGGAAATTTTTATTTACTTCAAAATAATCCTTAATTATAGTCGGGTATGGGGTAGGAAGATTTACTGATACATTACACAATGTTTCACTAACTAGTTTTTGTAAGTTATTACTGTTATGCAATAAATGCAACGAATCTGTGTTTTGTGGACAAAAAAGAATTAAACAATATCATTATTGCTTCCTGAATTTGGACGCCAGAAGAAAAAATATATATTCTTTTTCTTAGATATTTAGAATTATTTCAATGCAAATGAACACTTATCATTAAAGGAAACGCATCTGTGACATAAATATCTCTTTTTCCCCTTAAAAAATCGGTAAATTAGACACAAACTCAAACGTACTGAGCTAATCGGTGACCTGTCTTGATGATGATTTTGAGTGTAAAACATAAAGCTAAAATGATCACATGATGGTCGAACAAGCATAATATTAAAGATAAGGTGATAAAACGATGAAAGTAGCCTAAACGATTAATTTCTTTAAAGAATTCTGGCAGAAGTAATGTTCCATTTGTTCAACAATTGAAATTTCTACAAAAATTGGAAAGTTAAGATAAGTCAAAAGTTTTTTTTAAAAGATTAAGTTATTTGTTCCATTTTTTTCATCTTCAGGATAACCTAGCTATAATGTCCGCATGTAGATTGTTGGAATAGATAGTCTTTCTAGTTGATACTTATGTCCCTTTCAGTTTTGTTATAAAATTCTTTTTGTAAGTACAACAGGTAGAAGCTAATCTGCATGGATTTTTCATTGGGAAATCATTTACAAATTTCCTTTCCTCTTCTTACTATAAAACTACCATGTAGAAAATCTAGCGGTTTTTCCTCTTCGGCAAATATACGCATCAATTTATAGCAAAAGGTGCGCATTACTTTATTTGCGAGTATCATTGATATAACTATTAACGTATCTATTATGAATTGGAAAATAACAAGTTAAAACCCCGCACCTGTAAACCTATGGTTAAGAAAGACTTAACATGACATCTGCATATGCATTGTCATATCTCTAAACAATATAAATGTTCAACAATAATGTATATAGGTATATAACGTCATAAGATAAAATATAATAAAATTTCAGATAATTTATAAGTAGATCCCTACTGCTTAAGTTTCCGAAAAATAAAATAAATATGACAATTTAGGGTGTGCTATAAATGACAACTGTATACATGTATGTCCACGTTCTGAAACATCATGATGCTCACATCTCGTGATTTACTAATCATGTGCTAATTATGTATTATTAAAAATCTGTGTATGTGTCAAGTTAAGAAATTTTGATAATTTTATCCTCACATAAAAAAGTATTATGTACATATATTCTTAGCTCATGCATATAAGCCGAGGCAAATAGAAAAGTGGAAATTCCACTGGTAAAAACACTGTGTATTAACCCAGGTCTGAACAGAATAGGCCTAATTATTCTTTATGACTTATCAATAGCATAAAGATCATCAGGGATGTATATTAGTAACAAATATACCTGATATCAGATTTTAAAAAATAATAGGCTATCCGTATACGGTAATCACAGAACTATAATTATGGTCTCTGGCGTTATTCTAGGAAAAGCTTGTGGAAAATTTATTAGGGAAAAGCTGAAAGTTAAACATACGTAAGCAAATGAACTGTATTGTATTTTTTTGCGTTGTCCATGTAATAATAAATTCTAAATTGATTTTTACAAGGGACATAAACATCTGAACAATGGACAGTATAACTATAGGCCTACATTTTGCCATGCTTTGCTTTTATATACAATAAAATCCGTGGCCACATACATCCCATGTTTAAGGTCCTCTCGATTTTGTATCATGAAAACATAATAGATCTTTTTTTTCAAATTATTTAATTAATTGAACACATAGAGTACTTAGTCTACTTATGATCTACATGTACTTTTGAAGTAATTTTCACAATGTATTATTTTCACGCACAGACCCGGAAGTAGTAGTGTTTTTCCCTTTTTGCTGCTGAGGAAAAGAGAAATGTCAAGTTCTGATGAAAAATACCGAAAACTAACCACAGAATACGCTAAAGTAATACTTATTCCATGAATTAAGCGTTATTTTCACATTGCCCCAATGACATGCACTTTACAAATATATTTCTTTCAAAGAATTGCAAAATAGCGGTTATTCACATTTTGCTCCTCCCACTTATTTTGAAATTTCCACTTACAAAGTTTGTAAATAATGTAAAGGCAGAATGGTTGATGATATTTTGCTCTTTTAAAAACTTTTTACTGATTAACAATATATATAGTCAAGTGAAAGGCTTGCCACAAAAGACACAAAACATACAGTAAAAAACGTCAGTTTTGCATAACACAAGTATTCTTATAAAGCATAATAAAGGCTGCTGGGTAGGCAAATAACAATTTATAACTGTTAACAATTTGATATTTTCTACACCAACTGATCTCATTTTCATAACATTATTCTAATTTTTTTTTATTTCTCTCGAATGTATCCGGGATAATGAAAGATATGGAAGGTAATGGTTGATCACGCCCTACTTTCAACACAGTAACATCTGCATGACAAAAATATCTTTTGACCACTGAATCAGTGGTTTTTCAGTTTTCACACAGTTTTGGAGCCAAAGCCATTTGTATTCACAAATAATGGTATTACAGTTCTTACTAATTTTCACAATTCAAAGGGCCCCAGTAAATCATGCAACCAAAATGGTGGTCTTGGTGGTCACTTATACTGATTTCTGCATCTGGAATGTTGATGATATTTTCAATCTACAATTGTTCTGGAAAGCTAAGTTTTAAAATTAGTCTCTGGACTATGTATGTAGGGTGTGTATGGAAATTTCTTGAAAATAAGAAAATCTGAATCGCTCTCAAGTTAACTTGTTTGGCCAAAGTTCAAACGACATGTCAGAAAACCCATTTTTGGCTTTTTTACTTGAGCAAGAAATTTATTCTGATTGTACACAATAAAGCTAAAAGAAATCAATATAAATTAAACACCATTATTTCATACATGTATAGTTGTCAAAGGGAGAGCATGACCAACTGGCCACACCATGATAATTTTTACCAGTCAGTTTATGAGATGGTTTAAAAATAGTTAGATCTAGTCAAAATATTTGTCACTGGAAAACTAAATGGACTTTGGTCAAGAACACTGAAAACCTGAAAAAGTAGTAGCTGTCACAAAGTACATATGAGCCATGTCATGACAAAACCAACATAATGCGTTTGCGACCAGCATGGATCCAGACCAGCCTGCGCAGTCTGATCAGGATCCATGCTGTTCGCTATCAGTTTCTCTACTTAAAATAGGGTTTGTAAGCGAACAGCATGGGTCCTGATCCGACTGCGCAGATGCCCAGGCTGATCTGGATCCATGCTGATCGCAAACGCACTATGTTGGTTTTGTCATGGCGCGGCTCATATATATTATTTATAGACACTGAATGTATTTCTTAGAATGTGGGTAGTGAGGGTCTTGGTATTAGGCAGGGGTCCAAAATCACTACCCTTCCCAAGTACATTTACTTAGAAAATGTAACAATGACATATCCCTGCAAAAAGCATGTTTAAATAATATGTTATAAAACAAAAAGCAAAATTCAAATTACAAAATATTTTACTACAACTTTAAAACAATTCACAATGTCAGTCATGCATTGTTCAGTTTGTACACTAAGGAAAAGTGCACAAACCATGTCAAAAATTAATTTTATTAACAACATAACTAGAAATCCATCCCAATTACTTTTGTCATTTTTAGTTTCATTTGATTAATATAATATGACTATGTAGCTCTTTTTTGGTCTATTTTTTTATAAGAAATTAAGGCACATACATTTATTTTAGCATTAATGTTTATTAGATTTTTGTATAATACATGTATGTCACTGGGTACCCTAAGTTTGCCACCGTAAAGTTCCTCATTGAAATGCAACACCGATAAATATTAAAAAAATATCTTTAATACTGAATCATCTTTATTTATGTATAAAACAATGCTATATGAAACTATGATGAATTTTGTGTGATTTTCTTTCTATCAGTTAAAGGCTCAAATACCAGTACTGAAGAAGGCCTATCTAGATGAACAAGCAGCTCACAATGAATTAAAGGTGAATATTGTTGAATATAGTTAAATACTTCCTTGACTTTAAAGAATTGATCAGAATCCTTATAATAAGTGTTAAGATTATGTAATTTTACTCTCTAAATTAAAGATGTTTTATTTTATAATGAAACATATGTTTGACATGGTGGATTTTGTTTGGTGGAAAATTTTACTATTTGCTTATTCAAATATATATATATACATGTATATTAATGTAGCTTAGAAGTGGAAGTAGAAACAGTGTATGGAAGCAGGCATATATTTTAGATGAGAGAGGAAATAGCTAGTGTTGTAATTAATAAGCAAACTTAAATGAATGTGTAAAAAGGAAAATGTACAATTTTTCAGAATGAGTTCAAAGAGCGTGAGCAGACAGTAAGAAAGTTTGAACAAGAAGTTGACAGTTTGACATTTCGAAATCAACAACTATCATCTAGATGTAGTTTTCTACAGGATGAACTTGAAGCAGCTGATTCGAAGAAAAAACACAAGGTAACAATTAGTCATTTGAGCCACGCTATGACAAAACCAACATAATGCATTTGCGACCAGCATGGATCCAGACCAGCCTGCGCATCCGCGCAGTCTGATCAGGATCCATGCTGTTCGCTTACAAACCGTGTAACAAGTAGATAATCTGATAGCGAACAGCATGGATCCTGATCAGACTGCGCGGATGCGCAGGCTGGTCTGGATCCATGCTGGTGGCAAACCCATTATGTTGGTTTTGTCGTGACGTGCTTCATATATATTTTGGAAAAGATTAAGATTTCAGAAGTTAATTCCCTGTCAAATCTCAAATGAGTTGTGAACTCTTGAATTATTGAAGTTAGATAATGACAAAGTAGATATAAATCTATAAATCTTCTGTCAGTCTTCAGGCTGAATAGATGTCTTCTGAAAAATTGACAGGTTATCTTACAAGAGATATAATAATACATGTAGATCTCTTTGCAGGGTTTCATAATGACCCAGTAGCCAGGTACAATTGACATGTTGATTCACCTGGTTACTTTCTTTTATGTTCTTTTACATTCATTTCTGGCTGGTACATATATACACTGCCAATTATAAGAAATGACCATGCTTCTTTCAACTGTCTTTGATTAAAGGTATTTTCGTAAGTAAGTCTTAATAGCAACAATTTTTGTGTAAATATGTATGTTGTGAATGCCAAGTTAGTTTTTCGTTCTGGTTCAATTGTAAATATGACTGTCAGGGAAACTATCAGTTTATAAATTGTGATTTAACATTGTAGCATAATTGTGATTTAACATTTTAGCATAATTGTGATTTAACATTTTAGCATATTTGTGATTTAACATTTTAGCATAAAGACTCTCCTTCCCATCATGCACCTCCAGTCTCACCTGGGATATTCAATGAGGAACTACAAAATAAAATTGAAGAAAATGCAAGACTACACCAACAGGTATTTTGTTCATTGTACATGTATTAAACAAGGGTAGATAGTTTCTCTTATTTTTCAATTTACAGCTTCTGCTTACTGGTGTTATTTTCTCACTGTTATAAAAAAAATTATATGGCATGTTTGACACAAGCCAAATGGACTTCCTATCAATATCGTAGACAGTAAATTTTGAAATTTTATTACTATTCTGTTTGAATAGAAACGATGGAATACAAAATTAGTACTTTACTGACCACTTTCATATTACACATATATTATTTTTTGCATGCATTGTATTTGAACAAAGATAATTATTTTGTCTGTCAATTTTATTTTGGTATCATTAGAAGATGAAATGAAAAAAAGAACATTTCATTTTTTTTCTTGTTTTATTTTGTTATATATTCTAATTCTAGTTCTTGTATTTTAGTTTCTTTATTATAAACATGTATTCTATGTTATATACATGTAACCTATGTTATATACATGTATTCTATGTTATTATAATCATATTCTGTGTTATATACATGTATTAAATGTTTTATACATGTATTCTGAATTAAATACATGCATTCTATGTTATAAACATGAATTCTGTGTGATATGTACATGTATTATGTGTTACATGTATATGTATTCTATGTTATATACATGTATTTTATGTTATATACAATATACATGTATTCTATGTTATAAGCATGTATTCTATGCTACATGTATATGCACATATATTCCACATATATGTTAAATACATGAATTCTATGTTACACACATGTATTCTATGTTATATACATGTATTCTATGCTATATACACATGTATTTTATGTTATTTACATGAATTCTATGATGTAAATATGTATTATAGCTAGGAGATTGTGAAGCTGAATTTACTGCACAGATAAAGGACTTAGAACAGAAACTTGCCCATTTTGAACGACAGTGTGACCAACATGAGGCTGTACTCAACTCAACCGTACAGAAAAACAAGTCCCAGATTGATAAACTACAGGAAGAGAAAGCTATGTTAGAGGTAGGTACTCTCATGTATCATATGGTAGCCTTTTTCTGCCCCTTGGCAGTTTATATTTTCTGGTTTGTCCTCCATCCTGTCTTCCGACAAACTTACTGATTGTTTCTCAGGGCAACTTCAATTATCATACATTGTTTGTGTTGAATACAAAAGGCAAAATGTTTAGAAATGCTACAAACACACAATACTATGGTATATAAGACAAAAATTTGAGTAGCATTGATGTTTGCTTCCAGTGTGCAACAAAATTATTACTGGGCTTATCTGCAAGGCAAATTTTTGTCTCAATGACCTAAACACTTTCAGTCTGAAACCTAACCCATAGGAAGATATCCATAGAAATTACCAGATATCATTTACTCAATTGTGTGTTTTGAAGAAATTGTTGAGCAGCTGATATTGCTGCTGCATCATTGTTGTCACTGTAACCATTGTGCTAAAACTGAAATAAAGCCAATTATTCAAATAATTTAAAATGTATCAACATGAAATTTGCGGAATACTTGCTTATCATGACAAGATGCAGTTATTAGACAAAGGGCATAATTCTGAAAGCAATGTATTTTGAGTTGTGCCCCCTTTGAAAATAATTAGAATGAGTGCTCTTTTGAAGTCCAATATTATGGAATGAACTTCAAACCTATTTCTTATGATTGTACAAGAAAATTTATGCTTAATGTATTTCAGGTGAAACTCCAAACAATAGAGGATGAAATTAAAAGCTACAAAGGCAGAACAGAAAAAGCGTAAGTATATATATTTTTAGAAAATATGAACTGTTTTCTTGGTAGTTATTGTTGCTGATATTAACTGAAGTCACTTGTCCCTACAGCTATGGTTTCAAATTCAACAAAATAGTAAATGAAAGGAACCCTTTCATATTGGGAATCTATCCAATATCCATCTTGCGTTATGACAGTAGAAATGTAATTGGATTTGCCTAAATGTATTTTTCTCTTTGTGTTGCCTTTTAATTAGAACTGTACATTATGAAAATGAGGGATTTTGATAAAAATTCACTCCCTTGTGGCTGATGGGTTGAATTGCAGTCGCCGCTTATCCTTATCGTATGTGGAGACTAAATGGCGAAATAAGTAAGTGGCATATTACTTGAGTCTATGCATCTCTTAGCTCCAGCTAGTGAGGAAGTTTTGACTCCTGGTGTTGCTTTAAGTTTGTAAACATCAGAGGTTAGCCAAAATCATCTTTCCTTTGACCTTAATTGTGTTGGTGTGCCGTAAAACCAAACAAAAGAAACAAACAATTTAGATAATAAGTGGCCAACAGGTTAGTCTGGTAATGAATATGCCTAACAGAATGGGCTGACTGTATACAGGTAGCAGCATTTATAGACCTGCAATATTTGCTACTACATGTCATAGTGATACCAAAAATAAAATGTAATAAGCTTACAGTAATAATCTTTGTTACAATATTATTTAATATCTAGCATTGGACTTGTAAATAAATATTTATTATATAACTCTTGTATTTTATTTCAGGGAGACTTTACTCGGTACTGTTGAAAACGACTTGAAGAACCAACTGAACCTTGCTAATAAAATTATTGCTGATAAATTACCTTTTGTTGACACAAGTAAGTTTTGTTACTTATAACTTGTAATAATTTTAGAACTATGGTTCTTGTACTGATAATATTTCATGTATTTGTATGACCATTTTTATTTTGGAAGTAGTTTTCATAGACAAATGCACCCTTACTCAAATGTTAGCTCATTCACATTTTGGTGATCTGTTAAAATGAGAGATCTCGACACTTTGATTGTAGAGCCCTCAACCAAAACAAAACAGAAAAAGATAAACACAGTTGCTAAAAATATCCAAATTAGAAGAACATGCTTGTTTTACAAAAATCGAAGAATGTTATGCAACTACATAGAACATTGTTTTCATCATTTTTGATACAATTTAGATACGAAATACCTATAAATTGCATTGTTAGAACTTCTACCAAATATGAACTAGTGTGGTTTTTTTTCACAGTTGACACATCTTGAGTCTCTACCATTAATGTTGACCCACTTAATCGCCACAGACTATCATTTCAATGTGTTGTTATATTCCATAATAAGTCTGTTATCTTAACCTCTACTGTCGAGATTAAAGTGTTTGCTTGTTTTAAGATAAAATAAAAAGGGAAGTTTTCAGTCCTAATAAAGCTAACCTTTGAAATGACATTCTTGAATGATTCCAACTTTGTAAAATAATATAGATAAATAATTTGCAGCTTTAAGTGAAACAGTTCCACATCAGCTTTTCAATTTCCATTTAAACCTTTATTCTTGTATACAATGTACAATTTAATTATATTATATATAGAAAAAGACAATGCTTTTTTATTGCTTATGTAATTATGAACTATATTATTCATTACAGGGTATGTATTATTTTGTTTTAGAAATACCTGAGTTGAATGGTTTAAATTTACCAACACATGATAGGAGACATCAGCTTAGATCTCGAGAACTTGTAAACCAGTCTGCTAATCTACTAGGGGAGGTAATTCAGGCACTGTCTAATTTCTACACATACACAGAACAGAGGTCACAGATATATCCAGCAGACGGCAAGGTGGAGCCAATTAGTCCAGTAAATATGCAGGTATAGTCTACCGATAATTTTACCTCTTATTTTCTGTTTTCTCAATACTGATAAATTAATTTGAAGCAAGTCATTTCTCTACAATCAATACTTATAGGTTTCATTTTTACAATATGGTAAATTATGAAAAATAATGAACCCTGAGAAAAAAAACTATTCATGAAAATGTTCAAAATGTTTTAGTAAAATTTTTAATGTATATAGTAAGGGCAACATATTCAAGAGATGCTTTGAATATGAAACCATTACAATAGAGAAAAATGGAATCCCTTAAAAATGCCCAAAACGACATGAAAATATTGCAGGCTTGGTTTGGTTGAGCTTGTTTATTGACAGTACTGGAAAGTACAAATTACTGTCTGTGCCCCCTAGTACCGGCTTAAGCAGAATTCAACATTTAAACATAAAAATTGTGAAATTGTGAATTTAGGAACATCTGCAGATGTGTGTATAAAAAGATATATCCTCATTTTTGCTAAAGTTTGATAAAACCATTTATCTGAACTTTCAGTTTGGTAAGCAGTTATGAAACTTTTCTATATTATTGATTGATCTTCCCAGGAAAGAAACATCAAGATGTGAATTTTCTTTATTTTTCAGTTTTGTAAATTACTGCATGAGAATTTATCTCATTTACGACCAGTAGAACTGTCATTGAAAGAGTTTGTCGCCTCATTTAAAGAGGATGCATTAACTACACTTGTAAGTATATTATATTGTATCATGACTTTGATGAATAGTTTTCTGCCTATGAATAATTTAGTTTTAACATATTTATTGAAGCTTATTTGTAACTATAGTTATAAGCTTACTAGAATCTCGTCAATGAAGTTGCTTCCTAAACTGGTCAATACAAATACAATATAATCACGAGTCCAAACAAACATGTCTGCATGCTAATCAGCCGGACACATTTATCTTATGCCCACCAATCATCTTATCAATTATTAGTCCCCTACCGGTTTACCGGAGGGGACTTTAGGTTTACCCTCCGTCCGTCTGTCTGTCAGTCCGTCCGTCCACAAAACTGGATCCCGCGATAACTTAAAAAGTACTGAAAATATTTTTATGAAACTTGGTATATGGATAGATGGCAGTATGGAAATAATGCACGTCTTTTTCTTTTCTTCCTATGTTGAAAATTCTGGTTGCTATGGCAACAAATAGGCTGAAAATATGGCAAATTTTACACATAAACTGGATCCCGCGATAACTTGAAAAGTACTGAAAATATTTTTATGAAACTTGGTATATGGATAGATGGCAGTATGGAGATTATGCACGTCTTTTTCTTTTCTTCCTATGTTGAAAATTCTGGTTGCTTTGGCAACAAATAGGCTGAAAATATGGCAAATTTTACACATAAACTGGATCCCGCGATAACTTGAAAAGTACTGAAAATATTTTTATGAAACTTGGTATATGGATAGATGGCAGTCTTGAGATTATGCATGTCTTTTTCTTTTCTTCCTATGTTGAAAATTCTGGTTGCTATGGCAACAAATAGGCTGAAAATATGGCAAATTTTACACATAAACTGGATCCTGTGATAACACAAAAAGTAATGGAAATATTTTTATGAAACTTGACATATGGGTAGATGGCAGTCTTGAGATTATGCATGTCTTTTTCTTTTCTTCCTATGTTGAAAATTCTGATTGCTATGGCAACACATAGACTGACAATATGGCAAATTTTACACATAAACTGAATCCAGTTATAACTCAAAAAGTACTGGAAATATTTTTATGAAACTTGACATATGGGTAGATAGCAGTCTTGAGATTATGCATGTCTTATCCGTTCTTCCTATTTTGATAAAATATCAGTTGCCTTGGCAACAAATAGGCTTAAAACATGGCAAATAAAACAATATTTGTGATTAGTCAAAAAGAGCTGAAAATTTTTATGAAATTGCATCTTTAATTCAAGAGTTATCTCCTCTTAAGAATTTTGCTTTTAAAATGTTATATTTTGGTAACAGGGATGTTTCAAATATTAACTTTAGAGTGTCCTTCAGTCCGTCTGTCTTTTCATAAAAACTGTTTCCTGTGATCACTTTTAAAGAACTTTTCCAACAAATTTACTTAAAATAGAGAAAAATTGAAACATTAGTGAATGGCCAATGGCCCTTCAGAATGTTGATGGGGTTCTAACCGGTAGGGGACTTATGGATTGCTTGCAATACTATGATAATTGCTTGTTTTCTATGATTCAACCCATATACTGTAAATAGGGAAAAGTTAGGGTAGCTTAAGCTCTTAACATTCATCACATTACTATTTATCAAATTGCCCATGCTTTTAGCTGCATTACAGCAGAATCAGATAAAATACATTGGTGTCACCATAATTCTTGTCTATGAGAGATTGTTGTTAAAGAAACTGGTGTTTTTACAGCTATATTTGTGTTTCTATATTGTAGGAAACTGCTACTGGGTTACAACCATTTGCCAAAAATGTAAAGAAAATGGTGGCATATATGAACAAAGTACTGCCTTACCAACTGTCAAGGTTTGTAATTATGTAACTCATATACATGAACATGTACATGTAGTTGTTTTTTCTATCACATGACATCCCTTGTCTTCAGTCAATATAACCATTCTGTTTTTCTTTACATTGCATTATTTATATTTAATGTAAAGTTTGCATTCTTTTTACATAATTAAGATAAAGCAAGAATTAAGACAATTATTTTACATGTTAAAGATTCTAAAATTTAATATTATCTTTAATTTTTCTTGATCAAATACAACATAATTCAATTGGCTTAGAGAGGTCATGTTGATTTTCTTTTGATTAGATGCTAAAAAAGTATCTATTTCAACATTTTAATCTTATAAATTAATATATGATATCAAATTTGTTTTGGTTTGAATGCAAACCATGCTTAAATTTGAAGATAAATCAGTGATTTAGAAATGTAATACTGAAGATATAACAGGTACTTATATTGTATATTTCAGTTTAGAAGAGGAGTGTGCAGTGTCATCATGTACATCAATGTTAGAATCTAAAAACATGGACCTACATAGATCTCTGAAGAAACTAAACGCAGTATTCAATAAACTAGACACTATAACTAGTCTTCTTGCAGCTCAAAGTAAGTGCTTACATGAAACTTTATGTTATTTACAGAATAACATGTTATTCAGTCTGTTATTTGATAATATTGTTAAGTGTGGCAGCATGGCCGAGTGGTTTAAGCGTCAGACTAGTACTCTCATGATTGCTAGACGCATGGATTCAAACCCCTTCAGGGGCTAGTCGTTGTTTCCTTGAGCAAGACACTACACTCATTGCACAGTACTGGTTGGTTCCAGGAATGGATTTGTGTGTCTATAAGCTTATAACTTCCTACACAATCAAACTAAAATAAATTCTGTATATAAAACTAATAATGTAAAGACATGGCATGTATTCAGCAGATGACTGGTCAGCACAACATTTCTGTACATTATTCTTTGTTTACTTTTTATATGGTTTCCTCTTTGCTGGTTCAAATATTTCAGATATCAGAGTAGTCAGTCACAATATAGAAAGAAAGGAACAATTCTGAGAAAAATTCCCCATAATTCATATAAAAGTATACATTTAATCAAATTGTTTATATTTTCAGGTACAAAATCTTGTGCACACAGTCCATCAAATCACCCTCGTATGTTCACCATATTATGTAATTATCTGACTGATCTACATGAGGTTGTACGAGGTAATATGTTCTTACATCATACATTTACTTACATTAAAGATTATCAATTATAAACTTGTTGATACATGTAATATAATTTCCTCTCATACTGTAACATTATCGGGAAAGAAATAATTGTAATTATGTACCCTGTACAACAAACAAATATTTTATTGGAAACAAGTGAACAGAAAACTTAAGAAATGAGTAATGAAGGTATTAAAAAGCAAGTAATCTTACTAGCTTTATTGAAAGTAATAAGTAGACAACCATATTTACATTTAGTATAGACCAATTCCTTTCTTGATTTAACATTACATACAAATATTGTATAATTAATATATGTAATGGATTTTTAACAGAGGTATCCAAGCATTACAATGCCAAAGTATCATTAGAGCATCAGATGCCAACAGCTACACAACGATTGAAGACAACAGATGAATGTGTTGTCTCTTCACTTATATCTCTAGTCACTTCCACTGGAAAGGTTTGTCTCTTATGTTCTATAATATTCATCCCCCACCCCGAAAAGGTCATTCTGTCCATCTCATTTGTAGTCTCATTGTCTATTCCAAGGTATCTAATCATCATTTATTGTAACTTCCTATGCCTTCTTTTCTTTTGAAAAGCTGATCTCTTGCTTTATGTTTTTAGTTACTATCTGTCCCACTATCTGTTTATCCATTTGAATATACATGTATGTTAGAATTGTCTCTTTTATCTTCCTTCGTACCCTGTCTAATTGTATTCATTTTAACCTTACACTAAATTCTTGCATATCAGATAGGATTTTCCACTTTTTCCACCAGTGCTTCCCCTGCCCACTTCCTCTCCCTACTCCCCCATACCTTTGTAAGAAAAAAATTGTGTGCTTTATTCCTGTATGCCTTTATGAATGAATTGCATACATACTGTAGAATGGTTTAATTTTACTATTTCAATGAAGTTGCTACTTTAAAAAAGAACTATATGAAAATACACTTATATTGTTTAACATATCTAATAAATATATCTTGTAACTTAAATTGTAAAGGTTTATCTATATATTCATTCCCCCTGAAAAAAATGGTCATTGCTCTGCTGTATATTTAGTCTTTTTTGTCAATTCCAGTGTATATAATACTTTTCTAAATTTGCATGAAACCTTATCAACAAATTATTGACATTTTGGTTTAGGTTTTAGCTTACTATCATTATGAAAAAATTAAAGTCTATTTACATGTATAAAAACATCGCATAAAGAGAATGTATTTTATTCAATCAAATACAAAACTTTGTACTATTTATTTACATAGATGAAGTAATTTTGTATAAATTTTAATTTCAGTTTTCAACATTTTTGTCTGGTAATAAGGAATTTTTCAGTCAGCGTGCCGGGTACCGTACAAGAGGAAGTAGTATAGGTATAGATCCTGGTACCCAAACTGTCCGGTCTAATCCTGCAACAGTAAACTTTAGACAAAAAGCTGCACAGTATATTGCATTGTTATCCAAGGTAATTTCTTGTCTTTTAAGATACTTTACATTTTTAACATTTATCTGTGTTAATGTATGTTTGATTCTTTTGTTTTCAGAATTTAAATTCTTCTGATGTCCAGTATTGATAAATCATGAAATAAAATAATATTACAGGAAAGAACTGATTGTATAACAGTCTTAGATACATATATGTGAAAAAAATGTCTATCATAATATGTTGACACATCAACATGCTTTAAATTAATTTTCATTTTCTTCAAATTGTTCTGTACACTGTTGTGTTTGCTTGGTAAGTTCTCAGAAGTTATCAAAATGTTGCCAATAAGGTAGTAAATTTTTGTTAGAATCAGATAATTTTTTGTATTTTCAGCCATGCCCAGAGTCAGTACCCCACCACATTGCAGTTCACAATAGAAAAGTGTTGCTAAGTTCTGCTGAAAGCAGGGAAGGACTTGCTAAACAAGTAAGCCAACTTTTTGTGTTTATAGTAAAATAATTTGCATTGATCTATTTTTAAGAAGATGAAAATATTGATACGAAAGCTTTATTTATTATACCCCCAAAAACGAAGTTTGGGGGGGTATATAGGAGTCACCCGGTGGTCGGTTGGTCGGTCGGGCGGTCGGTCGGTCGGTCGGTCCAGACGTCCGTTGCATTTTCCTTGTCCGGACCATAACTTGAAGACTAATGGTTGGAATTCAATATAACTACATACAATGGTCAAGCACATTGAGAGGAAGTGCAGTGCACAAGAACCATAACTCTATCTTGACTAATTACAGAGTTATTGCCCTTTGTTACTTTTCCTTGTCCGGGGCATAACTTGAAAACTACTGGTTGGAATTCAAAACAACTTCATACAATTGTCAAACACAATAAGGGGAAGTGCAGTGCACAAGAACCATAAACTCTATCTAAAGTAATTACAGAGTTATTGCCTTTGTTACTTTTCCATTGCTTTCTTTGTCCGGACCATAACTTGAAGACTAATGGTTGGAATTCAATATAACTACATACAATGGTCAAGCACATTGAGAGGAAGTGCAGTGCACAAGAACCATAACTCTATCTTGACTAATTACAGAGTTACTGCCCTTTGTTACTTTTCCTTGTCCGGGGCATAACTTGAACACTACTGGTTGGAATTCAAAACAACTTCATACAATTGTCAAACACAATAAGGGGAAGTGCAGTGCACAAGAATCATAACTCTATCTAAAAGTAATTACAGAGTTATTGCCCTTTGTTACTTTTCCATTGCTTTCTTTTGCCCGGACCATAACTTGAAGACAAATGGTTGGAATTCAATATAACTACATACAATGGTCAAGCACATTGAGAGGAAGTGCAGTGCACAAGAACCATAACTCTATCTTGACTAATTACAGAGTTATTGCCCTTTGTTACTTTTCCTTGTCCGGGGGATAACTTGAAAATTACTGGTTGGAATTCAAAACAACTTCGTACAATTGTCAAACACAATAAGGGGAAGTGCAGTGCATAAGAACCATAATTCTATCTAAAGTAATTACAGAGTTATTGCCCTTTGTTACTTTTCCATTGCTTTCTTTTGTCTGGAGTATAACTTGAAGACTAATTGTTGGAATTCATTATAACTTCATACAATGGTCAAGCACATTGAGAGGAAGTGCAGTGCACAAGAACCATAACTCCATCTTGACTAATTACAGAGTTACTGCCGTTTGTTACTTTTCCATTGCTTTTTTTGTCCGGAGGCATAACTTGAAGACTAATGGTTGGAATTCAATATAACTTCATACAATGGTCAAGCACATTGAGAGGAAGTGCAGTGCACAAGAACCATAACTCCGTCTTGACAAATTACAGAGTTATTGCCCTTTGTTACTTTTCCTTGTCCAGAGCATAACTTGAAAACTACTGTTTTGAATTCAATACAACTTCATACAGTTGTCAAGGACATTAAAAGGAAGTGCAGTGCATAAGAGCCATAGCTCCATTTTGACAAAAATACAGAGTTACTGCCTTTTGATACTTTTCCTTGTCTGGAGCATAACTTAAAACGTACTGGTTGAAATTTAAAACAACTTCATACAATGGTCAAGCACAAAAGAGGAAGTGCAGTGCACAAGAACTATAACTCCATCTTCAGTATTTATAGAGTTATTGCCCTTTGTTCCTTTTCTTTGTCTTTCTGGACTTATTACAGAGTAATTCAATAAAACTTCATCAATGGCCAACCACATTGAAAGGAAATGCAATATACAAAAACCACAACTATCTTTAATTGCCCACAACCATAACTCTATATTTCAATTCTTTTACAAGATTCTCTGTTACTAGTAACATCCTCATTTCCGAAGCAGTCTTGTGGGGGTATTAATCACATTTAGTGATAGTTCTAGTTTATTTTAATACTTTTTTTTGAAGTGAAGAAAATACATGATATACATTTGTCATTGATGTATAAAAATAAGAAGGCGAGGTTAGAAGAACAAGTCTAAAACAAAAATTTTATTTCTAACATTTTATGAAAGTAATTTTTAGGTGTTTACGATACTTTATCATGGCTTTGATATGTAAGAAATTTTTTGGCTTTAGCATGTACAAAATTTTCTTATGCTGACAATGTGAACATGCTCTGTTACAGATTGAGACATTCCAACAGAAAGTGAGCAAACTTGAGCAGGAAAAAGAACATTGGATGCTGGAACATCAACTTTTGAAAATCAAGTTTGAAAATGAAACAGAGGTAGATTCATTTTTAGCTCGACTTTTCTATGAAAAGGGGAGCTATCCTACTCGCCCCGGCGTCGGCGTTGGCGTCACACCTTGGTTAAGTTTTTCGTACCACCCCACTTTATTTCAGAAGTATTACAAGTATGGCTTTGAAACTTACCATACTTGTTCACCATCATAACCTCCATCTACAGACAAGAGTACATAACTCTGTCAAGGTTTTTGACAGAATTATGGCCCTTTTTTGACTTAGAAAGTGTATTGAGCTTGGTTAAGTTTTTTGTACCACCTCACTTTATTTCAAAACCATTGGAGGTATTGCTTTGAAACTGACCATACTTGTTTACCATCACGACCTTCATCAACAGACAAGAGGACATAACTCTGTCAAGGTTTTAGACAGAATTATGCCCCTTTTTGACTTAGAAAATACATTGAATATGGGTAAAATCCACTTATTGCCTTAACCCTTTGAGATATTGCTTTGAAACTTTTAATGCTATTTCACATCATTACCCCCATCTGTACGCAAGAGAAGGTAACTCTGTCAAGGATTTGTTTTAAAAATTAAGGCCTTTTATCGACTTAGAATCTTGGTTAAGTTTTTAGTACCAGTCCACTTTTTGACTGAACTGTTTGAGATATTAATTTGAAAGTTGGAATACTTGTTTACAATCATGATTCCCAAACATGTCCAGGAGAAGGTAATTCTGTCAAAGATTTTATTTGAATTATGGCCCTTAACTGTCAATGTTTTGTATTATAGGCAAGCACTAAAAAACTTAAAAAATCTAAAAAAAATCATTCCTATCCACTTGTTCACTCTCAAAGTGGGTTTAATACTATTAAATTTATTTAAGGCTCAACTCAGTTTTTTTTTCTTTCTTACCAGCCCTCTTTTGACTTAAACATTTCAAACTTTGCTGCAGTGTTCAAGGGTATCACACAATTCAGTAAAATAATTCTTCACTAAATATCTTAATGCTCATGGCCATTGTTCACTTTAAAAATACAGAGATTCTTTTATTGCCTTTTACTGCAAAAACTTTTTTTATTGGCAAGCAATAAAAAAGTCGAGCGCGCTGTCTTACGGACAGCTCTTGTATAGTTACCTTCTTTGCTATTCTTTTAACCTTTTTGTCAGACTTACATTTTCCTCAAAATTAAGTATTATTCACAGAGATATTTTGAATTTGTAACTGTAAATTGTTGTGAAAAGGATATTGTCAACAATATGTGTTATATGAGATCGAGTTCAAATGTGCTGGAATATAATTATGAAGACCAATAGGCCCGAGTGATTAATTACATAGCATTAAAAATTTTGAGCAATAAACCATGCATTAAAACATGCCAACTTGAAAAATTGCTTAACTTATTGTTTTCTTATTCTGTCAATTTAAACATAATATTTAAACATGTATGTTGTCGTATCAGGCAAATAAGGTAAATAAGGTATATTAATACTTATTTCATGATTTTATTATACAGTTATAATTTAGTTTATATTTTGTTTTATTGTTAAAGATCAGTTAGCATCATTAAATAAACCTTAAAACTTATCCTGTGTTGATTTTTTGTTCCACTTTTATTGATTTTCTAAGTATTGTTTAAGATGTTAATTATGAATTTGTTTGATAGTTTTATCTTTATGTTGCAGGAAAATTTATTTATTAAAACTTGGATTTTCTAAAACTCTCTGAAGATATTGCTTTAAGTAAATTATGTATGATGATAATAGATGATAGTGATATACATGTATTTTAAACTGGTTAAATTAAATCTATTTTTAGACAATGATTTGTTGATAAGAACATGTGGTTTTACCCGCTAAATATCTCACAAAACTAAAGTTACTGGTATCCCATAACATTTTATTTTGATTGTAATTAACTGTGAAAATGATTTTTGGTAAATTTCCAAATTCCTGCACTTTAACTTCCCTAGTTTTACAATATTTTGTGTTAGGTTACAAAATAGATCTTAAGTTATCTACTTTAACTACCTCAGATAAAATATTTTATGAAACCATCATTTTATCAGTTACAGTTTAATGTTCTATATCTTAATTATATTGTCATGCTTGGTAAAATAGTCCTTACTATGTTAATCCATAGTAATGTTGTGAAATAATTGATTAGGTTTGATATCAGTGGTACAAGTTTACTATTTGCTTTGTATATAGATGATTGAAAATTAACCCTTGTCATGGTAAATACCTTGTATGAACTTGTCAGTCAAAACCATTCTTTTTTTAGGGGAAACCTCAAAATATGTATTGACTGAATAGCATATAGTGCTGTCAGATGAGTAGAAATAATTGCCACCAGCAGGCTTAGGGATAAAATATCTATAGATAGGGAGTAAATTAATGCCTTTGAAATCATTTAGAAATTTAATTTTCTTCTTAGCATGTCTCAGTATTTAATACATTTACTTTCTCACTACATGTATCATTTTACAAGCTTTCAATGTGAAGAAACTATCTAGCTACTAGCTAATTTATGGAAGGTTTGTGGTTCTATTCAGGTGCTTGTCCTTGACTGAAATTATCTTTTACTCATTTGGATGTTACTAGAACAAATCACAGTGCTTTCTTGCCTAGTGAGATCCTGACCAAGTAAAGACCACTTGAGTCAGATAATAGTTCCAGATTAAGATGCTAATACAATAACCCTATTACACGAGATTTTTAGATATGACATAAATATTTTCTATTTTCTAGAAAAGTAAGAAGTTAGAGAAACAGCTAGAGAACAGTAGTCATGTAGAGCAGATCACATCAATACAAGATAATATAGAAACACCTGTCCCTGTCAGGAAAGGAACAGATTCGGATAAACGTCTTGATGTTACCATGGTAACTTAACTGTTTTATTATTCAAGTAATGCTATGTTTATTGAATTAGGACATTTCATTATAAATGAAAAATTGTCTCAGTTTTGGTCTTAAGACTGATATCTGACTTAGGACTTTCTGTGAAACAGAACTCCGGTTCTGTATTAGAACATTTTGAATGTTTACCCTTTCACACTGTTTTCATGAAGTTATTCCTTTTTTTAGCTCACCTGAGCATGCTCAGGGTGAGCTTTTAGGATCGATGATTGTCCGTCGTCCAATCACATTTAGTTGTTAACACTCTAGCGGTCGCATTTTTGCCTCAATCATCATCAAACTTGGTCAGGAGGCTTATCTAGTTGATAGCTCGGATGAGTTTGAACATGGGTCATCTCGGATGAATAACTAGGTAACAAGAGCTAAAAATAGATAAACCTTGTTAACACTCTAGAGGTCACATTTTTGCCTCAATCATCATCAAAGGTGGTCAGGATGCTTGTCAAGGTGATAGCTTGGATGAGTTCGAACATGGGTCATCTCGGAAGAAAAACTAGGTCACCGGAGCTAAAAATAGAAAAACCTTGTTAACACTCTAGCAGTCACATTTTTGCCTCAATCATCATCAAACTTGGTCAGGATGCTTGTCTAGGTGATAGCTCAGATGAGTTCGAACATGGGTCATCTCGGATGAAAAACTAGTTCAACGGAGCTAAAAATAGAAAAACCTTGTTAACACTCTAGCAGTCACATTTTTGCCTCAATCATCATCAAACTTGGTCAGGATGCTTGTCTAGGTGATAACTCGGATGAATTCGAACATGGGTCATCTCGAATGAAAAACTAGGTCACCGGAGCTAAAAATAGAAAAACCTTGTTAACACTCTAGCGGTCACATTTTTGCATCAATCATCATCAAACTTTGTCAAGATGCTTGTCTAGGTGATAGCTTGGATGAGTTCGAACATGGGTCATCCTGGATGAAAAACTAGGTCACCGGAGCTAAAAATAGAAAAACCTTATTAACACTCAAGCAGTCACATTTTTGCCTCAATAATCATCAAACTTGGTCAGGATGCTTGTCTAGGTGATAACTCAGATGAGTTAAAACATGGGTCATCTCGGATAAAAAACTAGGTCACCGGAGCTAAAAATAGAAAAACCTTGTTAACACGCTAGCGGTCACATTTTTGCATCAATCATCATCAAACTTGGTCAAGATGCTTGTCTAGGTGATAGCTTGGATGAGTTCAAAGTGGGTCATCCTGGATGAAAAACAAGGTCACCGGAGCTTAAAATAGAAAAACCTTATTAACACTCTAGCGGTCACATTTTTGCCTCAATCATCATCAAACTTGGTCAGGATGCTTGTCTAGGTGATAGCTCGTACGAGTTCAAACATGGGTCATCTCGGATGAAAAACTAGGTAACTGGAGCTAAAAATAGAAAAACCTTGTTAACACTCTAGCGGTCACATTCTTGCCTCAATCATTATCAAACTTGGTCAGGATGCTTGTCTAGGTGATAGCTTGAATGAGTTCGAACTTGAGTCATCTCGGATGAAAAACTAGGTCACAGGAGCTAAAAATAGAAAAATCTTGTTAACACTCTAGCGGTCACATTTTTGACACAAGTGTCATCAAACTTGATCAGGATGCTTATCTAGGTACTTGCTCGGATGAGTTCGAACATGGGTCATCTCGGATGAGAAACTAGGTCACAGGAGCTAAAAATAGAAAAATCTTGTTAACACTCTAGTGGTCACAATTTTGACTCAATTGTCATCAAACTTGGTCAGGATGATTGTCTAGGTAATTGCTCGGATGAGTTCGAACATGGGTCATCTCGGATGAAAAACTAGGTCACAGGAGCTAAAAATAGAAAAATCTTGTTAACACTCTTGTGGCTACTGTTTTGATCCAAATATCCTGTAAATTGGTCTGAAAGTTTGTTTTGATGATTTCTAAGGCAAGTTCGAACATGGGTCATCTCGGATGAAAAACTAGGTCACACCGCCCAAATATGGAAAAACCTTGTTAACACTCTAGTGGTCACATTTTCGACTCAATTATCATCAACCTTGGTCAGGATGCTTGTCTAGGTAATTGCTCGGATGAGTTCGAAATCGCATGTGAAACTAGGTCACCTGAGCTAAAATAGAAAATTCTTGTTAACACTAGTTGCTACTGTTTTGATCCAAGTATCCTGGAAATTGGTCTGAAAGTTTGTTTTGATGATTTCTAGGTCAAGTTTGAATATGGGTCACCTTGGTAAAAAACGAGGTCACACTGCCACACAAATATTGATAATCCTTGTTAACACTGTAGTGGTCACATTTTTGACTCACCTGTCATGAAACTTGGTCAGAATGCTTGTCTAGGTAATTGGTTGGATGAGTTTGATGGGTCAGGTGAGCGATCTAGGGCCATCATGGCCCTCTTGTTTAAATTCTTCTGATTAGTTTTAAAGATATCAAGACACACACATACATGTGTAAACTTAATGTGACAGCCAAATATATAATATCTTATCAGAGGTTTAAAGAAGCTTGTCTGAGTTTATACCACTTATAAAGGGCTACATATATCATTTCTAGCGGTCATTATTTTAATTTTGTTATTGTTATTCCAGCTAGGGAAGGTTGATAGCTCTACAAAATCTACAGGTGTTGTTGATACAAGAGAGATGTTAATAAAGAATCATTTCTCTACAAGAATTAATGAACTAACTCAACAGCTACAATTATCAGACAGCAAATGTGTGAGCTTCCATGCTGAGGTAACTCTATTTTACTAGAGAAATACTTTTCTTTTGTTTATTTATCTTCTTAGATATTGGTAGTGATTGATTGAGTAAAAAGGAACCATAAGTTCACAAATAATAATAGAGTAAATATATCATTTAAGCCTGTTTAAATCAGAGTTTGCAGAGAATTTGTTATATTACATGTACAAAAAATTTGAAAATTATTAAATAGGCTCAAGGAAATCATAATTGGCTCAAACTTACGCAAAGTGTGACTTTTGGAATCTCCAGTCTAAATTAGCACTTGCTATTAAGTACACATTTGGTTTTCCATTTACAACATCTGCTTTGCCGCTTCTTATCTCAAAACATAGCGACACAGTCTAAAATGACTAAATCTTAGTTCAAACCATAGCACTTAAAAGTAAAACTGCATTATAAAGACATCTTTTTTCAAATACTGCTTAAAATTTTGCTAGGATTCTGTTTTTGTTTTGAGACTAAAGAAAATATTCACTCAAATTTGTAAGACTTGTAATGAGCAAAATATTATAGCAATGTCTGATGGCTATCTGTCCTTTTTGTTGGTTATTCTCAATATCACATAGGAAAAATAATATTAACTTTCTCCTGTCATAGAATCATAGCTGATGATATGTTTTGACCATAAATTAGGAAGATAGAGCACCATTAGCATTCATCAGAATTATTTTATGGTGAACATAAATGATGTTTTAGTTGAAATATGTTGAGAGAATCATGTTGACATATGTTGTAGGTTCGAGCCTTACACAAACAATTACAGATGGGTGAGAGAGCCAAGAAACATGCCGAGGATGAACTTAAAGCAATGTCACAAACATACGCTCAACTCAAGGTATGTATTCTAGTATCTGATTTTATGACACTGCCTGCTATTATAATTTGTTAGAAGTATCAAAGCATGTATTTTTTTATCAGCTTAAGAAATTTGATCATAATAATTTTATTATTATATTTTTAGTTCAAGATATTATAAACTATAAAGTGCTATGTATGCTGTATTTAAATGTATTTAAAACACTGACCAGTGAAATAATGAATAGGTCATATTAGACTGTATGAAAATTTAGTATCAAATACATGTGTACATGTATTATAAATGGTAACATTACTTTGCAAATATAAAATAAGGTATAAGTCTTCCACTAGCTTAAACACTGGAATCATTTGTTGCTGAAGGTGTTTTGTTATATAATATGTACAAGAGTGTGCATTTACCAACCTCATTTGGTCAGGAAGTTAGTTGTTTGACTCGGTTGTCATTATAAAGCAGGATTTTTGTATGATTCAATGGTATCTACTATTTAGTTATATCCTAAAAAAAAATTATTATAGACATTAAATGTATATTTATATATGTGTAATGCGCCATTTATTTGATTATTTGTAAGACTGTCACTCTCACCCCAAAGTTGAATGTAGGGGACATGTCAAAATTTCATCTTCTGTCGGTCCTTAGATTGTTAGTTTCACTTTTGGCAAATGCCTCCCTGGTCGAGGGTTAGAGTTGATGACTTCTAATCCAGTTACCTCTCTGGCGTGGGTTCGATCCCCAGGAGATGCTTTGGTAGTTAAGCGCGGAGGAAGGTAGTCTAGTACTGGTGTAACTCTCCAGGAACAATGGTTAGGAAACTACCCGCCTATATGACTGAAATACTGTTGGGAAAAGGCGTAAAATAAAACAAACAAACATCACTTTTAGCACCAAATCAATGTGATTTATGTCTTACTGTTCAAGGGTATTTAGTTGTATCTTATCATTTAATGATAACTAAATGAAGGCCCTTTACTGGGGTTAAGGTAAACATTAAGTGAATTTCTTGCTTTTACTTGTGGGTGTGATGGATCAGTGAGTGTTACAGTTGACTAGTGCTTAACAGGCATTAATGATATTGATTGAATGTATTTAGGATGAGTTATCAACCACCAGTAAGAACTATGAAAGCCAGTTAAGTATGATGAGTGACCACTTGGCTGGAATGAATGAAAAACTGACCCAACAAAAAGATGAAATAGATGAACTCAAGTCTCAGATATCCAATGCTAAATCTTCATCTTCATCATCACATTCTAAGGTAAATTTTCCGTTAAATTTCTAAAAATGTTAATTAATGTTTTGATCCGTATGATTATCTATAGATAAAGGGGGGCATCTGTGGCCAAGTGGTTATGGTCGTTGACATCAAACCACTAGCTCCTCACTGCCTATATGGGTTCGAATCCCGACAGGAACTTTGGATTCTTTGATGCGAGGAAGCTATCCAGATAGCTGACAGACATTGGTGGTTCTACTCAGGTTCCTGTTCATGCCTGAAATAATGCACAGAAGGGCACCTGAGGTCATCCTCCACCAGTAAAGCTGGAACGTTGCCATATGACCTATAATGTGTCCGTGTGACGTAAAACCCAATTAAACAAACAAAAGCAAAATCTACTGATTAAGTTATAATATTGCTATAAATATTCAGCGATCTATGTTGCTTTACTGATAATAATAATATATATAACAAATGATAACCATTGGAAACTACCTATGCAATTAGAGTTATTGCTCCTGACGTGATAGCTATTGAAAACTACCTATACAATTAGAGTTATTTCACCTGACGTGATAATCACTGAAATCTACCTATACAATTAGAGTTATTGCTCCTGACATGATAACCACTGAAATCTATCTATACAATTAGAGTTATTGCTCCTGACATGATAACCACTGAAATCTATCTATACAATTAGAGTTATTGCTCCTGACATGATAACCACTGAAATCTACCTATACAATTAGAGTTATTGCCCCTGACATGATTACCATTAAATCAACCTATACAATTAGAGTTTTTGCTCCTGACATGATAACCACTGAAATCTACCTATGCAATAAGAGTTATTGCTCCTGACGTGATAACCATTGAAATCTATCTATACAATTAGAGTTATTGCCCCTGACATGATAACCATTGAAATCTACCTAAACAGTTAGTTATTTCTCCTGACGTGATAACCATTGAAATCTATCTATACAATTAGAGTTATTGCCCCTGACATGATAACCATTGAAATCTACCTAAACAGTTAGTTATTTCTCCTGACGTGATAACCACTGAAATCTATCTATACAATTAGAGTTATTGCCCCTGACATGATAACCATTAAATCAACCTATACAATTAGAGTTATTGCTCCTGACGTGATAACCACTGAAATCTATCTATACAATTAGAGTTTTTGCTTCTGACATGATAACCACTGGAATCTACCTTTACAATTAGAGTTTTTGCTTCTGACATGATAACCACTGAAATCTACCTAAACAGTTAGTTATTTCTCCTGACGTGATAACCATTGAAATCTACCTATACAATTAGAGTTATTGCCCCTGCTGTGATAACCATTGAAATCTACTTATACAATTAAAGTTATTGCCCCTGACATGATTACCACTGAAATCTACCTATACAATAAGAGTAAATGCCCCTGACATGATAACCAATGAAATCTACCTATGCAATTAGAGTTATTGCTCCTGATGTGATAACCATTGAAACCTATCTATACAATTAGAGTTATTGCCCCTGACATGATAACCATTGAAATCTACCTAAACAGTTAGTTATTTCTCCTGATGTGATAACCATTGAAAGTTACCTACTCAATTAGAGTTATTGCCCCTGACGTATCAGTACTTTGCATTTCCCTTTCAATCTTAATGTAAAATGTATTAGGTTTTATTTGCACATTTTACAAAAATATTGTGTTAATGTATATAAGTTCGGTAATAATATAACACATTTCCCCATTTGTTTTTAATTACAATTATTTTTTTCTACATTTCAGTTTTCATTGAAAAAATCCAGAAAATGAGGCCATGTAGGATGTACATCTGTAAAACAAGGAGAAACAGTTTACTTACTTCTGTCTTATGGTTTACCAATGATCATTACTTTTACATTGTTTTCTCAGGGGCCTTGAGCTTATCCAATGATTTATTTCCTATATCCTCTGTTGATTTTTATTGATTGGTTGATGAAGAAAAAGCTATCCTTTAAATATGGACATATGTAGGGCGCTAAGATTTACATGTTTGCAAATGATATTACATGTACATTTCGGAAAATTCAGTGTCAAGTCATGTTGGTGTCTTGCATTTGCAAATCAAGTATTATAATAAGTGTAATGGGTAGATGTTCTCTCTTTTATTGGGCGTGCATTTGGAAACTGTTTAACCATTGAATCTAGAAGGAATTGTGTGTGTAAAGAACTGTGCAATATAACATTATTATGTACTTTTAAGATAAATAAAGAGAAATTTACATGCATTTTACATTTTTATGTTCATGTATGTGTTTTGTATAACAATGTTGTGATTAAATTTATGAAATATATTTAGTTTGAGATGAACTGATTTTGTTATTTTGAAACTTGTACCATTTCTGTACAATCTAACTGGTGAAGAATGAAGAAAATTATACGTTAAACTGGTACCACTACCCCCTACCCACATTCACACATAGACCTTCACCAACATTATCAAGCTTCACTTATAAGCACTGCTTAAAGTATTTTAGCTCAACTATAGGAAGAACAAGGAGAGATATTGTGCTTAACTCCTGTGCTGGCGACACAATTTGGTTGCGTTTTTGCGTACAAGTTGGCATCTCCGAAGCTATCATTTGAAACTTCACACACTTTGATTTCTGTGATTAGCTCGTATTATTGGCATAAGTCCCATAATTCTGAGCTGAGCTGTTACAGAGTTATGTCCATTTTCTTACTGTCTAGCGACAGCGTGGAGTTTTAGCAGAGAACTTTCGTGTTGTTGCAGTGCGAAGAAACACGATCATGACTCAAACCGAAAAATTTGTGGGTTGAGAAGCACTAGCACACATACCCACCTTTAATCCCTCAATGAAAGAATACACAAGACGGATTTATTTCTTATTAAGCTCTCATAATACCAAAATATTATATGGATTTTGGTGTGTTTTGTGCCAAATTTGGGATGGTTGAAACTGATTCTTTGAAGTAGTCATGTTTGAAGTGATATTAAAGTTTGTTTTGTTTTTATTTTGAAATATATAACATACTACAGTAGATTAATCACAGTTTACAGTGGAACCCACTAAATCGGTAAAATTGATCTGGTTCTTCTTTGTAAAAAAATGCCCCCCCTCCTCTATCTTGAAACCAAGTGATTATTAGATGTCTATAAACAACATATAATTATGCACTTGGACTACCTATCTCGGAAAAGCGGGTACTGACTTTCAGATCATGGGCCCAGCACTGCGTTGATAGTCTGTTAATTTTAGAAATTGTTAAATAGTTGAACGGCACATCATCAGTGCGGCAGAACGAAAGGTAAAATCTTGGTAAATTCCCTATGCAATCCTCTGCATTGCCCCCGATCAGAAGTTAAAAAATTAAAATTGCCCGAACACTGATATATCACAATCATCAATTCATAAGTGAAATATAAATATATTTTATACTTATTCATGGTAAATAAAATAGTGTTATGCAAATAAATTTCTTCTGAGTTATACAAGTATCGACCATGGGCAACACGCTTGCTGTTGGCGATGTAATAAAAACGCATTTTGACAGGTGCGTATGACTTCATTTGCATTTATGCAATCTACCAATTTCATTAACAATTACAGGTAAATTAGAAGAAAAAAAACAAACGAAAAATGGCGCGAAAATGATGAGAGAACGAATTTTTGGTATACTGATATCTATTAACTATTCAAACCTACCACATTGTGATAAGCTATTTCATTATTTAGTGTCCAACTTTGTCAACCAATTGAAACGCTGTATTTCTTCAAAATTGTGTACGTTAATTTTCATAGAACAAAAGTCGATACTATATCAAATTCATGTACATAGTCTATAGAAAAATTTTAGCCAAAACTTTCTTCCAAAGATTTTACGTGATAATTTCAATGATTTGCAAAAAATGTATGATTATTTATCGTTCTATATATGGATTTTGTAACTTGACTTTGTGGTATTTTAATCATATATATGTCAATAGATATGTGTTATTTAATGTGTCAAAATAAAGACTTAAGGCGATCTTACTCGTATATCGAGTATTTTAGGAAATTTATACTATGTGACAAACTAATAAAAATTTTAATATGAAGTTCTCGGGCATGAAGTACAGGTCAGTGTTACGAGAATTGGTTTATGCAACCATATTTTATTAGTATAAAAGAGGAAGGGCGATGGTATACCGATTTGATAATACTTATATTGTGCAAAAATTGGTACATTTTTGTATGTATTTTAATACAGTCTCTCATTTGTATGTAAATGTGAAGAAAAATGCCCTCTTCTTTCATGCTGTCAAAAGTTCAAAATAAGTTTGTCTTAACAGAACATTTCATTACACGTGCTAGTACTAGTATACTGTTGAAAACAATGTTTTTTCTGATTTGTTTATTTTTATATTTATATAATAAAAGTGCCATCATCACATATAGTCTATAATTAATGAATTTATAATATAAAAGAAAGTCGACTGTATTATGGGCATAATGCGAAAGGACCAATTAATAATACCAACAATATTTTCAAAAAAATACTGAAGTGGGATGAAAAATTTAAGATTTCTTTCAGGAAAGTTTCACATTATATCAAGCTTTACTAGTGGAAAAAGTTTAATTGATCGCACACTCGCACTTTTCTCAAAACAAAAATGAATTAAAATATTTTGGCTACACGGTAAATACCATAATATTGCTTCTAGAAAAGTGCCTGGTTTCAATGCTTTAGTTAATTTCATTACGTATGCACATATTTTTTCATCTTTATATTCATGTATAGTGTTGGTTTTATTTACTTTAATATGGGTACCTTGCTGAATTGATAGTTATAAGCATATGAAATTTAAATGTTATAAATTGAGTGTATAGATAATAAAGCCAATGTAGCAAAACTCCTTCGATTTGATGTCATTCAAGCAATGAAAATACTGTACTTGTCTGAAATAGAAATTACAACAACATAAACGTCTTGGATTTCCTTTTTTTATTTATTCTTATTTACATCATTTACAGAATAAGTGCATGTCCCAGAACATCTATAAATAGAAACATAAATACAACAAAATCAAATCGCAAAAATAATTGCTCGAAAATAAAAGACGAAAAGTTTCTAAATGAAACAACCAAATAATTCATAGATAGTCTGGGAGATTGAGTGCAACATTCTGATTTGTTGCACTTTGTGCCAGTGCAACGTGTGTGAAATATGCTTTACTACAAAAAGGTTTCATAAATGTCATACTGCTAAATAAATATTGTATTTTTATCAAATTCTCTTAAACGACTTTTTTGTTAGATAGATTAAAAGGAAATCTGCATTTTTGATAACAAAAATAGTTTGTAAAAATTTAACGCCGAAATCTCTTAGCTCTTGCTTTTAAAAGAACATGCAATAGTTGTATAAGGAAATGAAAACTGCTTTATTGTTACGAAAATTTACGATTCAATAATGAAAAATACAACAATTATTTCATAACACCTTTTGAACTGTTTTTTTTAATACCGCAAAGAAGCATGTTACACACACGTGGCAAGCTATCGTCATACATAGCATGTTCCAAAAACGCTGGTATACCCCGGCTAGTATACACCGGCTGGTATGCACCGTCTGGTATACCCCGGCTGGTATACACCGGCTAACATTCTCTATCCTCATATACATATGACATTCATTTTACGTGAACAATATTCAAGCCTTATAAAATAACTAATGTTGGATTTCATTCGAAAATATATGACAAACTACATTATTTTATGATACTAACAAAGTACATTGTATAAATGTGCATTAAAATAACAATATGCCCTTAACACCATCACATTCATAGAAATAAATAAATTAAATGATATCCAGCAAAATAAACAATTCATATATTTGAAAGATATAGAATGTATTCGACCATTTAAAAATGATTTTGTTTCAGATATTATCAAAAATGAAGAAGTTTGATTTAATAATGCAGGTTGGTTTCTGCCTATATTCTCTTATTTAAATAATTCGCTACTTTCCAATAGAAACACTAAAACGTTAGCCATGAAAACTAAAATATGAAAATAAGAATGTTATGCTTAAAAGTCAATACTAATCATAAATGTAATATCGTTTCCAAATTTCTTCTCTATATTTACAGGCGTTATGTAAAAACAAAAATAATTTCAGGTCATTTTAGGTAATTCATTATTTGAATGATTTCATAGAAAGTTAATGTTTATGGTGTATGCTAGAGGGATGACACATAAAAATAAAAAAAAATTCTCTTAATCTTTTATCTTCCTACAACATCAAAGATATATTACGTCCATTCTTTAAACAAATACTGACTTATAATATTTTTAAATATTTAAATCAAAGAGAAAACGTAGACATGTTACCGAAATTTTGTGTCATTTACAAAAGAATCACTCTGTTTGTTTATATGTTCTTTAACAACATGAATAAACTAAGTTCACTACACACTGCCTGATGTATAGTGCTTTTATCTTACATGGTATCATGTTGTTAGTAACATGGTTATAGAATAAAGATTAACAAAGGTTTTATGAAATCCATAACTCTGACGAAATATGATAATTTGGACATAATATATCTTTAAAAAAAAAGAAAAACCACAATAGAAAAAGATAACGATTTAACTTCAATGAGAATAACGCTTTTGATAGAATTTTATTGGAAAAAAAACACCATTATTTTTTATTAAAACAAAAAACACATTAATATATTCTGAATAATAAGAGTATGCAAATTAGTTCCTGAGTGTTTATTTGTTTATAATTGTATAAAAAAATTGACTTGCATATATAATTAGCATATATATAATTATATAATTATAATAGTTGAAGAAATTTCGATATTCTAATAAATAGCTATATACACTATAACATGTAAACTTGACTTTATATATTACTGTCATCAGCTATGGCTATCATTAATGTTCGAAAGGTTAAAGATGGACAATCTATATAATATCAATATGAATACTACAAGGGCTTGATGCGAATTTAATATAACTTCTTTATGTCATATCAGTTACAACCGTTTCGCAGAAATCCCTTGAAATATAGTTTTCTTTCCTAATCAGACATTTCCCCTAAATTTTTGTACAGAAACCTTGGTGGACCTTGTTTAACTGTTACATTATTGCCTCTTGAATTTACTTCAGAAAATGATAAGTAAATAGAAAGTAACTAGAGTAATGAATGAAAATAATTGTAAATAGCGAATCTGTCAGATTGACCATCTTTAACTATGCACATTTTGTAAATAAATCTCTGTTTAGATAACTAACTTAATTTTCAGACGACTTTCATTTCATTTTTCAAAAGTTCTATCATTGAGATTACATGTGTATATATAAATAATGATAAATGAAGTTAAATGAGATACAGTCATTAAAAATCAGATAAAATTCCTGTTTATTGTTATCAGACTTACTATTTAATTAAACAAAACTGAGACTTATCAATATACACATCATGCTCCACTAAAAGTAATAAACCTTACTTTAATCGATATCACAAGACTGTTAAGCTTTTATCAATGAAGTTAATTTCTATCCAAACCCATTCCCAGCTAATATTATTGAAACAATATGTCTTTATGAAGACTACGGTAGCCATGTCTGACAGAAAATATTTTAATATGTTCATGTATTAGGAAATTACCATTAATGGTGACGAACTAAGGAGCCGGTGCTCCATGAATTGTCGTTCCAACCATTGTTATTGCCCCATCCGTTGTTATTGCCCCATCCGTTGTTGTTGCCCCATCCGTTGTTATTGCCCCATCCGTTGTTATTACCCCATCCGTTGTTGTTGTTCCATCCATTGTTGTTCCATCCGTTGTCATTATGTCCAAAATGACCGAAAGATTGTGAGCCGCCTGTAGAAAAGCCTACACCGCCATGACCGAAAGATTGTGAGCCGCCTGTAGAAAAGCCTACACCGCCATGACCGAAAGATTGTGAGCCGCCTGTAGAAAAGCCTACACCGCCATGACCGAAAGATTGTGAGCCGCCTGTAGAAAAGCCTACACCGCCAACGGATGACCAGATACCATGATACTGCTGACCTCCTCCAAAAGAATCATATCCTCCAAAATGGCCAGCACCTCCTAGAGAAGCTCCTGCACCGCTGTACATTGGTCCTGCTCCAAGCGAACTTCCAAAACCACGTGATCCGCCACCGATTCTACCATGGAAACCGTAAAAATCCTCATCATCGAAGAAATCGTCATCTCCAAATCCACTAACAATACCTCCAAAACCACCACCACTAATTCCACCGAATCCACCACTAATTCCACCGTATCCACCACTTATTACGCCATATCCACCACCTATTCCACCGTATCCACCCTTGTAGCCGCCATAACCTTCCAAATAGAGTGTTTTGATATGAATTTTGTATTCTTAAGAACTTTTGATTGCTTCAGAATTTCAAACTTATGTTTTTTAGGTTTTAAAACTTTAAAAGAACAAAAATGTATACAAGTATTATAGTATTTATAAATATTTAAAGCTTAATCATTCGATACAAACAACGAGTACAAACAACGAGTATTCGTAAAATCAAACTCAAGATGCCACTTACCCTTTTTCATTGGCATAACTGGTACTTTCATAACTGGAACAACTGGGATGACTGGCTTTGGTAGAGGAACCTTCATTACAGGGACGACGGGGATCACTGGCTTGGGCTTAGGTACTTTTACGACAGGAACCACAGGGATGACAGGTCTTGGTTGTGGTACTTTAACTACTGGAACCACAGGGATGACTGGCTTAGGTTTGTGTACCTTGACAACTGGCACAACTGGGATAACTGGCCTAGGCTTTGGGACTTTGACAACAGGGACAACTGGAATAACTGGCCTAGGTTTGGGTACCTTAACGACTGGAACAACAGGCACGGGGATAATGGGTTTTACTGAAATAGATATCAGACAATGAAAAAATATGAAAAAGTGTCAACAGATACATCTATAACATTTTGAAATTCTTTTACTTTATTTTCAAAAGAAAAAAAAATAAGAACAACAACAGTATCTTTTATTTCAATTCAATTTACCCTGAACCTATATTTGAATTTGAGATCCGAAACATTTTAACATTATTCTTTTAGTGTGTAGATTTATTCGATTTGAATATGGAGACAACTATGGAAGAACTATACTCACTCATATGTTTGCCATATCCACCACCGTAGCCTAATCCATAGCTATCACCATATCCACTACTGCCATATCCTTTAGACATGCCCCCAAATCCATGGGACATGCCTCCGTATCCATGGGACATGCCTCCGTATCCATGGGACATGCCTCCGTATCCATGGGAAATACCACCATATCCTTTGGAAATACCACCATATCCACCACCGTGTCCCCAGCTGCTTCCGGTATGATAATCATCGCCCCATCCACCAGTCAAACCACCAACAGAACCCCATCTGGAAGATTGAATACCAGATCCCCATCCTAATCCTGAGCCATGTCCGAAACCGTTGTTGTTGTTGTTGTTAAAATCGTTGAAGTTGTTAAAATTGTTGAAGTTATTGAAATTGTTGAATCCATCGTCTGCCTGGGCCAGTGTGGCCACAGCCAATACGAAAGTTGTTATAAATATATTCATTTTTTCTGAAAGGCAAACGAAAAATGCAATATCAAAAAGAAAAAAAAAGAGTTACAGAGATTGTTGCGCGTTTTCACTGAATTTTTTCTATCTAAAAACTGTTTAAAAAAAATGTCATTCAAAGCAAAAATTATTTATAAAAAGTTTGATATAATTAGATTTGCTCTATGTATTTCTTTTTGCGACAAAATATGTTAAGTTGAGAAAATATACTGATAATATAAATTATATTAAATAAAATTGCTTGGCGATATTTAATTCACTCAAAAAATGAAAGAAATGAATCGAATACTTACAACTGGATCAATCCAGAGTAGTAATGATTGAGATAAAACTCTCCGTCTTTTTATACCAAAAAATGTGTATGCCGCCATTATGCAATGGCGGGTAACTGCAGGTATATTACCCGGAAGTCTATGTAACATGAGCGTTTTGATTACTTGTAATTGGGGTAGACGGTGACAGATTACGACTGGCAGGCGTTCGTTACAGTGGAACCCACTAAATCGGTAAAATTGATCTTCTTGTTCTTCTGTATAAAAGAAATTCTGTATAAAAGAAATTGCCCCCCCTCTATCTTGAAACCCAGTGATTATTAGATGTCTATTAACAACATATGATTATGCACTTGGACTCCCTTATCTTGGAAAATCGGGTACAGACTTTCAGATTATCAAGGGCCAAGCACTGCATCCATAATCTGGTAATTTTAGCAATTGTTAAATGCTCCTGCATTGCGAGTTGAATTATCACCCGTGCCAAAACGAAACATGCATCGGCACAGCACATCAGTGCGATACTCTTGGTAAATTTCCTATGCAATCCTCTGCATTGTCCCCAGATTTAAAGTTAAAAAAAGAAAGTAGCCCGGACACTGATATATCACTATCATCGATTCATAAATGAAACATAAATATATTTAATACTTATTCATGGTAAATAAAATAGTGTTATGCAAATAAATTTCTTCTGAGTTATACAAGTATCGACCATGAGCAACACGCTTGCTGTCGGCGATGTTTTAATAAAAACGCATTTTGACAGGTGCATAATTATGACTTCATTTGCATTTATGCAATCTACCAATTTAATTGACAATTACAGGTAAATTAGAAGAAAAAAAAAACGAAAATGGCGCGAAAAGGATGAGAGAACGAATTTCTGGTTAACTATTCAAACCTACCACATTGTGATAAGCTATTTGTATGTGTTAGTATTCATCCGTGCTGTTCTACATAAATTAGAAACTTCGACGGGAGCGATAGCGAAAGGAGAAGTTTCTAATTTCTGTAGAACAGCTCCGGATGAATACTTACATATTTAGTGTCAAACTTTATTAGGCCTCATAATCACTCACTTTATTACGTCACTATGCCGTTCTATAAAGTACTATGAAAAATAGAAGTCGACTATGAACGGAATTCGATATAGTATCGACTTTTGTTCTTCTATGAAAATTTACGCACTGATTTTTGTCAGAAATACAGCGTTTTCATTGGATGACAAATAATGTTGGACACTAAATATGTTAGTATTCATCCGTAGCTGGTCAACTTCTCCTGTCGCTATCGCTCCCGTCGAAGTTTCTAATTTCTGTAGAACAGCACGGATGAACACTAACACATACAAATAGCTTATCACAATGTGGTAAGTTTGAATAGTTAATAGTTTGTCCAACTTTGTCATCCAATTGAAACGCTGTATTTCTTCAAAATTTTGAACGTTAATTTTCATAGAACAAAAGTCGATACTATATCAAATTCATATACATAGTCTATAAAACAATTTTAGCCAAAACTTTCTTCAAAATTGTTTACCGGATAAATTCAATGATTTGCAAACAATTTAATGATTATTTATCGTTCTATATGGATCATGTAACTTGACTTTGTGGTAGTTTTTATCATATATATGTCACTAGATATTAGTGTTATTCAATGTGTCAAAATAAAGACTTAAGGCGATCTTCTTCGTATATCGAGTATTTTAGGAAATTAATACGATGTGACAAACTAATAAAAAAAATTAATATGAAGTTCTCGGGTCAGTGTTACGTGAATTGGTTTATGCAACCATGTTTTATTAGTATAAAAGGGTATGGGCAAGGGTATACATATTTGGTAATATAAAAGAAAAAAAGTTTCAAGTAATTATACAAAGTCTGGAAAGAAATACTTATTCAAACAATACCCGCCCCCCCCCCCCCCACAAAAAAAAAAAAAAAAAAAAAAAAATTAAAATGGGAAGAAAGTTTTAAGATTTTTTTCAGGAAACATTATTTTAATACTTGTTATATCAGTATCACATTATATCAACTTATTAATGCTTGATTGGTGGGAAAAAGTGAATTGATCGCGCACTCGCACTACTCACGACATTTAAAAATGAATTTAAAATTTTGGTTTCCAAGGTAAATACCTAGAAAATTGCGTGTTTTTAAGGCAAATGCACACATGCTTTTATCTTACATGTTTAATAGTGTTGGTTTTATTTATTGAATATGGGTACTATGCTGAATTGGTAGTTATAAGCATATGAATGTTTAATGTTATAAATTAAGTGTATTGATAATAAAGCGAATGTAGCAAAACTCCCTTGTCAGTCTCCTTCGATTTGATGTCATTCAAGGAATGAAAATGAGCCGCGCCATGACAAAACCAACATAATGGGTTTCCGACCAGCATGGATCCAGACGAGCCTGCGCAGTTTGATCAGGATCCATGCTGTTCGCAATCAGTTTCTTTACTTGTTATAGGGTCTGTTAGCGAACAGCATGGATCCTGATCAGACTGCGCGGATGCGCAGGCTGGTCTGGATCCATGCTGGTCGCAAACCCATTATGTTGGTTTTGTCATGGCGCGGCTCAAATACTGTAGTTGTGAGAAATAGAAATTACAACAACATAAACGTTTTAAATTTCCTGTTTTTATTTATTCTTATTTACATCATTTACAGAATAAGTGCATGTCCCAGAACATCTATAAATAGAAACATAAATACAACAAAATCAAATTGCAAACAAATAATTGCTCGAAAAAACGAAAAGTTTCTAAATGAAACAACCAAATAATTCATAGATAGTCTGGGAGATTGAGTACAACATTCTGCGTGGCTGCACTTTGTGCCAGTGCAACGTGTGTGAAATATGCTTTACTTCAAAAAGGTTTTATAAATGTCATACTGCTAAATAAATATTGTATTTTTATCAAATTCTCTAAAACGACTTTGTTTGTTAGATAAATTAAAAGCAAAACTTAGTTTTGATGAAAAATATTTTGTAAAAATTTAATGCCGAAATCTCTGAGCTCTTGCTATTAAAAAGAGCATGCAATAGTTTTAACGAAATGAAAACTGCTTGTTTGTCAAGAAAATTTACGATAAAATAATGAAAAAACAACAATTATTCCACAACACCTTTGCACCGTTTTTTAATTTTTTAATACCGCAAAAAGCATGTTACACACACGTGGCAAGCTATCTTCATACATAGCATGTTCAAAAAACGCTGGTATACCCCGGCTAGTATACACCGGCTGGTATGCACCGTCTGGTATACCCCGGCTGGTATACACCGGCTAACATTCTCTATCCTCATATACATAAGACATTCATTTTACGTGAACAATATTCAAGCCTCATAAAATAACTAATGTTGGATTTCATTCGAAAATATATGACAAACTACATTAGTGTATGATACTAACAAAGTACATTGTATAAATGTGCATTAAAATAACAATATGCTCTTAACACCATCACATTCATAGAAATAAATAAATTAAATGATATTCAGCAAGATAAACAATTCATATATTTGAAAGATATAGAATGTATTCGACCATTTAAAAATGATTTTGTTTCAGATATTATCAAAAATTAAGAAGTTTGATTTAATAATGCAGGTTGGTTTGAGCAAACCAATCACTATTTCTGCCTATATTCTCTTATTAATTAAATATTTCGCTACTTTCCAATAGAAACATTAAAACGTTAGCCATGAAAACCAAAATATGAAAAATAATTTCAGGTCATTTTAGGTAATTCATTATTTGAATGATTTCATAGAAAGTTAATGTTTATGGTGTATGCTAGACGGATGCACATGAAAATAAAAAAAATCTCTCGAATTTTTATCTTCCTACAACATCAAAGATATATTACGTCCATTCTTTAAACAAATACTCTATGACTTATCAATTTTTTAAAAATATTTAATCAAAGAGAAAACGTAGAAATGTTACCGAAATTTTGTGTCATTTACCATAGAATCACTCTGTTTGTTTATATGTTCTTTAACAACATGAATAAACTAAGTTCACTATACACTGGCTGATGTATAGTGCTTTTATCTTACATGGTATCATGTTGTTAGTAACATGTTATAAAGTTTTGAATGAAAATAAAAGTTAACAAAGGTTTTATGAAATCCATAACTCTGACGAAATATGATAATTTGGACATAATATATCTTTAAAAGAAAGAAAAATCACGAACGAAAAAGATAATGATTTAACTTCAATGAGAATAACGCTTTTCATAGAAATTTATTTTTAAAAAGACTGTGATACTATATTCAGTTATTCTGTAATGTATGTTGCTTACGACAAATCACATTTATAAAAGTATCCAAATTAGTTCCAGAGTGTTTAATTCTTTATAATTGTATATAACAATTGACTTGCATATAATTAGCTTGTATAATTACAATAGTTAATTATAGAATAATAATAGAAATTTCGATATTAAATTGCTAATAACAAGGTAGCCAAATTTTTGTCTGAATACACTAACATGTAGACTGGATGTTGTCATCAGGCAAGCTATTATAATCGGTTAAAGATGGACAATCTATATATTATCAATATGAACACTAAAAGGGCTTAATGCTAATTCAATATAACTTCTTCTTTATGTCATATTAGTTAAAACCGTTTCACAGAAAGCCCTTGAAATGTCGTTTCCTTTCCTAACCAGACAAATCCCCAAAATGCGTGTACAGAAACCTTGTTAGACCACGTTTAACTGTTGCATAATTGCCTCTTGAAATTAGATTAGAAAATAATTAGTAAATAGAAAGTAAATCTGCTTTTAGAGTAATGAATGAAAATATTTCTATTTAGCGAATCTGTTAGATTGACCATCTTTAACTATGCACATTTTGTAAATAAATCTCTGTTTAGAAAAAAAAATCACTTAATTTTCAGACGACTTTCAATTTTATTTTTCAAAAGTTCTATCATTGAGATTACATGTGTATATATAAATAATGATAAATGAAGTTAAATGAGATACAGTCATTAAAAATCAGATAAAATTCCTGTTTATTGTTATCAGACTTACTATTTAATTATACAAAACTGAGACTTATCAATATACACATCATGCTCCACTAAAAGTAATAAACATAACTTTAATCGATATCACATAACTGTTAAGCTTTATCAATGAAGTTAATTTCTATCCAAACCCATTCCCAGCTAATATTATTGAAACAATATGTCTTTATGAAGACTACAGTAGCCATGTCTGACAGAAAATATTTTAACATGTTCATGTATTAGACATTACCATTAATGGTGACGAACTGAGGAGCCGGTGCTCCATGAATTGTCGTTCCAACCATTGTTATTGCCCCATCCGTTGTTATTGCCCCATCCGTTGTTGTTGCCCCATCCGTTGTTATTGCCCCATCCGTTGTTATTACCCCATCCGTTGTTGTTGTTCCATCCATTGTTGTCATTATGTCCAAAATGACCGAAAGATTGTGAGCCGCCTGTAGAAAAGCCTACACCGCCATGACCGAAAGATTGTGAGCCGCCTGTAGAAAAGCCTACACCGCCATGACCGAAAGATTGTGAGCCGCCTGTAGGAAAGCCTACACCGCCAACGGATGACCCGATACCATGATACTGCTGACCTCCTCCGAAAGAATCATATCCTCCAAAATGCCCAGCACCTCCTAGAGAAGCTCCTGCACCGCTGTACATTGCTCCTGCTCCAAGCGAACTTCCAAAACCACGTGATCCGCCACCGATTCTACCATGGAAACCGTAAAAATCATCATCATCGAAGAAATCGTCATCTCCAAATCCACCAACGATACCTCCAAATCCACCACTAATTCCACCGAATCCACCATTAATTCCACCGTATCCACCTCCTATTCCACCAAATCCACCACTTATTCCACCATATCCACCTCCTATTCCACCAAATCCACCCTTGTAGCCGCCATAACCTATAAACAATTAGAGTGTTTTGATGAGAATTTTGTATTCTTAAGAACTTTTGATTGCTATAGAATTTCAAACATATGTTTTTAGGTTTTAAAACTTCAGAAAAGAATTCTTATGAATACATGTACTGTATACTAGTATTTATAAATAGAAAAAGTTCAATCGTTCGTTACAAACAACGAGTATTCGTTAAATCAAACTCAAGATGCCACTCACCCTTTTTCATTGGCATAACTGGTACTTTCATAACTGGAACAACTGGGATGACTGGTTTTGGTAGAGGAACCTTCATTACAGGCACGACGGGGATCACTGGCTTGGGTTTTGGTACTTTAACTACTGGAACCACAGGGATGACTGGCTTAGGTTTGGGTACCTTGACAACTGGCACAACTGGGATAACTGGCCTAGGCTTTGGGACTTTGACAACAGGGACAACTGGAATAACTGGCCTAGGTTTTGGTACCTTAACGACTGGAACAACAGGCACAGGGATAATGGGTTTTACTGAAATAGATATAAGATAATGAAAGAATATGAAATAAAAGTGTCAACAGCTGTATCTATAGCATTGTGAAATTCTTTTATTTAATTTTTCATTTTCAAAAAAAAAGAACAACAGTATCTTTTATTTCAATTCAATTTACCCTTAACCTATATTTGAATTTGAAATCTGAAACAGTTAAACATTATTCTTTAAGTGTGTAGATTTATTCGATAAGAATATTGATTCAACTATGGAAGAACTATACTCACTCATATGTTTGCCATATCCACCACCGTAGCCTAATCCATAACTATCACCATATCCACCACTGCCATATCCTTTAGACATGCCCCCAAATCCATGGGACATGCCTCCGTATCCATGGGACATGCCTCCGTATCCATCGGAAATGCCTCCGTATCCATGGGAAATGCCACCATATCCTTTGGAAATACCACCATGTCCACCACCGTGTCCCCAGCTGCTTCCGGTATGATAATCATCGCCCCATCCACCAGTCAAACCACCAACAGAACCCCATCTAGAAGATTGAATACCAGATCCCCATCCTAATCCTGAGCCATGTCCGAAACCGTTGTTGTTGTTGTTAAAATCGTTAAAGTTGTTGAAATTGTTGAAGTTGTTGAAATTGTTAAATCTATCGTCTGCCTGGGCCAGTGTGGCCACAGCCAATACGAAAGTTGTTATAAATATATTCATAATTCCTGAAAGGCAAACGAAAGATGCAATATAAAAAAGAAAAGAGTTACAGAGATTGTTGCGCATTTTCACTGATTTTTCTCTCTCTGAAAACTGTTTAATAAAATTGTCATGCAAAGCAAAAATAATTTATAAAAAGTTTGATATGATTAGGTTTGCTCTATGTATTTCTTTTTGCGACACAAAATATGTTCAGTTGAGAAAATATACTGATTATATAAATTATATTAAATAAAACTGCTTGGCGATATCTAATTCACTCAAAAAATGTAAGAAATGAATCGAATACTTACAACTGGATAAATCCAGAGTAGTAATGACCGAAATGAAATTCTCCGTGTTTTTATACCAAAAAATGTGTATGCCGCCATTATGCAATGGCGGGTAACTGCAGGTATATTACCCGGAAGTCTATGTAACATGAGCGTTTTGATTACTTGTAATTGTGGTAGATGGTGACAGATTACGACTGGTCGTCTGCGCAAGTGACATGATTATTTGGTTTAGAGCAAAATTAGTTAGTGGCTTGTAAGTGAGCCATCAGCAATATTTAGATCATTCTATTTTTTTTTTATTTAATTCAAGCATATATTCATGATTGTGTATTTCTAATTTGGTTTATTTATAAAAAAGGATATGCATGTTGTCAAATCTGTTTCTTTCAAACTTACCATCAGTTATTTATTCACATTTAAAATAGATTAAAAAATCTTGCTAGTACTTAGCTATAGCAAGGCTTGTTTCCTAAATAAAATACAAACTCCCCGAAGCGGTTACTTCCCCTGATCAGTACAGTAGCAGACCGCTGTGAATATAATTGTGTAAAATCTGGTGAAGCTCTAACTTTATTATCTCATAAATATGATTTTACGTAAGTTCTCATTATTTGAAATATTGTAAAATAGATAAATATATCAGATCATTTTGTGGTATGTAGTTCACGATGGCCGCCGCTTAAATTATCCTCTGCGATACAATAACTGTAGGCCTATATCTTATATACATGTATCTGATTGATCACCCTGACCTAAATTCAGATTTTATTTTTATTTCATAAAACGAAGCGTTTTAACTTTAAGGAGCCGATTAGTGTTCTAAATATTTCTATGATGAGTGTTTATTGACAGCATCTTCGCCTTTCTCAATTTCTTCCATGTATTCTTGTTTAAATGAATATTTACTTATTTATTTAACAATTGTAAAATCTGCCATTATTGTTCAATAAATAGATAATTGGAAATTTTCGTCTTAATTCATATACATTGAACTTTGTAAAATCTCTAATCCCAGCTTTTCGGACTTTTCTGGCTATCTTTGAACAGATAAGGACCTCATACGCAATCTTTTTTTAAAATAATTAAAGTTACGTGGTAGAACTATTTTCAGTCCCTATCGTTTCCGAGATGATCATGGATAATCGGCGAGGAGTTTCGAAGTGTTAACTCTTTATAAAATGTACATATTGATTTATATAATGAATCGTTTTCAAAAAGAACAAAAGTCCATTAGATAACTAAGGAACTTTGAGGCCAAATGGTTAAGTCGCTTAGTCCTAATCAATTGTCCGTCCTGGTTATATAGTTCGAATAGACCGACAATGACTTTGATTGTTAAAATCAATTTTAAACCGTAAATTAAATTCTGGAAAATGTAAATGTCCTTATAAGTCTTACTAGCTAGATTTTATGCACACAACATCTCTTTCTCTATAGTTTAAAGAAATGCTCAAAATGCCTACGTGTACGCGTAGGGACTCTACTGAGGTTTTTTGACATGACGGGACTGGAAATAATTTTTTGAGATTATTACTCCATTTGATGTAGATCTATACTAATAACTTATGTGCAAAATTTCAGATCATTAGCTTGCTCCGTTTTTTCTAGAATAATTTTTATAATAGTGAAAAATGACCCAAAATTGAAAAGCGTTTAAACACTTTTCACTCAATTTGGACTGAGAAAAGCATAATTATGATTTTCAATGTATTTCTTCTATATTTCTTGGTTATATTGTATTAATATTCTGCTTCAAGTGCTCATGTTTATCTATGTGAAAAATTAAAATTTTATGTTTTAGGCTTATAAACCTCAGTGTAGTTCCTTTAAAGGGACTCCACTAAGGTTTTTTGAGATGATGGGACTGAATTTTTTTTAGACCACTAATCTTTGTACAAAATTTCATATCATTCGCGCACTTTGTTTTTCCAGAATAATTATTCAAATTGTAAAAAAAATACCCAAAATGAAAAGCGTTTAAACGCTTTTCACTCAAATCGGGCAAAGAAAAGCATAAGAATACGATTTTCAATTTATTTCAAAGTATATTTCTTACTATATTTGCATATACTTCTGTTTAAAGTGTCCCAGCTCATTTATGTAATAAATTCAAATGTTATGTTTTTAGGCTTTTAAACCTCAGTGGAGTCCCTTTAAGTTTGTTTTATGTGTCTCGGAAGTAAGAATGATGACGTCATAATACGGTTCCATCTGGCGTCGTAATGACGTCACATCGCAACAACGTTGGTCATAAACATTATCTTAATGAAATCATGGAAACGTACGACAGCAGCTGTGAGCAAAGGGCATCGGTATAATGAGCTCTGAAAGAAAGTATAGCACGTGGAGAGATTATGAGTCCGGGATGTGTCACATGTGCCATCATAGGAAAATGAGGGTTCGAAAGCTCTGGTGTGAGAAACACAATTATTGCAGATCTTGTGCGGAGTTTTTACCACGATTGCGTAATGGGGATTTTTCGTGCACAGTAAGTTTCCTTTTCTTCTTAAAATGTGAATTATTTCGACTTTATTCTTAATAATATTTGACTTCGTTTATCATTGGAATTTCTATTTTTTTCTTTTATTTTAAAAAGAAACAAACAACTGTTTTTTTGGTGTGCATGGCTTGAATAAAAGGTCTAGGCCTACATATGGCCTGGGAACATGATATCTACTATAATTGTCTTTAGCATAAAAATGCGAACAGACTTTATATATCAGAATTGTAGAAGAACATAACAGTATACTTCCATTGTGTTTAAATCATATGTGTCAGTCATTTTTAGTGTGTCAGTCATTTTCAGATATAAAGTATTTCAACACTTAATTCAAAATGAATTCAAAATCCCAAATTTAGAAGAGTAATAACATAGGCCTTTTAACTGTCTTTACAAATGACAAGTTGATATGAACTTCAACTAAATTGTAATAACTATAAATAAAGTGTTTTTTCCCGTTATCTATTCTTCGGAATATCTAACATTCAATTACATATGATGAATATTTTTTGTAAATTTTATTTTCCTCTAATTGCTAAACTTTGAAAAACTTACATAAAGCTTAGTGCTACAATGCTTAGCTGTAAAATGTCACATGTACGGTGATAAGTGGGCGTGACTTCAATCTCACGATTTTTAAGTCGAATATTCGCCCTATTTCTTTTCATAAAAAACATCTTAAAATAAACATAAAACACGTTCTTATATATCAATATACACACAATAATTCACATGTTATTTTTTTATTAATATGCAAAATATTATTCTTATTTCTTATTACAGATCGATATGTGTAACTGTATCTGTAAGCAATGTGTATTTTAACGTCAATCATTACCATTTCAGCGTTGTCCAAACTTTGGGATAGACCCATACCTCGTGTCACAGAGTGAAAATTTGGATAAAAAGAACAAGATGTCCCATTATATCATAGATTCAGATGGTAAGACATGTTTCATACGAAACACTAATTGGTTTTAAACTAATTTATAATCAGAAAGACCAGTGAAAACAGACATTGTGTAATTTTAGCTCTTTTTAAATGTCGCCTGATCACTGTCTTGATCACAAGGATACCACCGTATCGTTAAGTTCTACGTTTTTTTTTTATTTGTTTGGGTCGTCAGACCAAACAAATAATGGTAGCACAATTACAAATAGTTTTTATTTGTTTGGGTCGCAGACCAAACAAATAATGGTAGCACAATTGCAGAGCCTAATACGCTTAACTACCAAATCCGCAAATAGTCCGTCAGTATCAACTGACGCGCGCATTAATTTCACAAATTCCCTGAAAGCAGAAAAAATAATCGATTCAATCAAGCAATTTTAAGCTTGAATTTTGAGCTTGGAAATTCAAGAATTGTTCATGAACTATCAAAATGTATATTTTCCGAACTTAAGACAGAATATATTTGCATTAATAAATTGAAAAATGGACACTATATTCGTTTTGTATACAGATTATTTAACCGTTATTTTAGAATCAGACGACGGTGACTTGGAGGGAAACAATCAAAATTTAGACGAGCTTCTCGAGACTCTCATTAAACCATCAGTTCAGGAAAACAACCATTGTGTAAAAGGAAACCAGGAAGATTTGAAACCTATTACTAGAAAGATGTCATTTTTGCATGTATCTATGCCGTCTGCTCACAATGACGCCATTGAAGAGACAGCGTCTGCACAGCCGAATCTCATCTGCAACACTGTTGCACAGCTTTTGCATTCTCCAGAGAAGCTTCTTAGCCGACGTGCTGAACTACAGAGAAAATGTGCTACCAAAAGCTTCTGTAACACCGAAACAGTAGACCCTCAAAAAGAGATCCAGCCAAAAGATCTTACCTCAAAAACAACAGAAAACTTTCCGGTTTTTAAGCCAGATTCTCCAGAGTTGGAGCGCAATACGTCACCATGCAAAGGTAATCATTCCATGATAAAAACGTTTTACGACTGCAATTCTTTTTTTAAGTTTTATGGACAAACATTATAAAGAAATTTGTCAATTTCATACATTTAAATATTTTGTAAAGACTGAACCGCGATTTCGTTCGTATTATTTTTGAAAATCTTACGGGTATAGATGGATACCGAAAAAAAGCTATTTTCGCGAAAATAAGGTCGCGACTACGAAAATAAGACTTATTTTTGATATAATGTATTTAAAACGTATTTTTGTTATTAATAATTGATTTGTATGAATGAAATAATAAATTTCAGAACCAAAAAAAAAATATTTAAAGTTTGAAGTTTGATCGTTTGAAAATAGCTAAAATTGCCGTGTAAAGCGAAAATAAGATCGGGTCTACGAAAATAAGATTTATTTTTGATATAATGTATTTAAAACGTATTTTTGTTATTAATAATTGATTTGTATGAATGAAATAATAAAGATTGAAATGTTTTGTAATGAAATATAAGACGTCTGTGCTATAAAAAGAACGCATTCATGAACATATAACCAAAATTGCGTCTACGAAAATATAGGCTATATAAGATTTACATGGTTCATAACTTATATTAAAAATAGTATTAACTTTATTTTTTATGATTTTGCAAATAAATTTTAAGAATTAAATGTTCTCTTATAAGATTAGAAATGTTTGTGGTGAAAAGGTATCAAAATAAAAGAAAGAACAATTGCAAAAATAACATAAAACAACGACTACGAAAATAATAATATAATATGTGCACGTGTCATACTTTGTATAATTTTTTACCTTGTCTCAAATAGAAAGGTCTTGTCCGTGCATTATCTAATTAAAGCAATAAAGTTATATACTGATCTTTTACTAAATGTAGATATTATTTTTATATCACATGAATTTTAAATTATCTTTTATTTTGGTATAAATCATTTCCATATTGATATTTTATTTTCATATATCTAGACATCTTATTGTTTACAGATTTTGATCTCTTTTTTTTCCGTATCATTCTGAGACAGACATTATGTTCATACAAACACATTTGTATTATTTTCGTATTTCATATTCACAGACCTTATAAAAATATTTGTAAAAATCTTACTTGAAAAAAATATTTTCATACAGATTTTATGCTTGCAGAGATCTTATTTTCGTGCAGATATATCAATTCGTACAGTAATTTTTTTACGGATCTTATTTTCGTATAGATAACATTTTCAATAGGATCTTATTTTCGTACATATAGTATTTTCATGCAGGTATTTTTTTAAAACATAGCTCATTTTCGTATATATATCTTACTTTGGCAACAATCATATTTTCAATTAGATCTTGTTTTCGTACAAATATCAATTCATACAGGTTTTAATTGTTTACAGATCTTATTTTTGTATAGATCATCATGATTTTCAATTGGATCTTATTTTCGTGCAAGTATAAGTATTTTCATACATATATTATTTTCATACAGGTATTATTAACTAAGAGGTCTTATTTTCGTATAACCTTATTTTCGAATGTACATTTGTTTAATATCATTAAATACTGGATAAAAAATTTAAGAAGTAACGAGAATAGGTACATTTATAAGATATATCAATTGCTTAAGAACGATTTTGAAAATAATCCATCTAAAGTTAATTGGTGTTCACGATTGAAAAATGTATTATGTGTTTTAGGTTTTTATGAAGTTTGGTTACAGCAAAATGTAGGAAATGCAGACATATTTCTAGAATTAGTAAAACAAAGATTGAAAGATAATTTTTTTCAAAACTGGCATGATTGGATACAAAGTTCACCACAAGCATTATTTTATAGAAATATAGCAGTTTTCAAGTTTCAAGAATATCTAGATCACATTACAGTTAATAAGTGATAAGATTAAGAGTTTCTTCTCACAGATTGCAAATAGAGGCAGGTAGATGAACTAGACCATTAAGAACACCAATTGATGAAAGAAAATGTAATATATGTAATATGTTAGAAGACGAATATCATTTTATTCTTGAATGTTCATTGTACACTGATTTAAGGAAAATATATATACATAAAAGATATTGGAAGCATCCAAACATGATTAAATTTAATGAATTGTTAACAATAGAAAATGTAAAAATTGTTAGGAAATTTGGAATTTATGTATCTAAAGCTTTTGAAAAGCGAAATAATGTGTTGTACAGAAGTAATACGTAGATACAATTATTATTATTATTGAAATAATGTGTTGTACGGAAGTAATGCGTAGATACAATTATTTATTTATTTTTTCTCTCCAACTCTCGATGCATTTTAAGATTACATCCTTATTAAATGTTAAATATTATTACTTTAAAGAAAATATTAAAGTGAAATACTTATGAAATACTTACGATATCTCCTTAATATTGGTCTTGAATTTCGTCTCGTCAAGACCAATAGCTCGATATGGAGGTCGTTTTAGACATAATGACTGAGATCGGTTTAATGTATCAAATATAATTTATGAATACATGTATATCAATATGATCTGCGCATTACATCCGTAAGACTTATATGAATGTACATATATATATATGCGTGTGTGTGTGTGTGTGTGTGTGTGTGTGTGTGTGTGTGTGTGTGTGTGTGTGTGTGTGTGTGCGTGCGTGCGTGCGAGCGTGAATGCATGCGCGCGTGTGTGTGTATGTTCTTATGTTATGTTCGAACTTCTCCAATTATTGATGTTTTATGTACATTTTGCTTGTCATTGTTTGCCATTTATAACATGCTTGTAATGCCATCATGGGCATATATCCTAATGGAATAAAAGAATAAACTACTATACTACTACTACTATATAACTACATAATTACCATACTTACAGATCTTATTTTCGTAGAATACACTATAGATTTTATTTTCGTACATATTCTATATACAGTAGATCTTATTCTTGTAGTAGTTGTTTCTGGGTTTTTTTTCGCACTAGTTAATTCTTGCTTTTATTTTGATGCTTTTTCACCCCACTACCTTTTCTTGTTTTATAAGAAGATTTATTCTGCAATTAATACAATTTTATAAGTTATGATCTTATTTTCGTAGTCGCCCTCTTGGGTTATTTTCGCATGCCTTCTGGGATATTTACCATATTTGCCGGACAAACGTTAATATTTCATTAAAAAACATTTCATTCTTTATAATTTCATTCATACAAATCATTTAATAACAACAAAAATGCATTTTTAATGCATTATATTAAAAATAAATCTTATTTTCGTAGACCCGATCTTATTTTCGCTCACACGGCGATTTGAGCTATATTCATACGTATGTATTTTCGGCTTAAACTGCTCTTTTTTAGATATTTTTTTTTTTTGGTTCTGAAATTTTAATTTGCTGTAAAATCATCCAAAGAATGCATAAATATATAACTTACATAATAATTTAAACAGATAAATGCACTATTTCAAAAATAAATCTTATTTTCGTAGCGTTTCGCGAAAATAGCTTATTTTCTGTATCCATCTATACCACTCCAGAGAGGCTTCTTAGCCGACGTGCTGAACTACAGAGAAAATGTGCTACCAAAAGCTTCTGTAACACAGAAACAGTATACCCTCAAGAAGAGGTCCAGCCAAAAGATCTTACCTCAAAAACAACAGAAAACTTTCCGTTTTTTAAGCCAGATTCTCCAGAGTTGGAGCGCAATACGTCACCATGCAAAGGTAACCATTCCATAATAAAAACGTTTTACGACTGCAATTCTTTTTTTAAGTTTAATGGACAAACATTATTAAGAAATTTGTCAATTTCATACATTCAAATATTTTGTAAAGAATGAACCACGATTTCGTTCGTATTATTTCAATCACATGAAAAAACAGCTGACGTTCGAAAATGTTACTATAGATATCATCATGCCTATAAATTTGTCACTTTTTCGGAGCTTAACTCGAAAACATGAAGGCAGATCTACTTATCTGTCTTTAAAGACGTCAGGAAAATAGGGTCAAACTTTCATTTTAAGAAATTGGTTTGTAAATTTCATTTGTAAGAATTCTGCCACAGAAAAACCGCCATTTTGTTTCAGGAGTTAGACCACGAAGCTGCCAGAGTGATTCCAGTGATTATTCGTACCATACGATATCGTCACAGTCCGAGACCGAACAACTTCGACACATCATCGGCAAAATTGACGGACCGGACACGTCAAGTTCGAGCTCTAGATCCAGCTCAGTTTCCTCTAACACGTCATACGATGACTTTTGGGACATGGAAAGTGCAAAGTAATATATAAAAGAAAAAATAAACCATAATTTTGTTTAATATTTAGTTTGTTGCACTTTTTTATCGTTTTCGTAGTGTATACTGTAATTAGGTCACATAGTTGGGTACAGATAAGAAACAACAATGTCTTCTCTATAATTTTATTACAAAATTTAACGTAATTGTTGTAAGTTTACCAGTTTTCTTTTCAAAACATTTTTGTTCTTTTTCTATAACTAAACTCGAAGTTAAACATATGAAAGTTTATATCTATCTAGCTATAACCTAGGTTGAGACAGTACAGGGTGTGCAAAAAGTTTTATCTTATCAACACAAGGATTTCGTTATGTTTCTTTTTGGTAAATCAAACTAACACAGACGTTTACTAGATAACAAATATGCAAACATTCACTTACAGCAATATATGATTTAATTTATATTTTCAAATTGCTAAACATTTAGGTAGCAACTTAGGAATTAGTTGGGTATTTATACAAATCACGAAAAAAAAATCCTAAATATATCAATAATTTTTATAGAGAAATGCAAAATTTGATTTTAAACCCTCAATCTACAAGTTTATTAATCATATTTTAGTATTTGTCCTTCACTGCAGTAAATTTTGTCATTCGGAGCAGACATAAAATATTTTGATTTTCATGCAGTATTTGCTGAAAGAACATACTTTTTACACACATCCTACTGCCAATACGACATCTATTGTTACAACAATGCAAATTACAGCAACAGGGGCCTACAAAAAAGCAAATATTAGGCTGAACACAACATGAATGAGAATTCTTTTTAAAAACACATCATTTACTCATTTATAGATACATTAATTGGGTCATATAGAAACAGCTACATTGGTTCATAGTCAATAACCTGTATATACCCCATAAAAGCAAGTGAAACCTTAACATAGGTAACAACAATGGCAAACAAGACCAGTAAAAATTCATACTAAAATGCTGATATTAAACTAAAAACAATATGCACCTTATAAAAAGTAATATTGCTAAGACAAAACTTTAAAAACACGGTTGCTAAAAAGTACTTTGCAGCCATGGGCAAAATAAATGTTTCATGTTGGACGTTATTTGAAGTGATTTCCCATAATTGTTTCTCTTCCTAAATTTCATCCATAAAATGCAACCATAAAACTTTAAGCTAAAACAGTAGAATAAAAAATTGACAAGTATAAGGTTAAAATAAGAATGTAAGTGATTGTAGCCCATCATTAATATATGTGAGAACAAAATTGCACAATCTCAATTGAATTGCTACAGTTACAACTAACTTCATTCAATCAACTTTTCTTACACAATAAACTAATAAAATGTCTCTTCTATTATTTTTTAGAAATGTAACCAATTTCAGAACACGTTACAGCATCCACGTCATTTGGGCATGCGCAAGTCCTGCCCCCATTTGGCGTAGGTAGACATAGATATCTGCATCCACCATTGTTTCGCAAGCACGCGTTTGTCACTGAAAAAATAAAAAAAATTGAATATGGCAAATTTGTTAAACATATAGAGGATATTCAATTTTTACATAATATAAATACGGAATTTATTTTCATCGAGTGGTATGAAAATAAATATTTCACGAGTGACGGTAATCACAAGTGAAATACCACGAAAAGAAATTTTATCCTGTCTTTATAGAAAAAAATCTGTTTATTATATAGTTTTTCTCTCTTTTTGACAGTACAATTCGAAAGTAGTTCCCTTTAATTTTGTGTATTGGCTGAATTTAGAAGAAAATTAGTCCGACAAGACACCAGTGAAAGAACGGAAAATATGCAGTGAAAAATAATTTTTTACAGTGAAAATACGGAAAATTAACATATGCATTTTACTTCATTAATATTTCTCAATATTTCATTGCAAAGAATATAATAAATATGATAAAAAAATATAACAAATTAAAAACAACACTCTCCTCTGACGTTTAAATGAAAACAAGATTTGTTTCATAATCGAAAAAAAAACACCACATAAAATTATCTGATAAAGAATACCTACAAATCTTTGGAATAAAATTAACTTTCAGTAATTTATATCATCATAATAAAAAATGTTTTTAAAATAATAACAAACTTACCTCTGGGACAAAATTCTCCAACGGCAGCAATACCATATAGACGGCCGTTGCCGCCGACAGGAAGGGTCAAAGGTTCCCCTCTCTCTCCCCCATCACGATTTATGTTCGGAACACCATTTCTGTAACATAACAAAAGCGATATTCATTTTTTTAATTATCATAAACTATACGATATTTACATAATGTACATAACTGATAGTTGCTTCAGAGTGAGTTGGAGCACCACACTAAATACTGTATATTGCGGTATATACCATGATTAAATACTAAATCTCCCTTTTCACCCGCCGGAATGCACTCAAAGATGTCTTATTCATCTGTTAACACCGATTTTATACATCAACTAGAACTATCACTAAATGTGATTAATACCCCCACAAGACTGCTTCGGAAATGAGGATGTTACTAGTAACAGAATACCTTGTAAAAGAATTGAAATATAGAGTTATGGTTGTGGGCAATTAAAGATAGTTGTGGTTCTTGTATGTTGCATTTCCTTTCAATGTGGTTGGCCATTGATGAAGTTTAATTGAATTACTCTGTAATAAGTCCAGAAAGACAAAGAAAAGGAACAAAGGGCAATAACTCTATAAATACTGAAGATAGAGTTATAGTTCTTGTGCACTGCACTTCCTCTTATTGTGCTTGACCATTGTATGAAGTTGTTTTGAATTCCAACCAGAATGTTGTAAGTTATGCTCCGGACAAGGAAAAGTATCAAAGGGCAGTAACTCTGTATTTTGTCAAAATGGAGTTATGGCTCTTGTGCATTGCACTTCCTTTTAATGTCCTTGACAACTGTATGAAGTTGTACTGAATTCCAAACAGTAGTTTTCAAGTAATGCTCTGGACAAGGAAAAGTAACAAAGGGCAATAACTCTGTAATTAGTCAAGATGGAGTTATGGTTCTTGTGCACTGCACTTCCTCTCAATGTGCTTGACCATTGTATGAAGTTATATTGAATTCTAACCATTAGTCTTCAAGTTATGCTCCGGACAAAAAAGCAATGGAGAGTAACAAAGGGCAATAACTCTGTTATTAGTCAAGATGGAGTTATGGTTCTTGTGCACTGCACTTCCCCTTATTGTGCTTGACCATTGCATGAAGTTGTTTTGAATTCCAACCAGTAGTTTTCAAGTCATGTTCTGGACAAGGAAAATTAACAAAGGGCAGTAACTCTGTAATAAGTCAAGATGGAGTTATGGTTCTTGTGCACTGCACTTCCTCTCAATGTGCTGGACCATTGTATGAAGTTATAATGAATTCCAACAATTAGTCGACAAGTTATGGTCCGGACAAAAGAAAGCAATGGAAAAGCAACAAAGGGCAATAACTCTGTAATTACTTTAGATAGAGTTATGGTTCTTGTGCACTGCACTTCCCCTTATCAGGCCTCGACACTAACTTTTTTAGCAGGTGGTTAGCCGGACCACTAGATTTGAAATTAAGGTGGTCCTTCCAGGAGTCAGGTGGTCAATTATTATTATATCATTTAACTGCAAATTTAGAAAAATATATGTTTAAAATTGATGACAAAGATGTAGCATTAACCTTAGGAAAACAGATATTTTAGATATATATTTTTATCTAATCAGAAATAAAGGAGAGCAAGTTAGTAGGTTTTTTATCATAAAGTTATTTGGTTTTTTATATGTCATTCAAAAATACACAACAGGGCTCTTATTTATGTTCTTTAATTATTATAATTACATGTATCTTTTATAGATTAACATTTTTAATAAAACTAATAAATTATCTTAAAACAAGGAAATAGCTAGAGGATAAAAAAATAAAACTAATGTTATATATAACTATAGTTAAGCTTATTTTTTCTCACAGATGTATAATACCTAATTTTTACCTCTCTGTTGCTTGTTGGTTTGATGTTTATTTTTGACATTGAGTATTTTAACCTTTTAAAGTAATTTAACTCTAGAGGAAATGGATCTCTATCGTTTAACAGTTAAAATAAAGATAAGTAGGAAAGAATTACTAGATGTATTTTTCCAGTTCCTTTTGTTTGCTGCCATTATTAAGTATATGAAATTTTAAGTTTATCTTATATCCCATACAATATCATAATTACCATCGTCGGTTAATAAACATGTAATATAACATAAATGTTACTGGTTCCACCGTAGGTATCCGACGATGCATAATTATTAGCATCATTTGAATGAATTTTGTACCTTAATTGATATCACAAAGTCTAAACTCTTTTAACTTGCATAAACCAAATTTTAGCGACTTAAAATGAAAGTTATAGATGACTTTAAGAACTTCTTTAACTAATCAGATAATTAATGAACCATATACATGTACATCGGACAAATGATTTTAAAGAAAATGTTTACAACATGTTTTGAACAAAATCACCATTCTCCCAAATGAGTCTGCACCAACCAGAAAATTCAAGTGGTCCGACGGACCAGCGGCTTTTAAAATTAGGTGGTCCTTGCCAAAATCAGGTGGTCTCGGACCAACGGACCACCGCTAATGTCGAGGCCTGCCCTTATTGTGTTTGACAATTGTATGAAGTTGTTTTGAATTCCATCCAGTAGTTTTCAAGTTATTCCCCGGACAAGGAAAAGTAACAAAGGGCAATAACTATGTAATTAATCAAGATGGAGTTATGGTTCTTGTGCACTGCACTTCCTCTCAATGTGCTTGACCATTGTATGTACTTATATTGAATTCCAACTATTAGTCTTCAAGTTATGGTCCGGACAAAAAAACAGCAATGGAAAAGCAACAAAAAGGGCAATAACTCTGTAATTACTTTAGATAGAGTTATGGTTCTTGTGCACTGCACTTCCCCTTATTTGTGTTTGACAATTGTATGAAGTTTGTTTTGAATTCCAACCAGTAGTTTTCAAGTTATTCCCGGACAAGGAAAAGTAACAAAGGGCAATAACTATTGTAATTAATCAAGATTGGAGTTATGGTTCTTGTGCACTGCACTTCCTCTCAATGTGCTTGACCGTTGTATGTACTTATATTGAATTCCAACTATTAGTCTTCAAGTTATGGTCCGGACAAAAAATAGCAATGGAAAAGCAACAAAGGGCAATAACTCTGTAATTACTTTACATAGAGTTATGGTTCTTGTGCACTGCACTTCCCATTATTGTGTTTGACAATTGTATGAAGTTGTTTTGAATTCCAATCAGTAGTTTTCAAGTTATGCCCCGGACAAGGAAAAGTAACAAAGGGCAATAACTCTGTAATTAGTCAAGATGGAGTTATGGTGCTTGTGCACTGCACTTCTTCTCAATGTGCTTGACCATTGTGTGTAGTTATATTGAATTCCAACCATAAGTCTTCAAGTTATGTTCCGGACAAGGAAAATGCAACGGACGTCTGGACCGACCGACCACCGGGTGACTCCTATATACCCCCAAACTTCGTTTTTGGGGGTATAATGAATGAAAAAAATGTTAGAACCTGTGAAATAAGCAACTTTTTTAACTTTGTGATCATGGTTGTGCAAGCGTCCACTGTCTATGTATTGCTTCAACAATGTACCGAGTTAATTAAATCCATTGAACAAGGGGAGTTTAAGTATAATATATGTACATTGTACATGTATTTATTTGATATAATGTCGAAATTCCGCATTATTTCTATAATGTGGAATATTAATCTGTACACACAATTTCAAAAATAATGACTTCACAGATAGACTTGTTAAGTAAACCCTGTCCGGTCATAGAATCTACTACCTCTTGAAGATAATACTGAATACATGATAAGAGTAATATAAAATATGATAGAAATGTTAACTCACAGGGTCCAGTCACTCCAATAAATTGTGTTGCCGTAGAAAGTCAGGTCAAATGGATAAGGTGCATCAGATGTGACTACCCGACGACCAATACCGTCGGAACGTACACACTCAATTTTGTTCACGCCAGCGTCTCCCCAGCACACCTGTTGTGTGTAGTAATCTATAGTAAGGCCGTTAGGAAGTCCAAGATCTGTGTCAATAAACACCTCACGTTCCGATCCGTCCATGTTAGAACGCTCGATGGTTGGGTTACCTCGGTACCAGTCCGTCCAATACATGACGCTGAAACATAATATAATTATATTTTGTTACTAATAAATCAAGATAATTAGATGAAAAACTAATGGTTCACACAAAAAAAAAAAACATACAATTATACAAGTACAGTCATATACTTTACTTATAACACGATTTCTACTATCATTCATGAATCTAAATACATTGTATATACTTTATGTTCAAGCTTTATCTGGGAAAATGAGACATTATATAGTTTATAATAAACAATATTTCATTTCAAAATTAGCCTGTTTGCATTTTTCTTTCAAATTATTAAACCGGTTATTTTGTTTATGGTTAAGTTTTTCGTCGCACCAACACAGTAGATGTCAAATGGCGACTTTTCAGCTTGACAAGTGGAGGAAGACCTCAGGTGCCCCTCCGTGCATTATTTCAGAAATGAGCGGGCACCTGAGTAGTACCACTGACGCTCCGCAGGCTAGCTGGATAGCTTCTTCACATAAAAGAATCTACAGTCTCTGGCGGAATACTAGCACACAGCGGTGATGGGGAAGTGATTTAAGTCAACGACCTTAACAATTCGGCCGCGGATGCCCCTGAAACTGGTAATAGATGTGATTTATACACTTCTGGACCTATTGAAATCTTGTGTTACTTACCCCCTGGAAGGATCTAGAGCTATAGCTCGGGGGTTAATGAGGTCATCAGATATGAGAGTTTTTCGGTTAGTACCGTTGATACTGACAACAGCGATGATGTCAAGGCCGGAATCTGTGACGTAAATGTTTCGGGATATCCAGTCAATAGCTATACCTTCTGGTGAGTTAAAACCTAAAATGAAAATTCAATATTTCATATTATTCGTATGATATGAAACATGTGAGCCAGATAAAGCAAGAGATCTATAATAATTATTATAAATTCAGGGGTATATGTAATTCAGCAAAATCACATTTTTCTTAAAGTTGTCTTATTTTAAAGCCTAAAAATATTCAACCGAGTAAATGAGCAATAGCACCTGAGTTAAATATCTTAAAACAAAAATTGTGCACATTTTGAATCCAATTTTTAAAAAATTTTTACCTTAACAAGTTCTTTCGAATCCTTTCCAAATTACCCGGGAATTTTCCCACCGGAAACTCAGCCCAATAACATGTCAAAAAAATCGGCCCTATCCCTATTGCAATTTCTCTGCAACAAAAAGTCCCATATTTTTTTAGAAACTAATTTTTTTCACAGGGGATTTTTTTTGTTCACACTTTTTGTAAAGTAAAATGCCAAATTTTACAGTTTTTATCTTATCGCCTTTTTTTCCAGAATACATTATAATACTGAAATTTAGATTGTAGCGAAAATTTAGAATTTTAACTGAAACTAGGAAAATGTGATATATAATTAACAGTGACTTCACCTGGAAAATATCAATTGATATAAGTATTTTAGTGATATCAAGTAGGACGGAACAAAATTAAAGTACATTCTGTCAAAGAATCTGATTGCAATATCTATGTAAACTACAGTGAAATACATGTATGTATGTTTAAATTTAATTGAGGTTTAATTTTCCACTCACGTACTTATTAATAAATTAATCAGATTAGTGTGCCCATTTGGCCATTGTTCACGACAAAACCAAACAAATGGTGTTTTGCGACCAGCTTGGATCCGACCAGCCTGCGCATTCCGCGCAGTCTGATCAGGATCCATTGCTGTTCGCTTACAAACCCTATTACAAGTAGAGAAACTGATAAGCGAACAGCATGATCCTGATCAGACTGCGCGGAGGCGCAGGCTGGTCTGGATCCATGCTGGTCGCAAACCCACTATGTTGGTTTTGTCATGGCGCGGCTCATTTTTATATACTGTGTAGATCTAAAAGATTCATACCTGGGACATACCAAAACTCTGGACCCATCGGAGTCCTCGCCATTCTGTTTGTAGGCAACTTTTTATGAATTGAGTAGCCGCGTGAAAAGAGAAGATAATCATCTCATCCTGCATAGCTAAAATATATAATGTCAAACATTTACTTGATGATATATAAGTTTTATACTCTTTCAGGTGAAAATTATATGTTAAGGATGCTTGGACTCTACTCCAAAACGTGTACTAAGAAGGATCATTTTAACTTGTTATTCAGCGTAATTCAGCATTTACATATACATATATAAGGTATTCTGAGGAAATCAAACTGAGGAAATATACACTTCGGCATATCCATATCATAATCGAAAAATTAAAATTAACCATTTTTGTTGGACTATACAAACAGCGCTAGTTGTGTCCATAAATACCATTATTATCAGAGAAAAGGATCAAATTTTAGCTTCAATATTTCATATTAATGTTGAGAGTAAACTAGCTCAAGCTCCCGTTTTTATACTGTGAAGACAACGCCATAGGGAGACCAAAAAAAATTTAAAAAGCGGCTTATACAATTTTGGAAGCCAGAACTGAGAGTAAACTTACGTTGACAAGTTCTGCCGTCACCACGATAACCTTGGTTACACACACAGATGAACGTGTCCACATTCAACAGACATGCAGCGTTAGGATCACAGTATCTTGTATCTCGTCGACAGTCAACACCTTTATAAATAGAATTGACAACAACTCTAGAAAACAACTGGAATATTTTTGCATATAGTAAGTTCTATTTTTTTTGAACATGTAACAAGAAATGTGCAATTATTTTGTTTTTTATTTTCTTAGCTGTTACTTTTTTACCTGTAGCTCGATCAATTTTCACTTTTTTTAGAAAAAAAAATTTTGTAATGTTTAAAATTTTTATTCATACACATATATGCAAAAAAAAAATAAAACTTCCCACGGGTCTGCACTGTACCACACCGTCGTATCCCTTTACAGCGCACCTATACTCAAGTGGGGAAAGGGGTCAAACACATTACCTTGGTGGGAGAAATTTTCCACTTCATTAAAGGGTACAACTAAAAAATTCACAAATCCCCTTTCTTTTAACTTTTTATAATAAAATAAAATTTTTAAAAATGTTTTCTTTTCATTAAAAAAAACTTTAAAGATTCTTTTTTCAGCTAAGGGAAAAATATAGGTCTATTTGAGAAAGACCAGCTGAAAGATGTGAAGTGGTACACAATTTGGCTAAAGTATATCATGGTGATATTAAACAACATTATTAAAAAAATGTAATTTACACTTTCTATAGAATTATAGATAAAATTACCTCTCCTGATGCAAACCAGACCATCCCCTTGGTACCCTGAGTTACATCTACACATATACCGACTTGTATCCCTGGGGTCGGGCAAACACTGGGCGTTAGCGTCACAGTTATTCAACGCGTTGCACCCTTCAGCAATACAACGACGTCCATCCCCTATTGTTAACAAAAATAATAGTAAATTACATCATAGACACACAAGCATGAATATGTAGAGAATAAATTCAAAATATTGTTGACTTGTTATAATTTGTAAATTATCGTACCTCTATATCCTGATTTGCATGCGCAAACATAGTTGCCGTAACTATCTTGTGTACATCTGGCGTTGACGTCACAAATATCCGCGTCCTGGCAGTTGTATGGAACGCAGCGCGTGCCATCTCCCTGGTACCCTGGGGCACAAACACATCCGTATCTTCCCTCTGACTGGTCATACCGGCATACAGCGTTCGGATGACAGTCGTCACAAACACGTGATATATCAGCTGAATAAAAAACAAAATGTTTATAAAATGATATCTCGTCTGCTTTGAATATCTTATTATCTCTAATAACGGAATAGTTTCTCTTATACTAACACATTTTGAACCTAACAAGGCGGACCAACAATTGTAGTAAGATGTAGTTTTATCTGATCCTCGAACACTTGCCAGGCAAATAGCTTACTCGCAGAATAAATAGCCTACTTACAGATCATGCAATACTAAAATGAACACCATGAAATACTAAAATGCAGTATCTTACTATATCTTTCAAAACTTACTGCATGTAAGTTGCACAGTTAGACCTTATAATACCCTTGTGTTGTAACTTACACTTCTCATCAGCAGGTGTGCCACTTTAAATCGGAAGCACAGGTAGGCAAAGAATGAAGATTATCATACTTACTGATTCGGTTACAGTACCGGCCATCACCGGTGTATCCTTCCTTACATACACAACGGTAAATCATCCGGTCTGGATCTATCACACAGTCTGCATTCGGGTCACAGTCACACTGACCTGTAGTTCAAACAGAAAAAAAAATATTATTTTGTCTCATGCCCTTGTAAAAAATTGAATTGATTGCATCAATTAATTTGTTTATCATAATAATTAAACATTTAAGTACATTATATCGGCATCATGGAAACGCCCCAGTTCCAGCTGAACCAATGATTCTCTGTGATTTTATAAGTTGTTGTTATTATTCCATGTCCACTCCTTAACTTAACAAATATGCATATATCATTATCATTACCAACAAAAATCATCTTGCTATTGCATTTTGATATTGAACCAACCTACTATAAGTGTCTGTCATTGTTAACCCTTCCCCTGTCGGAACTGAAAGTGATAAGCCTTTACCATCAATAGATCTATAGAGCCGGGCCAACCTTCAAAACCTTGCTGTCTGACCAGGCTCTATACTGTTAGTTAATCAATTTTGTACTTTCATGTTTATGTCTCAAAATTGATAATGGACAATCCTGGACAAATCCATTTAAGTCATCCGGCAGGTTAAGTGTTAAACCCCAAAACACACACACATTGCCATTTATCAAACTTACCGACTTCAGTTGATTCACAGTAGAGTCCGTCACCACTGAAACCTTCGTTACATTGACAAGCGTAACTGTCACTTAATTCATCATATACACAGTCAGCATTGTCGTGACAAATATCTGCCTCGTTACACGCAAACGCTGAAATATAGTCACAGAAAAATATATAAAGGTGTTTTTTTAGTCCGACTAATCGTTGTGCTACCAGTATGTTATGTATGGGCAATTTCTCTGATTCTGACCTGGAACATACAGAAAATCTCTCCGAATCCAGCATTGGACATCAACATATTTTGACTAAGATCATGTGACGTATATCCAGCTTTCAAAAGAGGACTACGTACAATATAACTCATCGTGCATTTGGCATGGACGGGACGGTAGTATGTACAGTTTTCAAATAAAAATGTACAAAATAACGCCACAGCTTGAAAGGATAATAAAACATTACATCGTGCAATTTATTCATTTATACAAACATAATTACATATCTAACAGTAAATAAAAATATAACTGTGGAAAGAAAATGCATACTTTACGATTTATATACAAATATCAATCAATCAATCAATCAATCAAATGAAGGCAATTTAATAACTCACGTATTGGTCGACATCTTCCGTATTCATCTTGTCTAAATCCAGACAAACATTCACACATGGGTTTTTGTTCGACACTATTGAACACACATCGAGCATTGTCATCACAAGTTTCATCACCGCATAGTCTTACGTTATCACCTGATAAATGAAATAATTTTTTTTAAAAACTCTAAACTTCTGCTAGCTAAGTCACTATATCAAAATTTGGAACATGCTCAGTTGTCATTTTATCATTTTATAATGGTTATTTATTCATTTATTTATTTAATCAATTTATATTTTCTACGTATAAGAAAATCTTTGCAACACAAAGACACAATATTTTGTTAATGATTATCCATATAAATCACACCAACATTACAATATCATGATAATTATTACAGAATTTACTATATTTAACAGTTTTGAAAGTATTATACATAAATTATACAAAAATTATATTAAGTCATTATACCGTCTGGAACTGATTCATGTCATTATGTTATTATCATATGTAATGCATTTATTAAAATACAGTGAACAAAACATGTCCAATGCCCCTACAACAAATTATTTATCTATTGTAATACATTAAAAAGTGTTAGAAGTGAAACTATGATAAGAACTTTGTGATAATTATAAACATTGCAGATAAGACTTTCAGTATAATCGGCATTTGAATACTTTACCCATACAGCACTGATTGTAAGAGAAATTACCTACAAACTGTATGGCCAACCACATCTTTGAAGGTGACAATTTTAATACAGATGTATTTTTTGATGATTTCTCTTATTTGATGAGAAAAAGGATTTTTATTTGAAAGGATAATTTTAATGCCTTAAATAACTGATCAACTGCATTTTAATTCTTCTTTACACCTTTCTTTTAAATATCAAATCACACATTTTTAGGTGAATTTTTTTTCACTGTAAACCACACGTTAAAGCTGCATTCTGTCAAAATACACATCAATCTGAGCCTACATATAATTCAATTAACCATTCATGAGCAACATAATGGTTTCATCTCACAAACAGATATGAGCCGCGTCATGACAAAACTAACATAATGGGTTTGCGACCAGCATGGATCCAGACCAGCCTGCGCATCCGCGCAGTCTGATCAGGATCCATGATGTTCCCTTACCAACCCTATTACAAGTAGAGAAACTGATAGCGAACAGCATGGATCCTGATCAGACTGCGCGGATGCGCAGGCTGTTCTGGATCCATGCTGGTCGCAAACCCATTACGTTGGTTTTGTCATGACGCGGCTCATATGATGTGAACATTCGCGGCAGTAAAGCTGATTTTATGAAATAAAACATTGGTTAAATAGTAAAAAAAATCACCGTCACCAACAAAGTCACCTACCTCCTGAGCCCTCGTACACTTCTGCTGTAAGTAAGTGCCAATGTCATTTTCAATGTACTCAATATCATACTAAACAGTAAATAACTATGGAACGCCAAATTAGCTTTACTCAAATATTTGAACCTCTTTTCAATGTGACTCGTATAATTGTGTCAAAATATGCAGAGATACAGCAACAAAAGTTAAGACTATTTTCTATACGATTCACCGAATACTTGAAGAATACACAAGACATAGACAGAAATATTCAAATAATTGGAGAGAGGTTCTAATAATTAAGTACTAGTAAAAGTTCGCTTGGCGTTCCATAGAAAACGTAATATATAGTTGCACGTTTTTTTAGTTCATTCAAATACATTTAATATAAATTAAATCTAACGAATCTACTTTCTAAAAGCAACCAAAAAAAGTACCAGACAAAACACAGGCTATGTTTAATTGAATGAGTAAATCACTTATAAACAATGAATTACAGACATTGAAACATGTAAAACAATAACTTACGTGTACATGTTATACCGTCTCCACGGTAACCGTAGTCACACTGACAAGTGAACGATCCCTGGGTGTTCTGGCAGACGGCATTGTCGTCACATGTGTCAAGGCCAAGGTCACATTCATCAACGTCTAAAATTAGAAAAGTAAGAAAACTTCGACGTACTCATTATATACATTTTTATCTTTTTCTTATTTGAAATTGAAATATTTCACCAACTATTTATTCTTAAAGTTCTTGTTTCTACAGATAAACGTACATGTATTATAAATGTTCATATTTAAAAAATGCACGCAAACAATAAAATGCTATTTTCTTTAAAGAAGAGATATACATGCGCGGATCCAATAGGGCTGATGATAGGGTAAAAAACAACAACAGGATAAGCAAATACCTGTGCATGTGTTCCCGTCGCCGACGAAGCCTGTTTTACAGTCGCACACGTAAGAATTACCCGACGGAATGCAGTCGGCATTTGCGTCACAATTCTGTGCCCCGTCCAAGCAAGGGTCCACTCCTTAATGAAAAAAAATATAACCATACAGTTGAAACAATAAAATACCATCTTCAATGATAAAACAGAAAGAATTTGGTAATAGCATTTCATATAGCATGTTACACTGTACACGGATATCATACTTTCGGACACTACGACGGTTTATATAAATGTGAAAAATGCTCAGTCACCAGCTTTCTCTGGTTTAGGTATGTACGGCATCAAACAACCTCCTGGTGGAGCCATCGCTAAGGTTTGTATTTCCCTTTAACAAAGCGTGAAGAAAATATTAGATGTGATAAGAAGACAATCCATACTGTCAATGTAGCGATGACATTCAAATAAAAGATGATGTTTACTTTCAACTAAAGGAGATGAAGAAAATCCCTTCTTTGATAGAGATGTTGATTAAGAGAGCTATATATCCAGTATGGAGCCGTGCATCATAGACCATAATCTCACCTTATAGTTTTTACCTTACTAGTATTTCTTATTAAATAGTTGTTTCCTATCTTTCATCTGTCTTGAATTATCTTATATACCTATAATATCACTATTCGAATGTGAGTGCTTCGGTTTGTATAATTATTTACTTAGTGTCTTTTTTAACTTCTTGTTTTAGATAACAGTTATATTATAATAACAATCTAATATTGGTCCATGTGTGTAAACACAATTTTTTCTCAAACAAGAAATGCATTCTGTCATACGGTACATGTCAGATACATAGAAAGTCTACAGTACAAGGATAATGAATTCATATGCTTAACGCATTTAAAAATGTTTCAAATAAACTACATGTATTGTTTTTAAACTAAAACTATACATGTACCACACTTTTTAAGCTCGGGCCTATTGCGATAAAGTTAGCCTATATTCTGTCAGATATTAATCATTTGATAGGTAGAATATCATATTTCAAGGTAATGCTTAAACGAGCGTTACAACAAAAGCGGTATTGTTTTAAAATCGAATCGATCTTGACAGATCCTTTCAATTTTAATTGTTATACTACCACTTTATATTCCTTTCAATCTTTATCTAGAGGAAAACAAATTGCTAAAATGTAAAATTTTAGAAAAATGGGAAATAATGAAAGTAAAGCACCAGAGACAAGCTCTCAAAATCAAAACAACAAAACTGGTGTTAAGCCGGCACGTGCTGTATCTAAAACGCGGGCTTTTATCGAGCCGTCTGGTGACAACGGAAAGAAAAATAGCAAACCGAGTGATAAAGATGATAAAGCTGTTGATCCAAAGACTAAACTGGCATTCGAAGACTGGTTGTATGAAAGACTGACAAAATACTTCGAAGATATACAAGAAAAAGTTTTAAAACCGAAGACTGACAAAGAGCAAAGAGCGGAGATCGGTATTGCCACGGATGAGTTTTTGGACTTTTTATTCACGCAAACGGAAGTGGTTGACCGGCGTTTCAGGGTCAATTGTAGAGATATTTTCAAAGTTGGAACTTATCATGAAAATCTTGATATAGTTCAAGTTGATGAGTTACGATACTGCATCGTCATTGATGATTTATCGAAAGAAAATATTGATAAAATTGAGAGAGAAATTAAAGACAACGACGAGTTCCTGAAGATATTCCTCACAGAAAATTGTACAAAAAGGTGGGAAGAATGCACTGAAGAAGATGAAATGGATAGACATTGGCTGAAAAGTGACATAGGCTTAGCAACAAGTTTCTTTGAAACAGTTGCTAAAGCAGTTGAAAATGTCAGATCGAAATCACGTGCGACTATTTATAAAAAGCATGGACGGTTCGACCTCCTCGAGCAAAATGGCGTGACTAAACGTGGGGAGTCAGTGGAATTAAAATTCACGTGGAATAAGGAATCGATTGTTACTGTGGTCATTACACCATGTTTGAGATATGACAAAATCTTGGACTTTGTTGATGAAGAGTCGACTCTTGGAAAACATCTGCATAAAGAATTAAGGTCCGCAGGTAAACTTCTTGCTCAGCCGGTCGTAGATTCAGACCAACTTTTCCAGTGGAACTTTGGTCATGCAGAAAAAGAGTATCTTAAAAATCACCTGAGTCAAACACATAACTGCGTATATCAGATGATAAAGTTTTTCGTTCAGGGTTATAACCGTAATGCAGTAGAAGAGGCGGAGTTTTTCTCAGAGCTCGTGATTAAAACGCTCGTGATAATACATGATCAGAATTGCACGATCAAAGACAGGTTTGCAGACTGTGTAATGGCTGTGTTAGACAATATGAGAAATTTAATAAAAGCGTTTAGCGACGGTCAGTCACCTATTTTCCTGCAAAATTCTTTCTACAAGTTTCAGAATGTGATGCCGATGGCGAGCCGTGATTGCCGGAAGGATATGATAAACATGAACCTTGTCGGGCTAGAACAGATTGCAAATCATTTAATAAACGATGTCGGCTGTACACCATTCTACGACTTTGAGATAATCCTTAAAAAACTTATTCCCCTGAATGCCTTCATCTTAAAGAAGGATTATCTAGCGAGAAAGTACGGAGCAGGGGACTTAAATGATGAATCTACAGAATCTAAGAAAGAACTCATTGATGCTGTGGGTAAAAAGAAGTTTACAGTTCAATTCTAAATCAATGTAACGGAAACGGACAGGTCTGACACGCTTAAACGTTTTACTATTTCTTTAAATACTTTACATATTAATTGGCAACGCTCACAATAAACATAATATAAACAAAGTACTATAAATTGAGGGAAAACAGCAGAATTTTCATCATTTTTATTCATTTGTACAGCTTAAATATAGGATATAAGACGTAACATAACGTTGTCATTTACCTGTACGTCTCTGGATTTTGTTTGACATGGCGAATCTAACAACTCGATCAGTAGAGTCATAGATAACAAAGTTCCTGGTAACACTAAGTCGCTGGCTGTCCTCCTCGTTTTGGGATGGATCAAAGAGACATTCCTCGTAGTTTATAACCTGATCCCACGTGTACCTCGACGCAACGTTGTTAACGTGAAACGTGCGATCTGACGACGACCGGATGACGCCTGAAATAGTCGGATATCTATGTTGTACATTTTGTATATTTGTATATGAATACAATATTTTGGGATTTTATTAATTCTTAATAAAAAGGCTTACATTTATTCATCGTTTATTATCTTAATTGTTCCTATAAGTGATTAGAAATGGCAAAGTTTATAATTTTGAAAGATGTAAAGTGATTTACCTGGACTGACTCGTCTATACTCCTCGCTATAATCATCTATGGTGACTTTCTCAGCAGATTCAAGTTTTGGAACATTTCCGTTAATAACCGTCTCCATTCGGATATTATTAAGAACGCTGGGTCCGTGATATTTCTGTTCAATCACAACTTCCTCACCATTCTGGTATCGGATACGGGCTGTTCTGTTAAATACTCCACCTATAACAAAAAAAAACGTATACTAATGAAATGATATTTCATAATCTTATTATGAGAAAAAGCTCAGTATAAATATATTTATCAAAGTTCAGGTACACTACAGTAAAGATACATGTATATATTCAAATCAGTTTTAATAATACATGCAACCATGTTAAAGAGTACTAGTTTTTGGAAAATGGTATAAGCATATTTGTCGGTAGGTTGTCTCTTATTTAAGTCAATTCAATTAAAGGTTTTCATCATGTGATCTTCATCAAGAGGTGGTATTTGATAAAAGTTTGACAGTATGCAATATTAATTAGACCTGTAGGTCCTATGTTTTTCCCATTATTATTAAGTTACTATTGAACCATTCTTCTAATCATTTAAACTTTTTTAAAGTAAAGCATTTATGATTCAGAGCTTAATAAACATGTGACGGCGTAACTATGACTTAAAGCAGCATGCCTCCAGATTTATGCTTATTTTTCATAAAAATTTATCAAATTTATCTAAAAGTCAATTATTGTGAAATTAACAGAAAGTAATTGACACATTGCAAAAAGGCAAATAAGCTAAATTAGACATTATACTGCAGATCAGTCATTTATGTAAACTATTTCTTGAATCTTGAATTTTTTACAAGTACAATTTTCTAAAGTTTGATTTTCCTGAAGTATTTTGGCCGCAGCTTTAAAATATTTACCTGTAAACATAAAACCGTTTTTGGCTCCCGGTCCTCCTTGCAGCGCAAACATCCATCCAACAACACCGCCGATTGTGTTCAAGGTCATCATTTCAGAGCTTATCTCGTCTGGTACCCGGCTAATAGCCGTGTAAGCTCTGCCGTCCTTGGTGACGACAAATGCATGCATGTCAAGGTTTTCAAATGGCACACCATTTATTCTGCCGGAAACTTTACCATTCAATCGCTGGTGCTGATCTGTTGTGAAATTATAGTACCGGATAACAAAAGTTATCTTCTCCAGAATAAGTTTCAAAAATTAGATTTTGTGGCAAGTATCCTCAACATAATTATTTATATTTTGACTCATCCTTTTGAGTTTACAGGTATTCTAAATGTCCAAACATATCGGACAGAAAGTAACCTGTTCCCAGGGTCTTAATAATGGTAGTGAAACTTTAAATAATTGATGTATATATTTGAATATTTAACAAATACCGCTGCAGAAATTTTGTTTTATGTTGTATGACATAGCAAAATTTGAAGAAAACAAGCTGAATTGTGTGATAAAGAAAGATCCAATCAGATGTACCTATAGTAACACAGTGTTTCCCGTTTCCAAACGCCGGTGTGACACAGCTGCAGCAGAAACCTCTAGAGTAGTCAACACATATAGCGTCTGAATGACACTGACGAGCACCTTCCTGACATGTCTGTCTATCTAGCTCTGGCTCAAAGATAATCTCTGCTTAAAAGAAACTTGAATACTTAGGAACAAGAAGAATATTTCTTTTCTTAAACTATATATTCAGTAGTTATGAGTACCATTTACATGCATCTAGAGCAAAAGGGTGCCATTGGCATGAAGGAAAATGTTTAACCTCTCTTTCAACACAGACCCTTGAGATGTGGAGCTCAAAACGCCTTTAAAATCCGAATAAAATGTATATTTGTCAATCCCAGCATATGTACTGATCATAAATATATCAAAAACTTAATATAAGCCGTTTTGAAATGCAACGTCTATAATAATACACATTTTTATCTTGTGTATTATTATAAACGTTGAAATACGAATTTTTTTTCAAAACGGCTTAATATATTAAGTTTTTTGGTATAAATGGTCAGAACATGTGCTGGGACTGACAAATATACATTTTATTAGGATTTTAAAGGCGTTTTGAGCTCCATTACAAAGTGTCTGTGCCATTAAGTATTCATTTGAGCCTTTCTTCAAGTTGGTAAAAGGTTCCTTTATTTCTTACAATTAACGCCAGTATTAGTGCTATTGGCAAAAAAGTGATGTTTTTGTAGCAAAAAAGTGATAAGTGGTAATGGATAAGAAGAAATAACTTGTTTCACAGACTTCAATTATTATAGATTTATAAACAATTTATCAAAATGCTAACAATAAGAGAATGATTCGTTACGTAACTTACCGTCTCCTGTGTTGATGTCAGGTTCCCGGATGTTGCCACCTTCCGCACTTCCGATATGATACATCCATACACCAGGAATGTTCACGTTCGACTTACTGACAATATAGCATTAAATAAAACGTTACAATTATGTTTAAAGACTTCATACGAATAAATATTCCCTTTAGAAAAAACAAAACACGGCACATTATTAAATCACTATGACTACCTGTTATCAAAGGCCACTCTTTCAATTAACCCAAAGTTAGTCCTCAATTGGCAGGGATGCATTATTGTCAAAAAGCAAAATTAAGTCAAGAGTTCTGAGAAGTGAAACTATTAACAACATTATTTATGTATGAAAATAAATTAACAGAACTTGTAAACGTTCAAACATTTATTTTGAAACACAACGTATTCTATATGTGTACTTAAATGGCGTGCATTTTTTTAAATAAAGAGTATTGTATTGTAATATAAACTTACACTGCGAGGCTTTGAACATCGGTTGTACCAGATTTAGGAAGTGCAAAAGCCAAATTTTCAATACCAGAATCGAACCCGGCCTGTGCTGGTGGATCGCTTCTTATGGAAGCGTATTTACCCGCACTCTTTATCCACTGAATGCCGTCTTCTAGGTAATTCATAATGACGAAGGAATTCAACTCATCTGATGCTATCACAATTTGGAATGTATTAACCTGTGAAAATAAACATCAGTTAGAACTAACTAAACGTCGTATAAAATAATGGCGATGATGATGATGATGATGATTATTATTATGATGATGATGATGATGATGATGATGATGACGACGACGACGACGATGATGATGATGATGATGATGATGAAGACGATGACTGCGGTGGTGGTGATAATAATGATGATGATTATCATGTAAATATGGTGATAATGATGACGATTATCATATGATAATTATGATAGTATGAATGATGTTGCTAAAGCTTCAAATGTTACTGGAGTCGAAAAAGTTTAACGTTTTTAGTCACTTTGATTAGACTAATAAGCTATATATTTTAAGTGTATGCAACCATCATCATTACAAAAATATAAGACTAGTACTTGTGTCTGTGTTCAGTCTGTCAGCATATTGTTGAATTCAGCACTTAATAGCACCATTTCGCCTCAGATAAATTAAATGGAATATCTTAATTCTTTACCTGTTTCTTATAAACATAGACAAGTACATGAATTAATGAACATAACATAGGTTTTAAAATGTAAAGTCTGTTTCAAAGCTTATTTTTGTATGAGAAGGTTTATAATATATGAAAATAGTTTGCCATTAATGTCATATATGACCCATGTATGTTGCCTCATGGACCAGTCTTGTCTACTGGCTTTGTGAAATAAAGATATTCATATTCATTATTTCAGTTAGCCATTCTGAAATGTTTGTAAGACCCGTTTTAGTCTGACCAGGACTTATATTATTACAAAATGGACTGTTTCAAATTTAAAGCAAGGTCAATTACACAATTTTAGCAGGTTAAAGGGATGATTTAAATCTTATCTCAACGAACAAAGAACAAATGAAAACAATAAATGTATGTAAATGTATGTAGTTCAAGATGACAGCAGTAGATATTGTGCATCTGTTAGCTGATGGCTTATCAGTCAAGTAATGACTTATCAACATTGACAGTAATGTACTAAACAGACATTAGCATGAAATACTGAGATTCATGACACGAACAATTCCATTCAAAACAAAGGACTGTACGTACATAACTTCCAGGCATGAAAACATCTGTCGTCTGCTTGAAGATACACCCATGATTTTACATAACTTTTACCATCAAAGAAATTTATAGCCATTTCTTGGTTATTTTTGCTTTCTCTCTTATACATCAGGTAATATATAAGAAACAGTAGCTTATTCATACTGTATACAAGTATGCTATATGTACGTTTATTTATTCTTCAAAAATAGATACAATTTCCGACTTCACTTAAACTACTGTGGTGATAACATATCTAGGTAAGTGGGCATACATTCCAAATACTAAAACATCCATCGGTTAATAGATTGTTTATTTTTCATGTTTCTTAAATGTAAATAATAAATGTGTATTCAATTGCCATTTTATGTATATTCCATAAAGTTGGTTGCTAAGGACGCAGTTAATGTAATCCAATTAATATAATAAACATTTGAGTGCAAGCGCCTGTCACGTGATGAAATTTGCATTAAGATAATATCAACAGTAGTTTAAGAAGGAAGCCGCTAATCTAATGAGGACGAGTAGAAGATATGTAGAAACATGTGTATGTCTGTTTAAAAAATAATACGTGTCAGTAGATCAGACTTAACAAGCTTCGTTTAACGATTAAGAGTCACTTAGTGCATTAAGTCCTATTTTACAGATTTTTTTCAAACAGTTGGGAAAAGACAAATTTATTTCGATGTTTCTTTGACAAGGCCCTCGAGATCTCAACTTTTCTCACCCGTAGTAAGTCTGTTAAATAATTCCTCTCACCCCACAAAAGTCCGTAAAGTAAATTTTCTAAGCCTGTAAAATATTTTTGTCTTTGGCGTTTTTCTCTCAAAAGTGTGTATTAATATTTTGACTTACACAGTGTCAGTAATGGTGTTTGAACAGTAGGTGATTTGATATCTCTGATTCTGACGTCATAGTCAAACCATTACTGCCGTATAAATTACGTAAGTCACGTGTCTCGCCTAGAATCCTACAGCCAACGTAATTTTTAACAATATGTTTGCAAAGGAATCTGACCAATAAAGTTACCATTATTAACTTACCACAAATAATAAGGCAGTTGACATACTTGCATTTTTGTTTTCTATCAACAAGTGAAAAATGGCCAATAATTAAACAGTAATTATATACTAGTAAAATTATCGAATTCTTGAAGCGTCCATATTTTTAATATGCAGGAAATTTATATCTTCCAAAAAAGTTGAAAATGAGTGCTGGCTACATGAAAATCTTTAATTCATAATCAACTATGCAAATTTAAAGTTAAAGATTTTATAGTTAATGAACGTGTGTGGTATATATTTTAGGACCAATATTCACTAAAACTAGTACATCATTTTTAAAATATATTGATCATTCCCTTACAGATTTAGGATCGCCTTTGAAAGCACCAACACCATCCCATGTTGCTATAAAGAGACCAAGAGGTTCGAAGTCTGGAAATTCAGAAAAATGACCTTGAATATCGGCGGCAACTCGCTGTAGTAGAGCTTCTTCGGTAGTTTCTCTGAAAAATATAAAAAAGCATTTATGTATGCATGTATAACATATATAATAAAATATGAAAAGCACTTGTCATTCTCGTAGATTAGTTTAGACTTTAGTTAAGTGTAAATAAGGGACATATTAGTTTAGACCTTAGTTGCGTATAAATAAGGGATATATTGGTTTAGACCTTAGTTGCGTATAAATAAGGGATATATTGGTTTAGACCTTAGTTAATTATAAATAAGGGATATATTGGTTTAGACCTTAGTTAATTATAAATAAGGGATATATTGGTTTAGACCTTAGTTAATTATAAATAAGGGATATATTGGTTTAGACCTTAGTTAAGTATAAATAAGAGATATATTAGTTTAGGCCTTAGTTAAGTATAAAATAAGGGATATATTACGCTGCGGTCTCACTTACTCCCGACAGAGCCCATGACCATCCCGGTAAGTTACCGGGATGATTCGGGTGAAATTATTGTTGCGGTCACACTTACCCCGGCAGCACTACGGTAGTTCCCAACTAACCACCAAGGATGCGCTCCGGATCATCCAGGCAGAGCCCAGGTGAAGCTACGGTTCATGCCGGTGCTTCCCCGGTCGTTCCCGGATGACGCCGGAAGAACCCCGGTTGACCCAGGCAGAGCCCCGGTCGATCCAGGCAGAACCCCGGGGCTCTACCGGGATCAACCGTAGCTCTACCTTCATCCTCGTAGTTACCGGGGCTCTGTCGGCATATACCGGGGCTCTACCGTAGATCTACCGTAGCTCTACCGGCTATATCATATCCCGGATTATCCCCGGTTTGTGCCGGCAGAGCTACGGTGCTTCCCCGGTATAACCCCGGTCGTTCCATGCAGAGCTAAGGATGAAGCCGGCAAAGCTATACCTTCCCGGATCATCCCGGACCACCCCGGTGACATAAAATATTTTATTCCATCCGGGGTCGTATGCCGGATGTTCCCGGGTCACCCCGGATCATCCCGGACGTTGCCGGCAGAGTTACGGATGTACTACGGTTGTTCCCGGTCGTACCCCGGTCGTTCCCGGATCACCCCGGACGTCTACCGGGGCTCTGCCGGGATGTAAGTGAGACTGTAGCTTTAGTTAAGTGTAAATAAGGGAAATATTAGTTCAAGCCTTAGTTAAGTGTTAAAAAGAATTGAGCAGTGTTATAGAAAACAAACTAGGGTGATGTAATAAACTTGTTTTATACACTGATACACTAGTGTAGGTATTGAGAGAAAAAAAAACACTAAGCATTGTTACTACATGACTATTTATTCTACCTGGGCGTAGACTAATAAAGTAATGAATCGAGATCAGTCGTTCCACAATACAAATACATACATTGTAATTGTTTACAATACTGTTGTATTTCATTACACAGATTATACGTCCTGTTTTGTGGAAACTCAAATGGGCGAATGTCGATCTTTGTTTCTATTAAAATCTTCTTTTTTTAAATTAGATTTAAATATTTGAGGGTTTTGCATGAGTACATGAGTCTACGTCGTAAAAAATGTAATGTACAAATGCACAACTTCATTTTGAAGTCTCTAATATTCGTTGGAGTAGCAGGGTTCAAACCCGATATGTTGAAAATCAGCCCATAAATGTTTAAAAAGATCACTACTCTTTTCACGAAAACGTCAGAAAATCTAAAAAAATAGTTAAATTTGGATCGAACTCAGGTGCAGAACCAGGTGGGGTTGCAAAATTTTGACAATGGTTAGGCCAATAAATACTCAGACACAAATCAAAACACACATGTTTGACACTTGAAGACTTTTAATAACAATATAAAAATATGGATTTCTTAGGCATACTGTGCCTTAAAGAAAAAAAATGCGTAAATTCTGCTTCAAGAATGTCAAACGCTTCATGAATTGTATTTCATCAACGGAGCACAAAATATTCATCATGAGGTAGGTGAAAACTATTTTAATAACTATTAACCCTTAATCTGCTATATTTCTTGAACTGATGTTTGGAGCTGTCCAATAACAATTTATTGTACTGGTGACAAAGGCAGGGTGAGTGGTAAATATACGTTGCTACAGTCAGTAAAAGTTCTGATAAAAGAGGAGTTCTTCTCTGAGACAACTGACAACAGTCACAAGATGAACATATCAGACTCAGTTTGATTGGGTAGACAATACAAGGTGCAACATCTCTCATGCTCCCTAGCACCGCTTAAACTAAAGCGGTATTCAATTCTCGACACTAAAAGTCATAAACAGGATTTTTCATATAGAATGGCCTGGAGACGGGCCGGTTGACGGAATTAAGATGCCACAATTGGCCACGTGACTTTGCTAAAGCGTTCGGATGATCGACCGCCATGTTGATTTTAAAAAACGCCGATCTTGTCTTGAAGGACCAGAAAATATAACAACACAACTGCCACCTGCTGTTGGGTAATACAACGTACGTACCTGTAGAATACATTACCAGCCACATCGATGTCCATGTCAGCAAAGAAAGCAGCTATAATCTTAATTTCTTTCAACCCTAGAGGCAGAACCATGTCCGGTTGGTACCGAGGGAACTCCGACCCGAATGAAATAAGACCATTGGTACTCACCTGAAAGTAAACAAAAACGGTTAAACAGTTGAACATTTTGCTGCCTTTAATTTATAAACATCATTCACGTCATTTCCTATTTCGGTTGAGTTTTTAGCAATTTAATTTTATCTTTTGCAGAATAGGTAAGCCTCTGATGAGACTCCTAAACGCGGGAAAAACAATTTGATATAAGATGTCATGATTGTATGAATTGTTGTGTCATTTGTAGGTTTTTTAACAGAAAACAATCGCAGGTGAAAAAGTAAATGGTCATAAACATAATACGTTGCCCTGTTTCATGTAAAAAGTTTTTTTGCACCATTGTTTTTTTTCTAAGCGTGGAATTAAGGAAGGTTTACACAGGTATAGTATTTCTAACAACTTTTATGTTTAGAATTGATATAAAAACTTGTGTACATCTGTTCTAAATACTTTCCCACTTTCATGTATAATAGAACTAACGCAGATCAAAGATGTTCAAATACCCCTTCATTGACTCGGTCAGTCAGACCGTTAGATACATGATGTATCGCGTGTTTCTATGTGTTAGTTTTGATAAGTTGGAACGTTTAACACGTGTTACATTTACCCGATGATTTATCCTGGCTCACAAAGCCAACATGTGGTTCATCAGCCAATGACCTATATATACAAAGAAGCCTGTATACACTGACTATATGAAACAGGAGCCAGGAAGTTATCAATTAATAAAGATAACATTTTGACATGATGAGTTTATAATTCATAGACTCTGATTTATCTATTGTTACTCTAGGTGCATTTAGGACATACTTCTCCAACAAGAGCAACGTAAAAAACTACTCAGCTCTTTCAGCTCTTCTAGAATATTTTATTTTATTTCTTTATTAAAGAATTAATATATAATAATCTATAATGCTAAAGAATAAATAATAAAAACTATAATTAATTTCTCAATCAACCTATTTCATTATGAATATTCTTTTCTAATATATTGTTGGTGTAGGTTTTACGTCGCACCAACACTGTACAGCCTAAACCACTTGCCACTCACCCTGTGGACTTGCATTCTTTCATCTTACTATTCAATTAAGGTATTCCCCGATCGAAGGACTTTATTTATGATAGAAATGTGTTTCACCCAATATTGTCGGGAAAAAACATTGTAATAAGCATTGTTTCAGAATATATACACTGACTGTTTTACAAGTACAAATTAAAATGACGATGATTTTATCATAAGAATACAGCTTAGCCAAAATTGAAACGTACTTCTTACCAAACAGAGGTCAAGTATTCGACAAATACGAACACATAGATCTATATTACTATGTTTTTTCTATTTTCGTCTCTCCTTTGGACGGCAGAATGAATGTTTATATATTTTTGTGTCATTTGTTGGTCATATTTTCAAAACAAGAATTTGTTCAGTTGTTCAAACAGTTTGTCTCAAGTACCAGATTACCACACCAAAATATTCTTTGACTATATTCTGTAAAAGTCGTTTCGTTTGAATTGCAGTTGAATAGATTGTATAGAGGATATAATACTATTATACTAATTGAAATATAGAAAGAATGGAGTATCAACACTTTAGAAAATAGTATCGAGAGTGTTAGAAATGTATTTATAAACATTCATAATTCACACAAAACTTTATATGTTAAACCTAATATATGCATATATACACATGTCTTTACCCCGTTACTAATGCAGTAAAATTGTTTTTGGTGTATGTGTGTGTTTGTTTTTTTTTTTTTTTTTTTTTTTATTATTATTATTATTATCATTATTATTATAATAATTATTATATTATGAGACATTTTAATTAAAGGAAGCTTATGATTGCTTAATATACTTAATTTCTGTTCCACCTGTTGAATACATTTTGAAATTTCATAAAAATCAAAAGGCTTCTGTAAGAAAAAGAAAACTATCTAGATTAAATGTTTTTATCAACAATTCTTATGGTTTTCTCGTATAAAAAGATTATAACATGTTCAAGCAAAACCTTTTCAATGCGGCACTCTGTGGAGCAATGACCTCTTTACAACAACTCTTGCTAAAGTAAAAGTTCACAATAGATTTAACCTCTCTTAAACAACCACTCTCAGTAACAACCAGAATTCTTGCCTTCCCAAAGGTGTCGCTCAGTAGAGGTTGTACTTTCGTGCATTTGTAAGATTGGTATTATGTTCTGTTCAGTTCTCTATAGTACTTAAAGATGAAAGGGCATAAAGGGCGTAAGGCGTATGATAACTAATATAGTTCTTCATTTTCCGCAAATTATCATTTACAAACTGGTTCTATGTTCATTTTTTTTTGTTTCTCTGATACGTAAAACTCTAAATGAAGATTATTAATGTAAACATTTTCTTATTTCTATCAGTGCCAACATACACAAACACTCTCTGAATCATCCTCGAGTTAAGAGAGGTTGAAGTAGATGGCTTATCATGCAGAATTAATTGAAAGTTTGATTGATTAGCCCGCTTAACGCTACCGGAGAATTTTTTTATATATTGCATTAGCAATGGTGAAACTTGCAGGTAGTGGTTGAACATAAGATGAAAATTTCGGAATGTGCTATTTCATTACAGTTTCTTCAGAAATCTGGAGGTAATTTATATGGTTGAAAAGCAGAGACATAGCCAGGATCTCACAACTCCCTTGTATATAGGCGCCATGTGCGACAATACTCCAGAGCATTACAAGAAGATCTTATTCTCGACAAAGAAACAAAGTAGGGTTCGAACTGTAGATGAATGGTAACAATTGTAAAAATTTAAAAAATTATTATTTAGAAAATATAGTTACAGGTTAATAATCATGAAATAGAGAGAAATAAAGAATCCCTTAAGAAAGCCCAACAAGACAAAATTGAAAATAATGCAGGCTCGGTTGGATTGAGTCTGTTCAAGGACGGTAATGGAAAGTGCAAGTTACCATCCTAGCCCCCTAGCACCGGCTTAAGCAGAATTCAACATTAAATCATGGTAATGGTGAAATTTTGAATTTAGAAACATATAATCAAATCATATCATCACGATGAAGTAATTATCACGATAATTGACCGATGAAATAATTATCGCGATAATTATCCAGTTAATGTCATATAACGCATACAGGTAGAACTTTGAGCGTTTTTGATGTAACACCGATACCTCAGAAATATAAAATTCTCAGACAATCTCCGATCTCTAAGATAGTACTCTCAAACAAATGTGTTATACTACATCGTCTCTACACAGGTATGCAAGTTTGTGTGTAGAATCTGGCAAGTATTCACACCCTATAGTCTGTTATCTGATTATTAAAGACAACATAGAAACACGATGTCATTACATACCGTGCTGTTTTATAAAAGAGCCGTCAAAAACTTGCGTATTTAAACAGTTAAGCCGATAAAAATATTTGCATAACGTGTTGATTTTTACCTTTTTAATGCGCTATAATAAAGAAAAGGTAAATACAATGCAATATAAATATATATATATGCATGGTTAATTGAGAGATTGACGTAACTTTTGATTTATTTCGGTCTAGTTACGATAGTTTAGTGTCCATTCCATAATATTGTATAGTTAAGTGTCCATTCCATAACATTGTATAGCTAAAGAATTACGGAGGGATTTTTGGATGCATATAAGGAAGGTTGGGAGAAGCAATATAGTGGTACTTTGAATGTATAGACCACGCGTATTCTAATGCAACTTACATCAAAGTAAATTACATGTATCTAACTTAAAATATATCCGTCAAAATTACAAGAATTCTAATTCATTTTCCCTAATCAATATCATTTGGTGAAAACAATGAAACCGTCTAAGAATTACACACAGTTACATAAATACTATTCAAGACAAAGTCTAAGCCACTATATTAATATCTTTAAGTTTAAAATGAACTTGGGACTAAAAATAAGTGTATCTTCTGTCCCAGAATGAACTAATATTTTAGCCGCGTCATGACAAAACCAACATAATGGGTTTGCGACCCGCAGTCTGATCAGGATCCATGCTGTTCACTATAAGTTTATCTGCTTGTTATAGGGTTTGTAAGCGAACAGCATGGATCCTGATCAGACTGTGTGGATCCCTGCGCAGGCTAATCTGGATCCATGGTGGTAGCAAACGCACTATGTTAGTTTTGTCGTGACGCGGCTCATTTAATTAACAATATTATAAAAGTGTCAAGTTCGGTAGATGTTTGGAAGTTGTAATTGCATACTTACAAAGAGGCTCGTGTAAAATTTTTCGTAGAAGTGCACTGGCGTCTGTAGTTGGATTTCTGGGGAGCTGCTATCATCCCCTTTAAGATCGGTATCTCCGCGAAGATTTCCGTACGGATAAAATAGTCGGATGGGTATAGAATTAACACAACTTAAACTAACACAAAGAAAGAGAAATACTTCGATTATTCTGGACATCTTATCAGGTAATAAAGTTATCATCCTCTCTTGAAAAATCAAGTAATCTATACAAACACAAAATATAGAAAATAAGTTCCACACCGTAGGTAAATGTTAAAAAAATCCGACCTAAATTCTACGAATGGATGTTACATATTTCCACCTATTTCTACAGCACTAAAATTCCGAAGGTATTATACAACCTTTAAATGTGTATAGATATGTAATAAATAAACGGGATAATACCCTACAGGCCCTAATACGACCCGGTCTTATCTAAATCACAGATTGAACAGAAAATCTTACTGAGAGATTCTCAACGCATCTGATTGGCTAATGAAGCGTGCGAATTTCACGGTATACTGCATTTTGTATTTCTTACAAAGATATAGGCTGATAGATGTATGTAAACCCCACAAGCCAACTGCTTATCAGCGAGACTTCGAAGAAATTGATGAATATTTTGTTACACCTTTGAGGGATGTATGTTTGAATGAAATTGGGTATTTTAAGTGGCCTTTAGTGAGACGGAAATAACTGTTCTAAAAATTATATTTCAATAAAGACGATTATTATTACTAAGAGGTTATATAAAACACCTTTGTTTGAAAAAGGGAAAATAAATGCATATAATGATAGCATGAAAAAGAAAAAATAATATTATTAATCATTTACGAGATAACACATTGAGTAGCTACTGTACACCCAGTGCATTACTATTTTTAATGTACCAAATAATACGAAATTATTTCGCGCAGCTCGCAGTTTCCATGCTTTGAGCTTAAAAACTCTTTTGTTTGGGAAAGACTCTCTTACTGGTGAACTGATTATTTTATTTCGACAAGGTACAAATACACTGTATTTAATAAGTCATCCTGTAGATTTGAAAGAGGATAGTTATCTCAACATTGTTTATACAATACTACTTGCCACGTTCAATTGATATACTCTATCCTTAATTTTTCTTTCTTTTTTCTCTTCTTCTTTCCCCTTGTACACATACCATTTAGACTTCCTTAACTGCTCTACTATCATTCAAATTTAGTCTGTACCTGTCTTATTATTATTTAGATACTTCCATATCTCAGGGAAGAACCGTTTGCTGATTTTGTAAGAACTCGTAGTTCAACGCTTTTGCTAGTTTTGTATTAAAATTATGATAATATACTGTTATAATTGTATGGGCGCTGTTGGCGTTCACTGAACAATTATTTTGATAACAATAATAAAATCTTTATTTCAAGAAGGTAACCTTCAACTGTACAGAGTTAATACAAAACTAAAACACTTCATACTTTATATGGCCTTCCAAGAAAGAATTTATGAATTTATATCCCCCGCCGAGTACTGGTTATTACTAACACAACAACTGAAGACATAGGGCTTTATTTATATAATATTTATCATGGCGTAAACAGTAATATTCTTTGTACATGATAAACATTCAGGGCAGTAACAGAGCCATAACTCCTATCTGGACATGCCAATGAGATGTAAATTGTCTTTTTGTATCGATGGTTCCCATAAAGTTTTGTTGAAATCAATACAGCAGTTACAAAGAAATAGCAATATTGCTATATATGCATTACTCTGTAATGAAGGGTCCGGTTTGAACAAGGCAACAAATTATGCACATTTCCTTTTGGTATTAATGGTTCCAATAAAGTTTTGTTAAATTCCAGCCTGTATAGTTGCGGAGAAGTAGCGCGGAAACAATTATTGTTCTATATGCATACTGCATAATCAATCAAGGGTCATAACTCTTAGTTAGTGTCTGACCGGAAGAAGCCGACGATATGCGCATCTCCTCTTGATATTGATGGTTCCCATAAAGTTTCGTTGAATTCCAGCCAGTAGTTGCAGAGAAGTAGCCCGGCAACGATTGTTGCTATATATGCATACTGCATAATTAATCAAGGGCCATAACTCTTGGTACTGAAGGTTCCCATAAAATTTCGTTGAATTCCAATCAGTAGTTGCAGAGAAGTAGCGCGAGAACAATTTTTGCTCTATATGCATAATGAATAACTTATCAAGGGCCATAACTCTGAGTTAAAGGGTCTGACGGGAATAAGCCGACGATATGCGCATCTCCTCTTAATATTGATGATTCCCGTAAAGTTTCGTTGAATTCCAATCAGTAGTTGCAGAGAAGTAGTGCGGAAACGATTATTGCTCTATATTCATACTGAATAATTAATCAAGGGCCATAACTCTGAGTTAAAGTGTCTGACCGGAACAAGGCGACGATATGCGCATCTCCTCTTGGTATTGAAGGTTCCAATAAAGTTTTGTTGAATTCCAGCCAGTAGGCCGCTCTTGGATAGAAACAGCATGTAGATTTATCTACGCACATTGAGGGCAGAGTTTTTGACCTAGTGATCACGGAACTTGCGAATGGCATTGACAAATCTGTCTCATATCGTGATTTTGAAAACATGGATAGGGAGGCGTTTTCAAAAGATCTGAGTGAAATGGCAATAAGTAATGATTCGGTGGTTGGATTTGTAAAACAGTTTGAAAACGAGATTGAAAACATACCAAATACGCATGTACCCATTAAAGGGAAAAGAGAAAATACAAATTTATAGAACACCCAAATCCTGGTTCATTGAAAGTATTATGTCCCTGAAGCGATGGATAAGTTGGAGAGAACACGTGATTATGAGATATTTAAGTGACCACTCTGTCCTAAAAAGGGAAAAATGTCAAACTTTCAGTAAAAGGCAAATGAATCAAAAGGTGATTAAAAAAGCAAACTTTATCAGCTTGTGAAAGATCTCACCGGTAACAAGTCTGAAAATCGCATGCCTTCTGAACACTCTAGCCGACAAATTTGCCGACCATTTTATGGCCAATATTGCAAAAAAATCAAGAATTATTGAAAGACTTTGAAAATTATAAACTCTGTGTTAGAGAAGTACCATCTTTTAATTGTTTTGTGAATCTAACAGAGGACGAGATAAAATAACTCATTAATCAATTACAGACAAAATCGTATGAGATCGACATATTGCCGACAAAATTTTTGAAATCCTTTCTTAACGAACTTTAACCTATATATATAATCACCAAGCTTGTGAATCTTTCTCTAACACAAGGTGTATTACATATCATGCCACGTTGACAAAAGAATGGAAGCAGGTAATAGTCAGACCTCTTTTGAAAAAGTCTGATTTTGAACTAACTTTGGCAAACTATCGGCTTGTAAGTATCAAAATTGATAGAAAAAGCCGCACTCTACTGACTGATTGAGCATGTAAGCAAAATAAATTTCCTTCCAACTAATCAGTCGACATATCACCAGTTCCACTCATTCGAGCCTGCCCTTCTTAGACTTGTTATAATAACATTCTTGAAGGCATGGAACACCAGGAAGTCACAGCTATGATTGCTCTTGATCTGAGTGTTGCATTTGACACTGTCGACCATAGCATTTTACTTGATGTTCTCAAGTCCCAGTAAGGTATATTTGATTCGGCTCATAGATGGGTGGCCTCGTACTGCAGACCGCACAGTTGTCGGATCAACGTTAATTCCAACTTGTCAACAGTGAGAGAGCTTGACTGTAGTGTCCCCTAAGGAAGTTGTTTGGGGCCTTGGCTATACCTGACCTATGCTGGAACGATATTTGACATTACTTGTGTCTCTTTCTATTCCCGTGTTTGGATTTGCCGATGACCACACGGATAACAAACCCTTTAAACCACCACCCGAAGGATCGAGCGCCTGCAATTCAAATCCTCGAAAAATCCGCCGTCGACATCAATGAGTTGATGAACGTAAACAAATTGAAAATGAATAACACAAAGACTGAGTAAAGTAAGCCGTCAACAATGAGAGAAGTGTAATACATGTACAAAAAGAATTGATATTTGTGGTAATATCGAATCGCAACATTGTATAAGATATCTTGGTGCCTTCTGAGATGAATCTTTAAATTTCAAAGAACATATCAAACGAAAATGTAAAACTGCTATGCTTATTTATTGTAAGATCAAAACCATTCGGCAGTATTTGTCTTCTGATGCCACCAGGTACGTATATTAACGTTAATATACGTACCTGGATGCCACAGAAACACTTGTTTTATCTTTTGTTATATCTCACTTGGACTACTGTTACGTCATATTGTACGGTAGTTCGCAAACTGAGTTATCTAAACTTCAACCTATCCAAGACATGTGTGCTAAACTTGTATTAAATAAATCAAAATTTGATAGCTCCAAGCAGTTTTTGATTTACACTGGCTACCCATTTAAGCAGATCTTAGTGTATATGTACAATTGTTCTGTAGGAAATGCAGCAACTTAGTTAATTCCTTGACTCCTCAAACCCCAATATGCTCTTTAAGATCATGGCAGTCAGCTGTTGGATTCTATGAAATACCATTTAATAGAAACAAAACCTTTTCAGATAAACGTTTCGGTACAATAGGTCCAAAATTAAGAAATAAACTTCCCAGAGACCTTAGACAAAGCAAATCTGTAGACAATTTCAAGAGACAATTGAAAACTTATTTCTTTAAGGATTTCTCTTTCCTATTCTAAGTACGGTCTTAAAGGTTTGATATAAACACTTTGGTGTACAAAAAACTGTAAAATATTGAATTGTGGTTAAAAATTACTGTACTGTAAATATATGTCTTAGAGACCGAAAGATAGAGATATTTGTGTGTATGTATGTATATGTGTGATATTTGTATATACATGTATGTGTGTATATGTATGTTGTTCCACGAAAACGTTTTTATTATTTTTATCAATGATGTCAACATATATTGTATTTTGATTTACTATTGTTACTGTCTTTTAGATATTGTACAACGCCATTGAATATGCTTTGTACGTAGAAATGGGCGTTTAATTTAATTTTCATGCTATACCGAAGTTGTCTCTGACCACGGACGCATGTGGAACTACAAACGCCTTAAAATCCAAATAAAATATATATTTCTCAATCCTAGCACATGTACTTATCATATATATCAATAAAACTTAATATAAATGCTGTTTTGAAAAAAAATCCAATAAATGACGACTTTATGCTTATATGCTCGATTATTTAAACATTGTGTATTTCTTATATCTCCATGCAGTTAAATATTGATTTTCATAATTGCTTCTCCGTATTAAGCTGCGGTCTCACTTACTCCCGGCAGAGCCCAGGACCACCCCGGTAAGTTACTGGGATGATCCGGGACGATACGGGGTGAAATTATTGTTGCGGTCACACTAACCCCGGCAGCACTACGGTAATGCCCAACTAACCACCCAGGATGCGCTCTGGACCATCCAGGCAGAGCCCAGGTGAAGCTACGGTTCATGTCGGAGCTTCCCCGGTCGTTCCCGGATGACGCCGGAAGAGCCCCGGTTGACCCAGGCAGAGCCCCGGTCGATCCAGGCAGAGCCACGGCAGAGGCCAGGACGATCCAGGCAGAGTCCCGGTAGAACCCCGGTGGATTGAAAACGCGCGAAAATGATTACATTGATACATAATTTTTATTTATTATTATATCTATTGTTCCAGAACAGTAATTCATGATGATTTTCTGAAAAATCCTTATGCAAGACTGGATAAAAGGGAAATGGGAAGGATTTTAATACAAACAAGTGAAATCATCGCAAATTGTCGTGATTCTTTTGAAGTGAACCGGGTTTTGCCGGGGCTCTACCGGGATCAACCGTAGCTCCATCGTCATATTCAGGGGCTCTGTCGGCATCCTCCGGGGCTCTGTCGGCATTCACCGGGGCTCTGCCGGCCTTCACCGGGGCTCTGCCAGCATTCACCGGGCTACGGTCTACCGGCTATATCATGCCCCGGTTTGTGCCGGCAGAGCTACGGTGCTTCCCCGGCAGAGCTAAGGATGAAGCCGGCAAAGCTATACTTCCCGGATCATCCTGGTAATATTAAAAATTTTATTCCATCCGGGGTCAAATGCCGGATGTTCCCGGCAGAGTAACGGATGTACTCCGGTTGTTCTCGAATCACCCAGGACGTCTACCGGCATGCATGTTAGTGAGACTGTAGCTTAAACCCTTGTGGTCTTTCACAAGAGACGTTCAAATGTACTTGTAGTGTGCACCACTTTTCTCGGTGCTGGTAAACGAAATACATAATAATTTCAAGTCAAGCAATCGAGATTATTCAGAAATATTTGACAAGTTACTTTCCCTTGGTCCGTAGCGAATCAGTTAGCCAATTATTAATTGCTTTTACATAATACATGTAAAATATTTTCAACAACAGCCAATAAGGGGTTTATCATCGTCGGATACCCACGGCCGAACCATTATCATTGATTGCATGTTATGTTATGTGACATGTTTATCAATCGTGGGTATCCGACGATGGGGGTTTATTTGTACCAGTCAACTCTGGGTTACATTACCATTTAGAAACGGGCTCCCATTTTAATAGCCATAAAGTATTTCCAGTCAGAACATCAGGGGAGGTAATTAAGGACAAACTATTCTGACACATACAAAGTTATAAAAATCTCAGAAGATTAAACAAGACAAACACAGACACTCTTTTCATCCATTTTTTATTTTTGCCATGTCCACAGTGAAAACAGGAAAAATCTTTTCCCACAATTCACCAGTATAATATTCATAATGTAATATACATTTATATATAATAAATTATAATACAATAAAATAATTTAAATAATGATGTTTCTATGAGCACAAACCAAATGATGCCATGTTTGCTGTTAGGTAGTATAATACAATTAATTACGAATTTGGTTAACCGTAATTCAGGCATGCTTATCCAAGCGAAAAACATGATGGCCCCTAAAATTATTAACAGATAACTCACAGTATCTCATCATTTATTTTTAGGATATCCTAATCAAGGTCATCCCAATATATTCATGATTCTTTACAACATCTAAGGCAGAAATACTCATTCAAATGCTCAAATAAAATACATACTATTAATCACATGTACATTGTTTAAATGTTTATGTAGAAAATTTCTAACCTATACATAAATAAATGTTGCTTAGTCTTGATCTCTTCTCAGCACAATACTTCTCATACTACTTAACATTAACCTAGATATAGACTTCAAAAGAAAAGAAAATGACAGAAATTTTTTTCAATAACAATAAGAAATGGCTCTATATATTTTCAAAAGATATCAAATATCTATGTCATTTTTGTTGCTTCATGGAATCATGAAAAAAAAAAGAAATGTAAATATATATACATATGCAACAATCTCTTGGGGGGGGGTCATATTTCTCTGGATAATTACATAGAAACATGTTTTTAATGTTTGTCAAAGATAATCTTTATATGGTAATTTTCCATCGTATCACAGACATTTAATAATGATACTGAAAAACAAAATAAAATCTTAACTTTAAATGCCAAAAAAGAAACAAACAAAAAATACAAAATAAAACCCACTAACATAGATGAGAAGAAAAATTGTGTAATAAACGGACAATTAGAGCAATTCTATAGAGATATTAAATTCAGGTATCATCATCCAGTTACTGTCTAATTATTACAACCTATGTTATTTATAACATACAATCAATATATTATTATAAATATTATGTCATGAACTGTTTCAAAGCTTTTTATTTCTCTAAAAATTTTCTGTAAACTCTCATTGTTTACCTTACATTTTGGCTCGTTCTTCTTTAATTCTATATACTATGGTTTTATAATGTTTCGTTTAACATTAATTAAAATACAAAATTAAAATTGAAAGTGAACTTTGTATGGAATTGCACATAAATTAATGCTTGACTTTTTGTTCCAATTCCTCTTTTTATAACATTATTTTTTTTAACCAGTACTGACTTATAAATGCCTGGCAGTGGTTTGCAAAAACACAAACTCACAGTGTACATACATATACAATTATACATGAATGTACATATATAAGAACACCATTTGCTGTTTTAACAGAATAAATGACCACATAAAATAATTTACAATTTAATTTACAATTACAACATTTGGTGTTATCTATTTAACACATCTTTTAATATCGCCCCAGAAGTCGTGGAAGCCGGTGTATTCCGACCTGATCCAGGCGGAGTTTTCGAACTTTCTGTCGGTGCCGCAAATGTCGGTAAAGTTTGTGAAACTGAAACTGTTGAACTCATTAATAAATGTTGTGTATTTGGTGTTCCTAACGTAGGCGTTCCACCTGTTGGCATAGCAACATGTCTCGGTGCTGTGAATGGATTATAAGCTGGTTTATGTGTCTCTTTCTGTTTCTGTACATCTCTTACCATCTCCTCCGCAGGCAGGCGGACCGTTGGTGGTGGTGGCGACGATTCGCGCTCCAAAAATTTGACAAACATTTGGGAAAATGACTAAAATAAACAAAAAGTAATCATTATATACATACAATCCTAACAATGAAACTGCTATATGAAAAATTAATAACAATAACAAGATATATCAGGTTTTGCTTTGAAATTTAATAATAAAGAAGCATTTTATGCTAAAATGGAATAAATCTTGAAGTTAAGACCAAACAGGAAAAATACACAAATTCATTTAAATATTTGACCACTGTTTGGTAGAAAATGGGCAACTTAATTTAGTTCATAGCAATCATTTTCTTTGATTATTTTCAATATGACAATATGGTGGGTAATACTGTCAAACTCAAACATTTTAGATTTGTAACTGTATAATTCTTGAAATAAAACATTTGATTAGATTTCATGAAACAAACAATCTTACATTATCTACTGGTTTTGAAGGTGTAGCCCCAATAGTTGACCTTCTCACTGGTGTTGTAGGGGGTGAGGATGTTTTCTGTCCCCCAGAGAACCTTAAAAAGCCTGGTACCCAACCCCCTCCACTGTGCTTACCATCAATCTGAAAGGTAAAATGACATTTTAACATAAAACTAACTCATATCATTTCATAAGCACATATATATAGGCCCAAAGACTTCTTTTTTTTTATTTCTCCCTAAAATTTAGGGCTAGTGTGATCCCTGATTAGCCATGTGCAATATGATTAATCTCTATATTGATACTTACCTTTTTTATTGACAACAGAATGTTCAAAATTCCAAAAAAAACCAAATGATACTAATTTAGGTAAGAAGAGTTGAATGTACCAGTAAGCGTTAAATATGCTATAGAATTATATTTTTCTCTGTAACTTATAATAAAACTTCACAAAGTTTATATATGGTGGTGATGGTAGTTTTCACTGCGGATCACGACAGTAAGCCACATTGAATTCACCAGAGCACAGTTCAGCCACCGCATCATTCCTGGGCAGGCTGTCAAGCAGTTTACCAGTACTAATGCCTTCTTTTCGCAAGAAACTGAAACTTCTGTACATGCTAGAGCAGAGGTACAGTGTGAATGACCATAGAAAGGATTTCATGATCCATTACAACAAAAGTGACCTGCGTCGTCCTTGAATCGAACCAAGTTCGCCAGATTCACAATCCAACGCTCTACCTATTGACCTAACCAGACGGCTAGTTTATATACAGTATTGATACAGTAATAATAATACCTTTTCAAAATCTTCTGATGAGAACTGTAGCACACCACCAATTGCCCGTAACACCTCATGTTTACTATTCTGAGGGGCCGTGAAGTATCCCAGGAATAAATTCTTTATCACTAACCTGAAATTCAACAAAGAAAATTTTTTTTTTTTTATAAAAATTTACAAATTTTACTTTTAAAGAGATTGATTTAAAGACATTCTTAGGAAAAGTCAACACATCACTTTCACTTTAATTGGCTCATGAATAATGTAGAATACTACTCAATTCTATTTATTGAATAATTTGAAATTATTATTGTTTAAATTACTATGAAAATGTTTTATTTTGTGTTGTTTTCTTTTAAATTTTTAATAACTAAAATCTTTTTAAATGGTTTCATCTGAGTTACTCATTTTTATGAAAATTGATTCACTGACATTTGTTTTTTTAGCCTTCATTAAGATTTAAATATTAAAATTTGTGTAATATAGAAATTAAACCATTCCCATTAAATTTGTATTAACATACATGCTGTAATTAGTCCATGATTTAACAAGTTTACTGATTTCAAACTTTTCGTAACTTGGAATACTGAAAATGATTGCCTTTTTGCCACCCTGTGTAGAAACCCTGTCAGCCATGCAACTCGGTGCAGTTTGACCAGGCTCTATATTGTTAGCTCACAAAATAAAATTTTTCACCCTGATATCCCTTAAATTTATAATGGACAAGTCCAAAAATGAGATCCCTTAAATTGATAATGGACAAGTCCAAAATGAGATCCCTTAAATTGATAATGGACAAGTCCAAAAATGAGATCCCTTAAATTGATAATGGACAAGTCCAAAAATGAGAGCTGGACAAGTCTTTTCAAGGAATACAGCAGTTAAGAGTTAGCAGTAATAGAAAACCATAATTTGTTAATTTCAAAAAATGCAATTATGCATTAAGTGATTTCAAGAAATAATACTAAATTGAGAAACAGTCTGGCTTTAACAAGTAAAATGTGCTTTGACAAGAATACAAGGAATACAGCAGTTAAGAGTTAGCAGTAATTTCAAACCACAATTTGTTAATTTCAGAAAAATAAAATTATGCATTAAGTGATTTCAAGAAATAATACTAAATTGAGAAACAGCCTGGCTTTAACTAGTGAAAAGAGCTTTTACAGGAATAAAATAACTGACAAGAATTTCTGTTTCAAGATTTTCAAATAAAACCCCACTAAATGCACTACACACTACAATTTGAACATATCCCCGGCTATTTTTCACCCACTAACCCTCTCATTGTCATAGGGATGGGATGGAATGGGGAGTGATTACAAATGACTAGTACATTATAAGATACATACTTGTCCACCCTGTCATCATTTCTACTCTTCAGGTTTCTCAGCTCATCTTCTACAACTTTCAGTCCTGATTCACGGATTTGAACTGAAAAGTCAGTGATATATTTTGTTATAACAACTATAATATATAATAGGGATTATCTTTTCTTAACTCTAATCATCACAATACTTATACCACTTTTCGGTGTCTGTAAAAATGGTATAGCACGACTGAGCATACAATATGCAACAGAGCCTAGCATCACATGCCACCTTTATAGTGGCGTTTATAGTGGCGAGATCAGATCAGTATATTTTTCTTCATATCTTCAGGGTAGAATATAAAATATATATATATTAGAATATAGAATATTAAACTTATGTTGATTCTGTATTAAATATATAGAACTTGTTGAATAAAACTTCCACCATACTTTTAATACATACTTTTAATATTCAACTTTCAATTAATTCAAAACGGAATCAATATATTTAATATCCTCTATTTATTATATTTAGATCCTTATAATATGACATGTACAAACATCAAGCTCTTGACTTAATTTCCCCGCCTTTTATTCTAATTGTGAGACTTTGCTCCTAAATTACCTTCCTAACCTAGTTAATTTACACTTCATGCTATATTGAAATCTAATTAAGAGCAAATCTACAGCTTAAAATTAAGTGATAATTCTTACTTTGAATAAATTGGAATATCCTGGCCATATAATGGGGCTACATTAAATACATTATCAGTAGGAAAAATATGAACTTTTCTTATATGTCACAGAAATTAAAGTTACATTACTTTTAATTATAACGGAAGACATGCAAGCTCTATGAGGAAAAAAACACACACACACAAAAGAAGGTTTCTATATACAGGTAGGAAAGACATGCTAACTTAAAGGATAAGCTACTATACTAATTTTCATCGCCAATTATTTCTTCTTCTCAGTTTGCCTCCATCTGAATCCTCATACTCTGTCCTTCCATCTGTTCAGTGTAATTTCCTTCCTTGTATATATATTCATCATTTAATTTCTGTGATAATGTATCCACTTCTGTTCTTTCATGATACCAATTATACAATCAACCAATAATTAACTTCTTTTTTCCCCCTACTTTCCAGTGAAAATGTTAGGTCTGCATTCATCTTCTTCCTTTCACCACCCTGTTTAATTATGATTATCCATTTTAATTTCTAGTTCCAGACACTGTACTAGATTGTAGACATCTTACTGTCAACAATACAATTACAGAAAAAAAGTTACACTTAAATTCTCTAGAATGCATTAATTATTATGGCAAAGTTTACAATTACTTGTCTGCAAATGTCGGTCTGTGTAAGTAACAACTTATATCAGCATGGTAAAATGTGTCATTTAGATGTGAAAGTGTCACCTTGCACTGATGCATTTCTCTTTGAACAAGAATAATCATCCTATGTGTTTGATTCAGACAAGACAAAGTAAGAACATCACATAAGGTACGGAACAAACATACAGTCAGTACCTGATGTAATACTCATACCCTAGCTTTCAATCACTATTTCCAGTTGCCACTGTCATTAATTGTAAGCCTCCTGTAGTTGTCAACCTCCTGATTCTCACAGCCTCTCAGTTGATTCTGATAGCCCCAAAAATGCTTTATACCTCCAGTACCTGTCCATCTCCTGGTCTGAAAAACCCTGATGTAGCTCACAATCCTCAATGTCCTGATTCCCATAGCCCCTCTGTAGCTGTCAACCTCCAGGAGCTGTCAATCTCCTGATTTCCATAGCCCCTCAGTTGCTGTCAACCTCCAGGAGCTGTCAATATTTACAACCTAATTATGGTAACTTCAAATTGTTGTCAACCTGACTATTCATCAAGTAGATGCTGTTAAACATTTTGCTTTTTAACTTCCTGTACCTTTTTACCATCCCTATCTGTGTATCTCTCACTTTGTTAACCATTTGTTCATCTTATATTTTACTTCCTCTCATCTCCTTGCCTCTGAGACAACATTCATTTCCAGTCAACAGCTCCCTTTAAAAATAGACTGCAGGAATACCATCCTCATCAATTTTCTGTGTTATTACCTTATCTATGATGCTGATTCCCCATTAAAACTTGCATCCATGAAATATTTAATCTTCCAAATATTTCCATCCATGAAATAATTATGTACATGTAATTTTCCAAATATTTCCATTCATGAGATATGTAATTTTCCAATTATTTCCATCCATGAAATATGTAATTTTCCAAATATTTCCATCCATGAAAAATATTTGAATTTATCCATACAGCAACCATGTCCATTTCTAATAGTCATACAAAAAAATCTGACATAATAAAACATCTGGATTATTCATCCTTGCTAATTTAAGTCCAAAATAACTTTTTATAGGATATATTTTTATACCTTTCCTTTAAAGACAAAAAAGATATGTTTTAGAACTACAGTTAAAATAATATTAACATGATTACCAGTTTTTGTTTAAACCATCATGCAAAGTCTAGAGTAAATAAAGATGTGAAGTTTGTATTTCTGTATAAGAAGCTCATACCTGGGAAAGGTTGTTTCTGTTAACAGCAGCAATTCTTACTTCCACTTCAATTCCAGTAAGAATATGTTGTCCTAATCCATATACCAGTATGATGACCATCAATTTACAATCAATCAGGGAAGATAAAATTGGAGATTTAACTACTTGTAACTGTAGTATTACCACTGTGATACAAGAGTTTAAATCTACTTACATATAACTAGTATAACTTCCTTTTTTCCAGGGTAAGTAGTATATAATTTCCTTATTCTTCATCTTTTATCATCTAAGTTTGTTGTAACACTAACTTTATTGTTTTACTTATTGCCCTGTCATCACTTTTTTAACATACTTTATACAATCTTCCCATGCTAAAATACTCATACCAGGTGTTCTAAGAATTTCAACACCCATTGATGCTTCCAAGAATTCACTGTAAGAATTCATAAAATAAATCTTCCATGAGGAACATATATTTCACTTGTTAAATTTTTTCCTCTTATTGTTTTTTTCCCCAGCAATTCAAAGTGTACTTTCTCACCTCATACAAGTATCTGGTACAGAAAATATCAAATGACTTCAAGGGGCCGTTTCCTGCAGATTTCTGGAAAAAGTCAAATTCTGCTTCAGAAAGTGTAAAATACCATTCCTTCATTTTAGTTACCATTATGGTAAAAAGGATTGTTCTTTTATTTCTTAGTTCATTCAAGTTTATTCACTACTTTCTTATTATCTTCAATTAAATCTTTCAAAGACAGCCAAGCCTTGATCCATTCTTTGTCCCCAACAACTTCTAACTGTAACAAGATACTTTTATTTCTCAAGTCCTAATTACATTTAACTGCAACTGGTCATGCACATGCGCTCACACCTCGATTCAAAAACTCATCAGAATGAAAATAAACTGAAGCCATTCCTTTGATGTTACATGCAGGTTTGTTCAATATTTTGTGATTTGTTCTATTCATTCCAGGTAACTCCATGCACAATTCAAAGTCAAATGAAGTAAGAGTTAGCTTTCTTGACATATAAAAAACAAACACTGATTTGGTGGTTTTAGCCGATGTTAGATGTTAGTAGTTATATTTGTATGATCTCGGCTGGTAACTTGAGGTCTTAAATCGTCTACTCAGAATTACCAGCTGAGATTAAACAAACAGTAACCATCTCATGCACGAGTTAAAAACTCAAAATGTCAGTCAAACAAAATGTTAGCAACAGCTGAGATCTCTTCATTATTGCACTAAACTCAAAAAATCATTTTTTTCTCGGATCTTATTATTAGTTCTAGTTCCATAGTTTAGGTTTTAGGGTCACAAAGATTCATCCTGTAAGAAAACCGAGCTTTATTTATCATCAGCAACTTGGTGCTTCTGAAAAATTTGATGTTAATAATACATCACAAGGTGCAGGCTTTATAATCAAGTTATTAAAATATTAGCACTAGTGTATGTGTACAGTAGATTCAAATATGACTATATAAGATGCTGCTATTCTAAGAATTAATCAAAATACATTGTATCAGTCAAATGGTACATTTGTTAGCCAACAAACAAAAATGTTAGCTATAAGTCATGAATATTATGTGAACATGTTAGATAAATCTCAAAAATTACTGAGCTCATTAAACACGACAAATGAACCATGCCATGACATAACCAACATAATGAGTTTGCGACCAGCATTGATCCAGACCAGCCTGCGCATCCGCGCAGTCTGATCAGGATCCATGCTGTTCGCTATCAGTTTCTCTACTTGTTATAGGGTCTGTAAGCGAACAGCTTGGATCCTGATTAGACTGCGCGGATGTGCAGGCTGGTCTGGATCTATGCTGGTCGCAAACCCATTATGTTGGTTTTGTCGTGACGCGGCTCAAAATATAATTTGCATGACAAGAGACTACTCTGTTCAAGCTGCATGCATATTTCAAGCTCATAGACAAGTCGACAGTTCATCAGGGTAAATCTCTCAACAATTCCATCATAATTCCAATTATCTGTTTAGTTCCGCCTCAAATTCCAAATGATCAAAACCATCTGTTCAATTTTTTCAGCATACCCAGTCATAATTTAAGCTCATGCTATTTTAACTTTCAAATTTCAATTGTCACACCGATTATTATTGTCATCCTCAAAGTTGAAAGCAACCAAACTCTATAGTCCATTTCCAAGATTCAAATGTCCAACTTTCTGTCTCCTTTTGGTTCTTGGTAAGACTTTTAGATGATTTATCTCAATTCCTTTTTGTTGTTTTTCTATTTCTGACTCAATAACTGGACTGTTAGATTCATCTTGAACATAATTAAACACAGCAAATCAAATCTATCAAGAAACTAAAAGGTAACTAAGGGAGACAACTACAGTCACAACCATAAATCAAGAACGAAACCTTAAAATGTCTAAAATATAATGCTTTCACAAATACCAAAAATAAAACAATGTTATTTGTAAACAATACACATGCGATGTCTATTTCTGAGCCTAACATGAATATAATTTCTTAAAACACTTGATTTACTTTAATGTTAGTGCAACATGAATACCCAATATCAAAAAAAAAAAATTCTTTGTAACTTTTCAGCAAATAGAAGGGGAAAAAATCTGTATTTCACATTTGATCTTTTTTTGCATTGCTTAAAAAACCCAGTTTTAATAATTAAGTCTTTAATTTGAATTTATGACATAATGTAATCAAGGAATTTAATATCTTGATTTGCAGTATGGGAAAAATCTACAAAGCAGACTACAAGCATGCCAGAAAGACAGAAAACAGAGAGAACGACAGACACAAGGAAGAATAGATGGACAGACGGACAGAATATTCGAGAGAAACAAACTATGACTGCCCTTACCGTTGTTTGTCTGTCTGTTTGTACAATATCAACTGACAGCCTGAGACTAGAGAACACTCAGGATTACCAGCTGATATTAAACAACCAAACAAATTTTAAAGTCTTCATAGATAAAAAACATAGGAAAATATAGTAAAATGAAGCAATTTCACACTAATGTGCGTAAAAAAGCAAAAATCTTCCTTAGCTAGAAAGCCTTGCTCTAAAAAGGTTCAAGAATATTTGGAAATATTTCTTATAAAAAAGCATCTTTAAAGCAAAAAATAAAACAAGCTGGCGACCAAAACTGAGAAATCAAAGCGATTTGTTGATCTTTTTTTCCAAACATTTTGGAAATCTAATAGTAGGCAATGGGCAGTAATAGCAGGAATTCACACAAACACAGGCACAAACAGACACACGCACACACACACAAAGGTAGAAAAAGCAGAGGTAAGGCAAGTTGTATATCGTAACATCTGAAAAACTACATGTAATAACTGCTGTAACTTAAACATTATCAATTACAAACAAGAACTTTTATTATTTTACTACAGCCATACACTACACAACTGCATCTACTTCTTTTATTTATAAGTATCAATTATTCTCTTTAGAAAAAGTAATTTATTTCACTCATGTCATTTAACTTATATAGAGAAACAGCCCTTGAAACATCTACATCTACATCATATATATTGGCCCCTTGAGATAGAGCAAAAATGCCCTGTCTACACAGTTATGGTATACTGGGTTAGAGGTTATAAAGAAAGCTTCTTAGCTCAAGCTCAGATCTTAGGAATTTGATTTGTCAGAAACTTCCAAAGAATGAACACTGACCAATGAAAAACCTGAGATCCGAGACAAAGCTCAAGAAAAGTTTTATAACCTCATGGCCTGGGTCTATTCATTTAATCAAAATAATCTATCAAAAGTTACAACTTCTTAATATTTAAATGCTTTACTTAATACCTTACCTGTAGTATCTTTCTCTAACTCCTTAATTACCTACCTGCCTACCACCATCTTAACATTACATTTCAAAGTCCTCATTATCACTTAGTTAATCCATCTATTTAACATAAACTATCCTTTCTCATTTTTTTTCACCAAAAAATCTTATTTTAATCCATACTACAGTTGATTTTTTCCATTAACTATTTAAGTAACAACAGGTGTTTTTTGACAAATTTAATTCATATTACATTATGTGCTTTTCTGTTTAATTTTTCTAATTAGGAAGGTTTCGCAATTGTATCTCTTTAATGAAAACCAATTATAGTCCAGTTGCTTACTTTATTAAAATGTCATGAAACACTATTTAAGCATTAAAACTTAAAATTTTGCCCTACAGGCATTAATGTACGCCTCACTTGATTTGAGACAATGCAGTCTAGATGTTATTTCAATTAATATGTACTGCAAACAAGCAAAGTTTACCGAGACATGACAAGATAAATGTGGGGCACTGGGCTAGAGGAAACGTGGACGGGGAACATGCACATTTTTTGGACCATGTTTTCGTGTACTTCTACATACAGGAATGTAAACTGCTGTCCTTTGAGATGATTAAAAAAAAAATTCATCACTGCTTTCAAGCGATTTCACTATTTTAACATCCCAATAAAAATAAACTCCCTTACCACTTTATTTTTTTTGCTCATTTAATGCTTCCCTTCTTGAATTTTTTAAATAAACTTTGCTCCTTCTTTGAATTTGTCCATTAATTGTACAAGGGAAGTTACATTTTGATACATGTATAAATAGAGCAGACGACATCATTATAAGTGTCCGGCTAGCCTTGTTTTTTAACTTGTAGCATTGGCCTGTTTTTTTGTAGTCACTGGCACAAACACCACAAGTTAAATTCTTACATTTCTGATGCACCCTTAAAAGGAGGGTTTTACCTAACTTATTTACTCCTAGCATTATTATACTTTCCTGTAATTTAATTTTAATATCTGCAATCATGTCAATATCCATTGTGTATTGAAATACTACCCTGTACTAAAGTACCAGTAACTGTGTAATAACTATTACATTCAGACATTCAGCATATTTAAAATGATAAACAACTAAAAACAACACATAAAAAGAGAAACTGATCAAAAGTTTTATAAATATCCTGAAATAATTTCCTTTTTTTAAAAATCCTTTCTTTCCCACCTCATTTTAAAAATGTTTGCATTTCAAACTTCATATTTATAAAAATATACCTTTTTATATTTTTCACTGAAAATAGTTATATAAATCCAAGAAAAGATCATGAACAATACTGAATGTTTTTATAATTCCAAGTGTATGTAACTCATTAAAGTTGCACAATGACTTAATAGAATTAACCAACATTGTAAGCCAATTTGTAACTGTCTCATTTGATTCACATGTCTTTTACAAGATAAAAAAATGCGCCGGTTGGTGACAAGTCATATAAAATCTTTCAATGCATCTCAATAAATCCTCTTCATTTACATATATCTTCAATTTCCTCAAACCCGACAATGTTCACTTAATTAAAGCATATATGAATGTAGTTTTAGTATCGCAACTATAAAATGCATCCGGTTTCAAAAACGGCAATCATTTCTGTAATAAATATGCTAATACACAATAGCTGTAATTGTCGAAAGATTTCAAAATGGAAAACGAGTTTCAAATGAGAAAGGAAAGGTTTGAATAGAAAATGTCTCATATCTTGTCAAATTTAAAGCGTAATTTTCTCATGGAATGGTGAGATTCTGGATGTTTATTTTAATATAAACTAACAGCATCACTATCTTTTGTTGGGTAAAAAAACATTACCAAAATCACATTATATAAGTTACACTTCCAAAAATTTATAATCCTATCAATACAATATTTATCAAGATGAATTTATTTTTTTAAAATTTTATTCAAATGTCCGTCAATTTTTTATGACATAAATTTAAATTGCAAATCAACCAATTACATTTGTGTAAACCAGATGTTTTTTAAAGCAAGATTTATAGTATAATTGACAGAGCCTTTTGCCAAATGTTTTTGAAGATACATGTACATTCCTATAGTATTTACGTAAAAAAAATGAAGAAAAAAAGTAAGGGGAGTAAACTGAAGGCGAAGAATTAATCTGTCAGTAATTACTGTGTTATAGTTACAGAACAATCAAATGTTTTCCATGCTATATAAAAAATGTTAGCCATATAAATTAGTCAAAGACTGCTCACCTTCCTCTCTGAGGGCATCGAGGGCCTCCTCCTTCCTGTCAAGTTGCTCGCTGAGTCTTGACGCAGCCTCTAGTCCATCTGACGCCTCCTCTAACTGCTCCTGAAAACAGAAACAACATAAATCTGTTAATTTTGATAAGGAAAAACATGTATTTTAGTAGTCATATAACACTGTGGCACGTTACATTTTTGTAATCTCAAACATTTCATGTCCAGCAATCGTTATTTTTTAATCCTATAAAATCAACAAATATTTTAAGCCAAAAACATGATCATCTTCTGATGTTATCTTCTGATCTGAATTAAAACTTTTAATGTTCTAAAGAAACTTTTTTTGTTGTATTTCTGAATTAGTAAAAATCTATCTAATTAAATGAATATGAAGTTGAATTAAACAAAAAGGACAAAGAATGGTGGTTTTACTGAGGTGCCAAGTCATGCATGAAATAACACAAGGATAGGCTTTTCCAGCCATACATATGGATTGGTCAAGTTACACCAACAACATAAATGTCATATATATTACTTGGTGACATTCAAGCTTTACTGGTTAGTGAAGACGTAATGCCCCATCTCTTATCATTTCAATCACAAGCCAGTATCAACTAAAGCTGAAGCACTAAATTGTAGAACTGTCAGCACTGCCTAATAACTTGATAGCCATATGCACAGAATGTAACAGTGTTGGCCAACTTAAAATCTTAAAGTAAGTTTAAGTATAAGACAAGTAGCTATGTAACAGTTTCAGTATGAAGACATATGGCTTTGTTATAAAGATACAAGCAGCATTTTACTACAAAAAAGTTGTTTGTAATATGACAAGTTATAACCAGCTTGAGTCTATCACACCACTAACACCCTTTCTAATTACACACCTTACATAAATCATTTTCTATGTTAACTTCCAAGTAATGGATCTCACCACATTTACAATTTGACAATAACATTTACCTACATTTATTAAATTTTTTACATTTTACAAACAAAAGAGGTGAGTTTTTTTTATTTCCCATTGTAATGCTGCTATTATTACAAATGTTAGGTTTACGTATTCCCAACACTGTTTGGTCAAAGGGCTACTTTCTTGTGTTACTTAAATAGGTGTAAAAACAAAACAAATATTAATTTTGTACCTAAAGACTTAAAGCAATGATTCAAACCCACAGCATCGATGGGTAAATCAGCTTGCTTCTTTACCACACAGCCATATAGCTCCTTTACCTTGAATTCTACTCATTTTTTCATAATATGCTTTAAAATGGGAAACATTTAAAATTTTAGACATAATCCTGCAGTAAAAAAATGCTTGCCATTTCTATACAAAGAGATTTTAGAACTCCAAGAACACTCATTAATAAAGTGATTCACAAATTTCTCTCTCACAGGACCTTATCAAGACTCCAGATTTCCTTTCAAATTTCATTTTAACTTATTTTCAGAGCCATTAAACCAACTTAAACCTGTTCTAACAAAAGCCAGATGTGATCAGACAAATGTAAAACTTCAGTAATATTTCAGCAAAAAGTCATCAGCAAGTATTGATCAGCCATTATGATCATCTTTAAATAAAAGCCTTTCTTGTTCTATTTTCTTCTATTAATAGCCTAATTTTGACACAGCGACCATGACCCTTGGAAATGCATATATATGTATTTCAATAAAAGAATACTTAGTTTTACTATTATAGTTTCATTAGATTATGGTTTGTTACTCTATGTAACTAAGTTACTTAGATACAATGATTCAATCCTTAGCCAAATAGGTGTAGTATCAGATTTGTAATCAAGAGTTGACAGGTTCCATCCTCTGGTGTGGCAAAATTTCAAAATGGTCATTTGTCTCTTGACCAAAATTCAGAAAATCAAGTGGTGTCATCATTGGTATATGTGGATCAATTAGGGAGAAAATGGTAATTACTGATTAGTTATTAAGGAAAGCTGGTTTAGGTGAACCTGCCACAGATGAACCGCAGCCACTAGATATGACCAAAGAAATATGTTAAAATCAAGCCAAAAAATCCCGGCAAACAAACATACAAGACAAACACCATGATGCTTGTCTCTTATTTTGATTTGTGAAGCATTTCACTTCATTAATAGTATGATACTATACACCTCCAAACAACCAGAACTTGGTTAAATCTGATTATATTTCAGTCATAACATAAATGATGATACATTTTTTTTGTGCCATTCTAACAGTGTGACAGAACTTTCAAAACTACAGTCATGTAGTTTATTTCTTCATACAAATAAAATTGCCAGTCAATTGTATGTTATCACAATAATATTTCTTACCTATTTTAAAATTGAATTTTCATGTTAAGAATATGAAATAACTTTGCTGGTTTATTAATAAGGAGTTTAAGAAAGTTCAAACATTGTGTGACTAGTACTAACAAAGTTTTTGATGTTCATAATGTTGACAATATGCTTGACAAGCATTAAATTGTCTGCCATTTATTTACACTATAAAACTGAGTAAATAATGAATCACCTTAACCATTATATCTTCTCTTTTATTTGAATAAAAAAAAAACCAAGATGAAAATTCATTTCTCAAGTATTTCATGACGGGGAGTTAAAAACTGTTGTACTAGTTAAAAACCTCTACCTTGTGAATCAGATGCGTAGTTTATTTTAAATTAAAATCATGAAAAAGTTTGTGTTTTATGGCAACATGATTATCTCTCTTTTTAAATAACAGCTTTAAATGAATTTTCTTAACACTGTAAGGTTTGTGGGAGCTGTGGCCTAGAGACTATGTGGGAATTGGTGACCTGACCTAGGGGCTAAGGTGTCTTAACGCTCATAGGGGACTATGAGTTCGAGCTATGCTCATGCCATGACTATGTTTGCTTATATCAAGTCTGAGCCTGAGTTCCAGGAAGCAAACTTGAAAATAATTATCATAAGATGCAAAGAATTTTCTGGCAAGTGAGCTTCAATTTATAAGTTTAAAACTAATTTCTTTACCTTCTCTACTTTAAGTATCCATATAACACTTGTCTTACTTTCTCGAAACCACTAGATCTATAGGTTTAATGTATTGTTATCATTCAATTTATATGCAGAAATACACAAGTAAAAAACAATTCCTCAAAAGCATCAGTACAGTAAAGTAATACTTAAAACTATCATGATTTGCGAAATATAATAAAAATCCTTTATAAGGTCGGAACATTTGACTCTAACATAATGATTTTCCACAATATTTGTATCAATCAAAAAAATATAATAACGACCTTGTGCAACAGCTTGGCATGTGTAAATCCATACTGTTATTCTTGTAACATTCTTCACTTTTAGAGTAATAAGTTACTCGTATCATTTTATAAAAAATGAAGTTATAAATTTTCTCCCTATATACTGTACATTTTACAAAAAATCGTCAGGAAAAAAATATATGTTAAAAAAATGATGTTGAATAAATAAAAAAAAAAAAGTTACGATGCTGACTGAATTATATCAAAACCATGTACATGTATACAGGGAGAAAAAATTGTAAAAAAAATTCGTGTACGCAAGTTCGTTTATGAACAGACACAAAGCTTCGCGATAATAATCATATTCATATTTCCGGTTTTCTATAAAAATCCTTTAAAACGTGAAATTCAATAAAATAGTTGAAAGTGTATAGAGGACTTTCAATAGCTATTCAATACATGTTGTAAACTCTACAAACAAATTTGTATCGAATATTGTCCCAGGCTGTAATATTCTCCTTTCATAAATCTACAATAAGTTCAAAATGGATTTCATTAAACTAGAATAATGAAAATAGTTCTATGATAAAAGTATTGCTATTTAACAATATTCTATAGTGTCTCAAGAACCAATTATAAATAATGCACAATGTTTACTTAGTCATTTTTCTATATAAAAAAATACAAAAGAAAATATAAAGGAAACAGATTATCGAACATTTCTTTTCCACAAGTAAAATTTTTATCCAAAAACTGCTACTTGTATGTAAATTATCAGTTTTCTTTCAAAAATCTAAAGAGTAATGAATATTCTAATGTGCTTCAAGATGCTGGGCAGACAGCAAAGTAGTTCTAGCTTTTGCCGGTTTCTTTACCAATAGCATAATCTGACTTTACCAATAGCATAATTAGACTCTTTAGCAACAGCATAATTACTGTTTACCAATAGTGCATTCAGACTCTTTACCAATAGTGCATTCAGACTCTTTACCAATAGTGCATTCAGACTCTTTACCAATAGCATAATCAGATGCTTTAGCAATAGCATAATTGGACTTTACCAATAGCATAATTAGACTCTTTAGCAACAGCATAATTACTCTTTACCAATAGTGCATTCAGACTCTTTACCAATAGCATAATCAGATGCTTTAGCAATAGCATAATTTGACTCTTTACCAATAGCATAATCGGACTTTACCAATAGCATAATTAGACTCTTTAGCAACAGCATAATTACTCTTTACCAATAGTGCATTCAGACTCTTTACCAATAGCATAAACAGATGCTTTAGCAATAGCATAATTGGACACTTTACCAATAAAATAATCAGACACTTTACCAATAGCATAATGGAGTCACTAGACATCAGCTTTTGTGAGGTAAATTTCAACATGATGGTAACACAGGTATATTACCATGAACCTTGTAGCTCATACATGACCGTGCATAAATTAGGGTACTTTATTATCAGAATTTGCAACATAATCAACTGTTATAAACTGTTCTCTTTATACAGTGGGATATAATCCTTTCACATCTCACAAATTAAGAATTGAGATTTTTAACTCTTTCACTTCTTATTTTCTTTACATTTTTAAATCTATCTTTCTGACTTTTTTGTTATTGATATATCTTGCATCCTATGACTGTAAGACTGTACAGGTCAAATGGATTTATTTATAACATTTTCTAAATATTAGTACTGTATATCATACATATACAAGTCTTTATACTTAGAAACTATTTTAAATGCCCTTTTTTTTAGAACAGGCTTGTTTAATTACTCACTTGTGGCATAAGTAGATGGGCTCAATAATTTGAAAAAGACAAACCAGTATTCTCGTTAATCAAAGGCTTCAATTTAAGTCATGAAGAACCAGGAAATAGCATT